AACAGTACGAGTAGTTATTGTTTTTAATTGGCCGTATCTGCTTGGTTAAGCTGATGAAGTCATATGCAAATACCCCCTTTGTGCTTACCACGGCGGTATTGGCCGTCATACTATGCCACACTAGACATCTGCAGCCGTGCAGGCGTAGAGGGGATATCCGCAATTTTTAGGCATATTTGATTTTTGAAATCTAATAAGTCACTGGCATTTCCTTCCAAGGTCGCGCACGCGAAAAGGTTTTTCTTACACTCCTGGCCGAATGTCTGAATTTTCAATTAACTACATTAATCACAGAACACATGACGCTAAATTTTTTTTTACATATTTGCAAAAAGTCTGTATTTTATTGAATTTGTCAGAGATTCGAAAGTCATAAATATTAGTGGTCAAACTAGATTCGCCCAGGGGGGGGTTCTGATCTGACCTCCATGACCCTCCTGGATCTGCGCTTGTTCCCTTCACTGACAAAGATGTTCAATCAAAAAAATATAATTCTTATAATTCCACACTTTTGTTGAAGCACAATGTAATTTCTTACTAAGGTATATGAGTTGTAGGTGACAATGTTGCTGTAGATACGACTTTTTCGGCTTACATCATGTTCATACAACCTATACCTACGTCTTAGAAATGTAAAAGTTGACACTTTTTTGTTTTAGTATGTTGCTAGTAATATTTAACTTCAAACGCAAGTTAGCCGTAAGTGTTGCAAATACTACTCAATCGATTTAGTATGTTGTACGTATGGCTATTTTCCTTAGCATTTTAACATCAGTTAATATTTTCAATTGGCCGTGCCTGCTGATTAGGTGATATTTGCACGAAATTTAACTATATGTAAAGTAAATAATTACAAAACCTATCAATATGAAATAACCGTTTCTGGTCTTCCTTAGTTTCAGCTGAACTGCAGATACCCCTCTTTACTTAGGCCCGTATCGTCAGTCGTCCCTACAATTGTAGGGCGCGTTTATGGCCTCCTTGATTCTCTCTCCTTCAAAAATTTCTAGATTACACTCGTCCCGTGTCAGCGTCAGCGCTCTCCTATTGTTAAGATATGTTGTCCTTTTAAATTGTAGGAAATTTCAGGCTGATAAAACATGATATAACTCAAAAGCAAGCACAATTTGATGCAAATAGATGTTTGTGACATAACCTCAAAATAAAGTTCTGACATGGAGAAGTAGAAAACTATGACAATCAAGGAGGGCATAAAGGCGCCCTACAATTGTAGGGACGACTGACGATACGGGCCTTAGAACGGCAGTGTGATTAGCTAACATTAATAAAGATATGTATCTTTTCAGGAAATTTGTAACTGACTTTCGGTAAGGACAGTGATAGCAATTGAAATTGATTCGGCGAGGTCAAGCTTCTAACATATGAAAGATACTTTCATTGTATACCTAACCAGTGACCACGCACGATAGCTATGCTGTTAATATAAAAATGCAGGTACACTAATGACACACATATTTTTAATTTATTCGTGGTCAGGAAAATATTGTTTTCAGTTGGCTTATCGCCGATAATCTGTTTATTATACATGACAAATTTCTCTCCAACGTGGTCCTTGACACGAGCAGTAGCATAAATTTTAATGGCCGAAGAAATCATCACCGCATGTGTGGATTGATCAAGAGGTGGCTATCGGGCTTTGGAATTGAATTATGCTTAAAATTTTAAACTGATAGGCACAGTAGACGCTAAATGCATACGTTTTTTACTAAAGGCATATCCAGCACTAGAAAGTGAAGGTTTGAGAGATTGAGATGTAAGATCATAATTTGAAAAGCCTTGGGGCCGTATCGTCAGTCGTTTCTAGAATTGAACGAAGCCTTTATGGCCGCCTTGTCCTCTCTTTCAGAAAGGATGGGATATTTCTAGACTTCTACTGTTCCGTGTCAGCATCAGCGATCTGCTATTGTCAGGCTATGTTTTCTTCTGGAATTGTAGGAAATTTCAGGCTATATAACAGATGATATAAATCAAAAGAATGAACAATTTGATGCAAATAGATATTTGTAACATAACGTCAAAATAGAGCGCTGACACGGAAGAGTAGAAAACGATGAAAATCAAGGAGTCCATAAAGGCGTCCTACAATTGTAGGAACGACTGACGATACGGGCGTTAGACCATAAATATTGTAATCCATATAATATAATAAAACTTCATACAAAGCGGCACTATAAAAGTTTTGCAATATGACAACAAACGGACACAGGAGGATGCCTGTTTCTGCATGTTGAAACATGTCCATGAGTGCTTAGTAGCTGCCAGCAGCACGTCTGTTGATTTAATTGTTCATTCGTATTGACAGTATAAAATGCAGACTATGGCATCGTGGTCACGTAGTGAGATAAGGGCAGTTTTACGGTATAACTTTAAGCGTAGGCCAGTGCTTAGAAGAAATGACGCTTGCATTAAAGAATGATTGTACGACTATAGTCAGGTGGTACAGAGAATTCCAAAGGGGCAATTTCACTCCGGAGGGCGCTGAAAAGGAAGAAATGCCGCGAACGTCAGTAACAGAAGAAAACATTACTGCTGTGAGGAATTTGCTCAATGCACACCGAAGAGTGACATACCAACAGATAGAGGAGACCTTACACCTTCATGCACTAGCAATTCATTCAAATCTGCATGACCATCTACACGTTAGGAAACTTTGTTCTCTCTGGGTACCGCATAGTCTGACGGAAGTGCAGAAGACTTGTCATACGACTTGGTATTGAATGTTGTGGAAATTACTTTGAACGAGGTCAATAAATAAAGCTGTATGTAATATCGTTTACTGCATAACGATATATAGCTTGATGAGGGTTTCTGCCGAGAAGTATCCCAGGACGGTTCTGAACTAACAATATCAAAACGTAATGCGGCGCCTAAATCAATCAACATGTCAAGCAGAGTTAGAGCTCAATGCAGAAACCGAAAATAGCGGCACGTGAAATAAACGTTCATAGAGTGAAATCATTCGAGTTGATTTTTGTTGTAGATCATAGGGAATTGCGGCGGCCTCCGAAAACGCCGAAATAATATCCACGGAAGAAAGCACCACCATCAAATTGGTAAGTAAATTATATAAAATGCCAACCAGTGATTATAATTTTCAGTTTCCAACACTCTACCTCGATAAACGTTCTATGTAAAAAACTGGCTCTGCGAAAATTACAGAGCAATTCATGGCAAAGAAGAGATTCAGACTAAAATAAAAAGCTAAACTAAGACACAGTATGCAAGGTGAAACCTGAGAGCAACTATCTATGTAAAGAGAAGTCAGTTAAGTAAGGCGAATAAAATTAGAGAGAGATAAGAGATTACTCCAAAAATATGGCGTCTAAATATAGATGTTCTCATTTGGTCGGAAATAAATGCGTTGCTGACCCTTTTTGGATAAATTCATAGACCATCACTTGTAGTGAACACATTTTTTGTTTGAACATTTATTCATGGTGGGGATATTTGTCATCCATTTGCAACCTACGAAATACATTTTTCATTCAATAAAGTTATAAATCACACTTTTCCCGAGATAAGCTATTCTCAAAACCTGTAAGTCATCAGCTTTTTAACTTTTAGGGTCCGACACGAAATACTACACGACTTGGTTTAGTAATAAAATAAGTACGTCAGTTTGAAATTTAAATGTCTTGTTGGTCTATTTGACATGGTCGTGAGACATTTAGACCGCCCGACGATATGTTTATTTATTTCGTACGACTTTTTGACGTAACCACCAAAAACCGTGAAAAGAGCTAAGCTACATTTTGTTTTGACTACTATAATTTAGATGACTCCCAAGGTCAATGTCACGAAGTATCTTCTCCTGATATAACTACTCTTTGGTGAAACCACAAACGAGTTTAAGCTGATAGAGAACATATTACACATTCACCATATTTTGAAAAGGGGGTTCTGGTCTGCGTTAGCATTGATATCACCACTCACCAGTCACAAATATGTGTGAAGTATACACTTCACCTCTCTCTTACATAGCTAGGCATTCGAGGAAACTGCTTCACATACAACATCAAACCTTAAAAATGCAATTCATTTAAGTGGGCAAAGTCCCGCCTGTTTCTAATATTGATTGAAAACTCTACAGATATAGCAGAACGAACGCATGATGATGATTTGTTACTGCCTACTGTTAACAAGCATCGGGATTTCAGTATCTTGGAAAATTTAAGTTTTACAGGTTTTTATCTTAAGGATGATCGGGATCTTTTGAATTTGTTGACAACTGTACGGAAAGGAGGGACCTCGGCAGAGCGACCCGATACGTACGTCATTGCTTTTTACATACACAGCTGCTTATTGACCTACTGTTCAAGCTAGGATTATTCACCTCAAAAATGGTTTACTATTCTACTACTGCGCTATTGTATATAAATTTGTCACAGTAAAGGATAAGATGATAGCAAATATATCTAGAAATACAGTGAGTAGATATTATAGACAAATTGTGCTTTTAGTAGAACATCTCCAGCAAACTGAATAATAAATGAACCCAAAATCAATAATGTAAATAACGATAGAAAGTACTGAAATAGTTACCAGCAACAACAATACATCGACAGTTCCATACATCACAAAATTATATGCGATTGATGTTAAAGCAAACTGTTAGAACTTGTCGTTCGAAATAAAACTAAAAGGACATACTAGAGTGACAATTTTTATAATAAGCTGAGGTGTACCATCATATCAAATGTCAAGACCTGTTGCATAAATACATATAAATGCTTAATCGTCTGACTTTCGGTAGCTATAATGAGATGTTTCATGTTAAGGGTCGTGCCAGTCGAAAATAAACGTCATATCGATGAAGTAGTGAAATCAAATATAATTCAAAAGACGTTATTTTGGGACGGCCAAATAATTAGATAAATTGTTGCTGCTTTTCAAAGTCTGAAACCATATTGCAGTATTGCTAGTACAGAGACCAATGTTGCCTCTATGATATATGAATAGGTTAGTAGTTTTATACTTACATTGCCATTTATCCTACACCAACAATAGTATATCTGGACGTCACTAACTCAGGTGACCACAGCTTGTATCTGACTCTCTATACATCATCACATATCACACCACCGAATCCGCATGTGATCAAAAAAAAAATCAGCAGTACGCTAAGGACCAAGCAAAAAATACGGGCAGACGTCGACGCCGGACTAGCTGCATCGCGAAATTCTTCAGGTGGGGACCGGCCATGCCTATGTGTGTAGATACTTATGTCCGAAAAACGTGAAGCTAGCCGGCTTCTGTTAGGCAATGGCAATGCGACGGAGCTTTCACCAAGGGTTGAGGACGAACGTGTACAATGGTAGACAAAAATTGTGACTCACAAAATTTGTGGATTCCCGCAATCGATAGCGTATCGACTCTTGCACGCACCTAAGCACTCATAAACTAGGTTACCGACTAACAGACATAGCGCCCACAATAATCTTCCGGGATACTACGACCATTCGTCAGCATTCTACCAGTATCTATAACAAGACAGCTATTAGAGGTGTCGCAGCATGCTATTTGAAAGTATCCCAACCAATTTGTGATGAACTTGAAACTTTTTAAGACAAGATTGCGATAGATAATGAAGCGTATTAAATTAATCAATCATCTAACTATTGTTCAGATAAATCTCCCCAATAACAGGTGTATGCTTCACGGTTGATTTCTGGTGTGTCTTAAAAATATTCCGTTCGACAAATGTAGCTCCCATTTTTTCAAATTTTACTATTGCTGTTTCTGCTTCATTGAAAATTGGTAAATAAATGCTAGCTGGAATAGTTTGAACAGTCTAAGACTAGTTCCAAGAACAAGAAATCGTCAGAGGGATGGGGCTGACGTAGTGGATTTTCGCACTTCGACGATAACTTTTTACTTCGTAGGCCACTGACGAAGAAGTATTGCAATCGCGAAAAATTTGGAAAATGAGATGTCACTTATTTACGTCAGTCTGTCCGCTTATCTGTAAGTTGGAAGGTATCGGTCGGATTTTGATTAAATTTTCATACAAAGTTAGTATCAAGCTTTATAGTTTTTGGAAATCGAAAATAAAAACCGCTCAAACTTCGTTTTTTCAGGTTTCAGAGGCTCCTGATAATTTTAAGAAAAAGTATGGGGAGAGGCTTGAGGACTCGACTGCTGTGGATGAGGGCCGTCGATCGTCATTCACGCGAGATGTAATCATATTTTTGATCATGTACGCCTGCAAGAGAAGAGGAAGGGGCATCCATCCGCAAGAGATAACTTGTGTGAAAGCTTACCTGCCTCCAAAATATTTTGTAGAGGGAGGGATAGCATACTTTCTCAAAGTTCCAAATCCTGAAGAGCCCCAAAATTGTACAGAAAAGCAAACTAAATATGGAAATTTTATTTGTAAGAGCCTGTTTGACCAACTTGATTTTTTGTTATACATGTCCGTAGCTAACTTTTCTCTCAGAGGGGCTAGCTTGTGTCGAACTTAATCCTTAATGCACTGATGGCAGCGTTGCGTAAGAAGTGCAGAGTCAACCTACTTGACGCCATTTATTCATCTTGAAACATTGCCTCTCAGAATGGCTTTTTAGTTGATTGTATATCTCTGTACGCGTTTACAATAAGCTAAATCACGGTTATAGAATTGGTTATAGAAAACAATATACAGGGTGTAAACGTTATGGTAGTCATTATTGAGATGGGTAATAGGGGCGGTGAAAACAAGTCAAAAAGTTCATATGACCCATGGTCCAAAAGTCAATAGAATTTGGTCTAAATGGCTTTATAGTTTACAGCTTTAAGTGCTTTATATCGACCACAATCACCACAATCCCACTAATTTTTATAATCTAATCTAAAACGTTTTTAAATTGGGTAATTAACAAATAAATGGCATTAAGTTTTTCCAAGTTAAGCCAAAATTTATAGTCAGTAAGTAAGTAAGTTTCATTAAATTGAATATTTATAACACACATGACAAGAGCGCGTCGGTCATCATCACTCTTATCGAACCGGCAATCGATCGCAAACGGTAACAGTGGTTACTTCTCGGGCATGGGGCGTGTTGTTTACAATGTTCTCGATTCAAGAGTTCGCCGACATGTTGTTAGTTTACGGTGAAGCTCGTAAGAATTCAAATCTTGCACCTCAAATTTATCGCTACAAATTTCGCCAACGGGTACACCCAGACAGAAGGACAATTGTGCAACTGTACCAAAGACTTCGAGATACAGGAAGTGTTCAGCCCACTAATATTCGCACTCGTGAAAGACCGGTTACTGTAGAGCAGGAGGAACAAATTTTAAATATCGTGGAAATCAATGCAGATATCAGCAGTCGGGAATTAGGCAGCCGCGAAGGACTATCGCATACCATAATCCATAAAATCCTACGGGAAAATTTGCTTTATTCCTACCATGTACAACGAGTGCAGGCCTTCTTACCAGAAGACTATCCTCGCAGATTATCATTCTGTCAGTATTTTTTGCACAAAAACATTGAAAATCCGGATTTTTTCAAAAACATTCTAGCGACGGACGAATGTACTTTTACGCCAGACGGCATGTTAGATTTCCATAATACTCACACGTAGACCCAAGAAAATCCTCATACCATTCGTGAAGATCATTTCCAACAAGGTTTTAAAATAAATATTTGGGCGGGTATTCTTGACGATCAGGTAATTGGCCCTTTCGAGTTACCCCCAGAGTTGTCAGGAGAAGGATACCTTAGCTTCCTGGCCAATAACCTACCAGAACTTTTGGAACAGACCTTAGACAACATGCCATTAAAACGGAGACAGAATTTCTGGTTTCTTCATGACGGAGCACCACCACACATTTTTAGAGGCGTCATTCTGTATTTGAATGAACATTATCCAAATCGCTGGATCGTGATCCTGATCCTCGAAAATGGCCAGCAAGATCTCCTGACCTCAATCCGATGGATTTCTGGTATTGGGGAGAACTTAAAGGGATGGTTTATGGGGCTTGTCCAATAACAACTGAAGCACAACTTCGCGAAAAAAGTTTTAATGTGGCTGAAATAATAAATAGACAACTTCGAGGAACTATAGTAAGAAGAAACTGGGTTCGCCGTAATGAATCTTATGTGGAAAGTGGAGGACGACATTTCGAACACCTTTTTTAAATACAAAAAAGTGCAGTATGGGTTTTAAAAAGAAAAACAATGTATGTATCAAAATGGTGTTCTCTATTTATAAGTAGATTTTTTTAATACGTTCAATAAACTTTCACACACCAGGTGAAGCGCTGAGGCAGTTAGTGGTAGGTCCGTTTTTTTTAATTGTTTGCATTTTACGAGTACATTATCAAATAATGAAATAATACCTAAGAGCCGAAAATAAAAAAACTCCATCTTTAATACACTGCGTTCCGTCGTAATTTGCGTCTGGCATTGCGGCGTTGTCAGATTTTATTTTACTTTAAAGCCGCGTTTCTCTAAAAAATGCCGTTTTGACCCCCATGTTATATGAAACTTTTTGCTTCTGTTAACCCCTCTATCACTCATTTAAATAATGACTATCATAACGTTTACACCCTGTATATATATGTAACCCCACATGATGATAAAATAACGATAAGAGTTTTGCGTGGAACATTGAATTTTTGAGACAAATTCACGTATGGATCCCTGCAACTTTTGTTTTGGGACGTCTCGCCTTAATGCAGGCACTCTTTACTCGATCGCGATGATTAGAGCTTCGTATATAGAAAGGCTGGGACTATTTTCGTCTCCAAACCATAATAAAATTCAACAAGTGGTAGTGCTAAAATAAGGGACCAAAGGCTAATTAAGTTGAGAAGTTTATTTATCTGAGAGAGATGAGAAGGAAAAATAGGTAGCACTATGAGAAGCGATTGAACAAAACGGATGCATTTTAATCACAAATGGAGATAGGGGGTGTGCCGTGATATAACTAATATTGTTCGAGTTATTGGAACACTTTATGGACCTGAGCACTAGGGTAGGGCTCACTGCATTGTGGAAAATCGCAAAAGGATGAGAATTGTTGGTATTTCAGTAAAGAAATGAGGACAAAACGAGTAACCTAAAAAGTAATCAGTTGAAATACGTAAAAATGAGTAAAATAAGTCTGTGGACAAATTGGAGTGAAGTCAAATACATACCAACTATTTGGTTATTTCAAAAATCCTGCAAAGAGTTCAGGTCCCAGATATAGTAGGTTCAGGCTACGATATCCTGCAACGATTATTCACCGAATTCGAATATCTTAGAAGGAGATAAGCCTATATGTTTACATTGCACTGTTTATCGCCAAAATTGCGTCGTTTCAATGCATACTGTTCACTCATCTGGCTACCAATGTCTACCAAAGTGACAGCGTCTCATCAACACAATAATACTAGGGTCGTTCTACTCTTTGCAAATTATGTAAGAAGTCTTGAAATCGTCTAACATCACAATTATCTGCAAACACTCGCAGTTTTAAAAAATAACACTAATAAATTTTAATTTTATGACAACTGTCTAAAAATTGACGTATGTTAAGAGCACTTTGATCCTCACTAGAGACTATGAGAACTAGGAGACAAACAAATTCTTGTATGGTTCCTTCTACCCAGCCTGAATTCGTTGATACTATTAGATTCAGATTATGTTAAAGATTTTACTTGTTAACCAAATAATTTCCTAGATGCAGCCGCCATCTTGCTAATATATAAAATTTTCCGCTTGAGTGTATACAAAATATTCTACAGTTCCATATTTATATTCATTATTGTACAGAACTTCTTTTCGATAGACACGAATCGTAGAAAGAAATGCCAAGCACGTCTTGAACGTCATTCATGTTAAGCTCGGTATTATGGTGTACGATATTAATATGCAGTGTGTAGTGTGCCTTTTGTGTATGTTCCTTATTACGTTGTTATTACATGCACCTTGTTACATTTATGTAGACCTGTTGCTTTTCTTGGTGCCCGAAAAAAGAAAAGCAGAGTGACATGCTAGATATTTCATAATATCTTAAAAAAATATATTAACTATACTTCAAAGATAGCTTTATTTAGTTTCAAGGGCGGCCATACAAGTCTTGAAAGATTCCACTTTGCAGAGATGTGATGTAAAAGGTGCTCCAATAAATACGTCGGGATGTTGTTTTTGAATAAAACTATCAATTTTAAAAGATTTTCGGCTAGGATTTTCGGTAATGCTTCGGCATAACTGCGGTTTATTTTCATCAAAGACCGCTGGATTATACTTCATCTCTTATATGGTAAGTCCCCACATCTCGCAGGGCAGTGAACACTTCCATTGCGCGGTCATCAGAAAAACGTGTCTATGACAATTTCAATTACTTTCATATTATGATACAAGGGTCCATCTTGTTGAAAGATTTAAGCGTTAACATTTACCGTTCCTGCCAAGGACGTAGCTACCTCCATATCAGCTGTAACAACCAGACGATTTACAAGGGCCCCGACGTGTGAAAAAATGCATAAAATTATAAATTTTCCAAGCGCTAAATCCTTAAATAATGAGGTCGTAATAGCATGCTTGACACAGTAATGCTGTTTGAGTGTCAACATGTAAGCCAAAAAGCCTTAACATGTTTGAGCTACAATATTTTCTTGACTGCGCCTGTCAGAAACGACTGAAAGAAATGTTCTAGATTTTCCAAAATTATAACCACCTTAAAAAATGTTTAACTATGCCGAAACATTTTTAGAAGGTTGTAAAGCATACAAAACCTCCTCTTTTTTGCACTGCTGTGATTTGAACAATTTTCAAATATGAAATAGCATTATCTACTATGTCCCCATAACATTTTACTTACTAAATTCTCTCCAAGATTACTAGAGTAAAATGAAACCAACACGCAGACATACCTTTAGACAGACTGACGAATATAAGGGATATGGATTTGCGTGTTGCCGATGTCGCAAAACATGAAAGAATCGGCGGTTAAAACGTATATTTGTTATCTGCTGATTTTGAATCGTAAATTGTAAAATCAATAGTTAGTCAATATATAACTTTATTCAGGTTATTGAATGTAAGAGTTTTTGTTTTTTTTTTTTGAGGAAAATACCTTCATCGCGAATTTTACCTTCCATGCGAGATTCGCTACAACTTAGTGGGGCTCTCCGACAAATTTTCATACGGAGACGCCCAGGAGCAAGTTACGTCACTGGTATCAGTGTCGTAATGTTTACAAAAAAAAATAATGTAAGTGACCCATAATTGAATTGCTGGGTCTCTAAATGTTCAGTAATAAATTTCTAAGTCATTGTAGATGGTAGATACTCTATAGTCTAATTCGAGATTCTAGTGGGCATGAAAATAAAACCAAATGTTGAGAGTTATAATTACTTAATTAAACATTCACATAATTTGTTATGGCATCAAGCGTTTGTGGTTACTGTTTCTCCTTGTGAAAATGTAAGGATGCTCTTCGGTAGGACAGTAGAACTCTGATAATGAGTCAGGTCCACCTAAGGTCTTGTTGCCGAAGGGCTCTAACAGCGAGTTCCAGACACCATTTGCAACTGTAAAAAATGTTAAATTATTATCGTATAAATAAGAACGTTATCACAACCGAACCAAAGATTCACCCGTTGGTTAGGCTGTACTTACACCTAGCTTGCCCTCGTTCACTTAGATGAAAACAATCTGCAGAAAGGTATCCATAGTTACTACTGCCATCTGGATACCTGGGAAAGGTGTAGTTCAATGTCATATTAAGTGGTATCACAGTAAAGTCATCCAAATCAAACTCAGGACTGTTGGCTATCTCTATGTCGAGCAACTGCCATTTTCTCATAACGTCATCAAACATTGCTCGTTGCCTCTTATAAGCGAGTCCAGCTAGGCAAGGGCATAGAAGAGAATGCATCATTCGACATATTGGAGGCCGATCCTTCAACTCGATTATAGGACGCACAACTGTAAAAGAGTTCTTTAACCTTTATTTTATTGTTTATTTAACAGGATATCTAGAATTTGTCAAGGGATTCAAGGATATTTCAAGAGAAATAATATTGCAGTATAGAAAGATTTTTGATCTAGAGATACAAACAGTTTTGCTGGGTAACTTTGTTGTTAACATTTGAAAGAAATAAATGTTTCTCTTGTATTAAAAAACTACGATGCATTGGTAGAACTGCTTCAGAGGAAAGCTGCAGGGCATAAAAATATCTTATATGTCTAATTTGCTGTATTGGGAAAGTACACAACAGAAAATATGAGATAGTAATTTTTTTGTGTTAGTTACCATCCAGAAGAATACCATCATAATGCTCAACATATTCTGAAATAAATGCCACTAAATCTTTGGAGGTTATTGTAGCATATTGAGCATTTGCGATTTCCTTTCAAAGGTCTATTGATCATCAGCAACTCTTCTTTACGCCAATACTTGATAGTTTTCCTAATATACGAGAAAAAGTATTTTTCCAAATGTGGCGATTGATAAAAAAGTTACCCAGTAATTTTTTGTCTCTGTTGGCGTATGGCCCTTTCATTTACCCTTAACAAAATAATTCCAATGTGAAATCCGTGTATACCTTTTTTGGCTAGTTAACCTGAAATTCGATGCCCATCATTGCAATCTTGGGAATGGTAAAAGACAAGAATTCGGTTAAACGATGCAAAGTTGCGTCATTTATTTAGCTAAGAAAGTCGTTCCAAAATTCACGGGAATGAAAAATTTACGGGAAAAAGCCGAATTCGCCCAGTCGTTTCCTAACCTAATATGAGGTGGAATTTCAAATTAAATTGCACATTAACTCCTGTTTCAATCATCTACTTTATTTTTTCTTATGAACGCCATATTGGATTTTGCATAAATGAATAGAGTTTTTAGTTCCGATTTAAAAAATGTATAAAATGTCATACGTCAATATTGTTAAAGTATAATTATTTAAAAAACAGAATTTCCAAAGTAGACCTAGAAATTATCAGATAGTCATTCGTGTCGTAATATCAGCCAAGCATGAGTTCAGTTTTTATCAACTGTCCCTATTTTCGATTTTGATGATATGCTATTATAAAAATCATGGCAACCATCAACATTAAAATACTTCAAATGTCTAAACAAGTAACCTTTCTACAGTTGGTCTTGACTCGTTAAATGAACAACAATGTAATTTAAGGTTAGTAATGAAAACATTGAAAGCGATATAACTTTAAGAAGCTTCTGGAAGCATTTTAGAGTAGGTAAAAAGCTCGATGATGTTGCAGGTTGCTATCATATCTGAACCGATGAACACATCTGGGCTATCAGGTAGAGAGGTACCGCCGTGCTAAAATAACAGTTATTTTCGATAAATGGGCAAATTATCTGAATGTGAGTAAACATGCGATAAGCTGGTATTTTCAACTTCAACTATTGCAGTATTGCTTTTTTAATAACTAGGGTTTGGCAATGGTTCTTTTTTGGAATTAGAACGAAAAAATCTATTCACCTATGTAAAATTCAATACACTGTCCTTAAGAAGCAATACAGTTAATGACTGAGGACAAGAGACGATACCTCATATTGAAACTCAAATTAAGTACGCCATATTATAGAGGATAAAAAATAAAAAATATATTGAAAAGATTTGTTTTATTTTTCGTCTATCCCCTACTCTGAATTGTAAAACTAGAGAGAAAAAGTAGCATAATGTTAATGTACGAGTTATTTTGAAATCCCACCTCAAATTAAGTCAAGAGAAAGTAGAAATGATTTTGTAGAAATTGTTTTCTTTTCGTTTATTTTGTGTCTAAAAGCCATTTTCTTAGTTACCTAAATGCTATGCTTTGCTTCCATTTCATCGACTTCGTATCTCTTACCGTTTCAGATATCCCAGTGGTAAGAATCGAATTTGAAACACTCGGCATATAGTCAAGTATGTATTTATGATAAAACAATGCTTACACGGAGCAGGTATAACGACAATCATAGTTCTGGGCAAACTGTTTCTCAAGGATCTAAGAGCCTGTTGGAGATGTGCTTTATGTTTCTCTAGTACATCGTATGGGTTCCTTTGGTAGCAGATTTCGACGCAAAAGTCATTTGCTCCCATCATCACTGTTATAATCTAAAACCAAAAGACATGCAACATTTTGAGCAGTACAGCAAAAATCAAAGGCAAAAGCTAAATTCTGCTTGACCCCCAAGGAGGATGTTCAAAGCATACTAGCTTATTGCCGTTGTTACAGTACCAAATACGTTGCTCAAAAATAGTGAAACAGATAGAGGTTATCAAGTTTAAGTGGTTGCAAATACCTTCCAGTGGTGAGTAATATTAACCCTTGGATCAGACTTCATCCTATCAATAAGGAGTTCTGCCATGTAAGGAGTGTCGGCAGAGATAGCACCAGCCTCTGCTACATTAAAACTTGATCCTTTTTCTATTGTTAAAGATGGTTTAGCAGTGTATCCAATCAATTTAGTATTGAAGACTTTTAAGATATTTGGGAGTGTAAGCGTGTTTCTCCAGTTTCCTCCTCCTCCTGCAATATAAACCTAAGATATTTTTCTGCCCGTATTCTAGATGACAGCGCCACCTAGCGAGTGTCGGTCGGAAATATTCCTGCTTCACACGTGAAAAATTAAAATAAACGGTTATCAATAAAAATAACAGAGATTCAGTCGATTTGAAGTTAGGGGCAATTTGAATATCAAATTGACAACTTTCTTTGTGGGATCGTGTAGCGCTTCATGATGAATTGGACGTATAAGAGCAAAAAATTAGTTTAGTGTAAAGTAATCATAAAAACGTCGATCTTGCCCTTTATTTATATCGATGTAATAAAAAACAATGTTTTGATATTTGCGAAATCTTTGCATTATCCGTTATAACTGCAAATAAAGGAAAATTTAGCAAAAATTATTAAGAAAAAATAATACTGGTCGGGATGGTATACCTATTTTCGAGTGTTCTAAAACAAATCTCGTCCAAAAATATTGATATTTGCTTAAATGGCATCGAATCAATTGAATGCAAGCTAGTTAAAAAATGACAAAACAAAATTTTGCCATATAGTAATGTAAGTAATGAGGTGACCTACTGCAATTGCAGGACTGTACTTGATTTTGTAGACGCCCTATATATAAAAAATATCGTTCTCTGTTTAGTTACCTCCAGAAAATGATTTGCTTCTGTCATCTACAATCAACTGCAAGATATCGGTAGCTGAGGTACCTATCCCTGCAGTTATACTATCTCCGATAGCTCCGATTACGTCAATATCACCAGGACGCAGTTCGTGAGCAGTTGCTGGTACAGTTTTACTTCGAAATGGTGACGTGCTAGCACAAGGGAAATCCTTAGTATTATCGACTGGTTCTTGGTATCTCTATAAGGAAGAACAGTAGTCTAGTGAAAAGCTCTAATTTCCGATATCTATGAACCAACAAATATATATATATACAAATATATAAAGCAAATTACAAAACTACGGCACCATCGACAGGAAGACATATATATATAGTAGGACAGTTACTGCTATAACATGGTGTACATTCAACCGCACTTTGGCACACATAAGACCGCGGCTTGCAATGTGAGCAAGATAATCGTGTTACTTTCAGTCCAACCGAAATTATTTTTTTGTCTATATTAACCAATCTCTAAATTAATTTTTGGATTAGTTTAAAATTCCTGAATACTAGTTAACAATGCCCTCTCCACCTCTCCACCTTCCTTCCTTTTCATTTCCCTTCTTTCTCCCTGACTTCGACAGATATCTGGGCAACCAGACCTGATAGACCATACTGAAATACGATACTTCAACCAAGAGCGAAGGTCACACCAATAGAGTGCAGCTCATAATCTTCATGCTATCTGGCCGTTAAATATGTAGGCTTGACTTCTTTATTAATGTTTCGGCCATCTCAGTGGCCTTTTTCAAAGTACAGATCAAAATAGTTTCAGGTGTTACAGTAGAGAATTATCTACCATTTCCATGGGACTTGACACACTGAGAGGATCTCTGTTGGTCACCTGTGACTCATGACACGAATTCTATGTATGTCATCAAGTCCGAAAAAACAATTCGACCACAACATTTCACCTGTCCATAGAAGCTTAGCAGCGAGCGTTTAACAAACCTTACCGCCATTTTAAATTATCATATAGTAATGTGACGAAACAATAGGAAGATTAAAATACAATAAGAGTCCAGGAGAAAATGGAATCACAGCAGAAATAATAAAAGCGGGTGGACAAGATTTACACAAGCGACTTGGAAGTCTGATCAGATATATATGGAATCAAGAGGAACCACCAGATGAATGGAAAAACGCCGTAATCTGCCCAATACACAAAAAAGGTGATAAAAGTTCATGTGAAAACTATAGAGGCATTGCCCTGTTAGACACTGCATATAAGATACTAGCATTTCAACTAAGGGACAGATTGAGCATATATGAAAATGAGGTTATAGGTGAATATCAAGGAGGTTTTAGAAGGGGCAGGTCCACAATAGACCAAATATTTACAATGAAACAGCTGTTCTATAATAGCTATGAACAAAATCTTGGTTTACATGCATTATTTATTGATTTCAAGCAAGCGTATGATTCCATTGACAGAGAAAAATTATATGAAGCTATGAGACTGCTGGGACTACCAAGTAAACTGATAAGGTTAGTCAAATGACAATGAACGGGACAATGAACAAAGTCACATTGGAAGGGAAAACATCTAGAGCTTTTGGCGTAACGAGAGGCCTGAGACAAGGGGACCCGCTATCTACAACATTGTTTAACTTTACGCTGGAAGCTATTTTACGTAATTGTGGTATACAAACCGACGGAGTTGTTTACTATAGAAAACATCAGTTGATTGCTTATGCCGATGATATAGCAATAATAACCAGATCCAAAGCAGAACTTGAGAAGACGTTTAGAAGGTTAGAAGAAACTGCCAAACGTTTTGGGCTTCATATAAATGAAGACAAAACAAAATACCTTGAAATGAGAGGAAGCAATGAAGGAAAGTTAACAATAAGAAGTAGTTGCAGAGAATACTGTTTCGAGAAGGTGAATCAATTTGAATATCTAGGGGTCACAATAACAGATAAAGCAGAAGAAGATTTAGAAATTGAAAAAAGAATAGCAAAAGGGAGTAAAGCAATGGGGGCTTTAAGCAAGATGATAAACTCGAGGTGGATATCAAGGAAAACAAAGGAAAGGATATATAAATCAGTTATCCAACCATCAGTACTTTACGGCGATGAAGTTTGGGTGTTAAGCCAGAAAAACGTACAGAAATTGGAACGCTGGGAAAGAAAAATGTTACGTAAAATATATGGGGGCACAAAAAACAACGATGGTACATGGAAAAAGCGAACTAATAAAGAACTGATGGAGATGTATAACCAACCCAGTATAATACAAAAAGCCCGAGCTCAAAGAGTGCGCTGGTTAGGACACGTTTACAGAATGCCGTCTCACCGGAATGCCAAAAAAGTTTTGCTTGGAGGAGAAGGAGAAGAAGAAGAGGAAGACCGAAGAAGCAGTGGCTGGAAAGTGTCAAAGAGGATATACAAAGACTAGGCATACCAGACTGGGAGGAAAAGACCAAAAATAGAAAAGCGTGGAAAGAAGTTGTCGAAAAGATAGAAGCCATGGGCCTTCAGGCCTGAAGCGCTGAATTATATATATATAGTAATGTGACGTAAGTTTATCATTTATAGTCATTCAGCAGTATAGTTGATCCAACCCATAGTACAGTTACTTCAAGATTGTGAATACAAATAAGTGGAAAACCGTAACCTGACATAGTAAAAAACATACCGACAACGTGAATTTCGCAATACAAATAACAAAGTATAGAATCAGATACCTGCACTGTATGCAGCGAATTTTTCCCTCAAAGATCACAGATAATGATTCTTAGCATATGCAAATTGTCATTCAAAAAAACTTGCTTAGTAGTGCTTGTAGGTTCCTTATTTTTTCACAATGTTTCAAAAAAATGAGAAGCAGAAATATACAAATTATACGATGTTTGGAGACATGTGATATTTTGTGAGCAATTGTTTTGCCTATCCATCGGTTTTCAACCAACCAACGACCAACGATAGGTAATCCATAATTATATAGTTCAAATTATATCAAAATCACCACAGAGGTTAGATACAGATACTTTACTGCAACATTAATACCACAAGGCAATATACAATATGCTACTTACGTCATACATTTTCAGTTGATATTTGTTTTCCCTGGATGTGATAGATCTCCTAAGGACATGATTCAGCCCCAATCGAATGCTCCTATAAACCGGCAAGAAAGCATCGTCTAACCACGTCCTTAATGTTTGACCACTTTTGACCTGCACTTGAGACAGCAGCAATAGAGAAACCAGGAACCACGGTCTGAACATGATTACGACATATCTTGATATGACAAAATTCGGGACCGATTCGAATTTAAATGTACGTATGTTTTGGCGTCGTCAAGGAAATCATACATCTACATATGTACATCTACAGATTCACCTTTGTGGTACCAGATACATCCACTACTACATTCCGATGATCATTTTTGTTTACACAGTGTGTCTAACACTTTGGATGACTCAGGTCAATTTTGTTTGCACTTGCTAAGAGCTTATTCAAATAGTCGGATTAATTTGGTAGCAGAGAAGATTTACGAATCAATGTGAGCACATTGATTAAATTGCCCTAAAGGCTTGAATATAAATATAATAAGGCATGTTTCATTTCCCACGCCTTCTGGCGACGAAGTATTGTACTCGCGGAAAATTTCTAAAATGATTTTTTTAGGTGTATGTCATGAAAAAACATGTCTCTCACTTCCGTCGTTCTGCCTGTCGGTCTGTCCGCAATTCCTTGGCCATCTCCGAAATTTTCACATAAGGTTACTACAGTGTCATTGACCAAAAGGCTTTGTATTTTTTGAAAATCAATCCAATAGCGGTGGAGGCTTCGGATCATTTTCAGTAAAATGTTTGAGATTGAAATTGGGAGCTTGGAGACGACATATCTCAATTGTTTTGATATTTGTTGATGTAATTCTACGCACTTATTAGAGATATTTCACACATTATACATTTCCCCGTACATTTGCAAAACAGAGTGATAGAGAAATTTCTTCGATACGCGTTCCTCCTTTTGGTCTCTAGGTACACTGGCGTGCCATCAGGTATCGGGGAGAGGCGACGTTGCCAGATGGACGGATAGGGCAGCGAAAGAATGTCTATGGGTTAATTGTAACGGTTTGTTGACTGAATTGATCCATTTAATCCCTCTGTTATACATGTTCGTATTTAACTTTTTTCTCAGAGTGTCTAACTTGTACTGAACATAATCCTTTATGAACTGCTGACGGCGTTGCGTGGTAAGTGCAGAGTCAACTTACTTGACACTTTTCCTTCACAGTCAGTGGATTTATGCTGATAAGAAGGAAATCCTCCCAGAAATTTTAGTTGTATTTTTAGAGGTCTTAAAACTAAATCAGATCAAGATATCGTTATATATGCAATTATTATACTTAAGTACAGCGGCCAAGTACCAGGCATCGCAACGCTCTTTCAGAAAAGTCCAAGCATTATAGCAAGCAAGAGCAGCGAGCAGTGATTCAGCCAAACAAAATCATCACAGATGAAAAGCAGCCACAGGGAGTCAGAAAAGACTAAGAAGACGATCCAGATTTGAAGATCACTCTCGGAGAGGCTAATGTCGTACTGGGCCCAATGGTGATTAACGGAGGAGCACTGAAATAGGCCACAAAGTATCTTTGTATCTGCTCGAAAAAATATTCTGATCCGATTTTTTGCATTAGCTTTGTTTAAAAGTATCTCTTCCATCAAATCTGCGTCATAAATTGTTTGAACAATTTTTTAGAAAAAATTAGGTTTTACATTTTAATGGTAACAAAGTTTCCATTATTTAAGCTTCCATTAATAAATTCCCGCAGCAGTACAGGCCGCTTTTATTGTAAACCTTCATTTTTTAATTGCTAATTAATCGCGTGGTCAATGTATACTCTGCGTGAGAGTGAGAGAGGTACAGCAAAGGGGCGGTCGCAAGCTGCTTCAGTGTCTGTGAGAGTGCAGGGTGCGCGCTTAGTTAATAATTGAAAACAAAATGCTAACAATAGCAATACCTACCCCTTTAAATGCTTTGGGATTTGGTTGATGGATTCTGAAGGCATCATTACTAACTTTGGCAGCATCACAATTTTTGCTTCTTCATATTGTTTTTCAAGGTCGAAAATGGCTTATTTCGCAGTTTTTCAAATAATAAATAGCTTATATCTCGAAGGCTATCAACTTTAGGAGAACAGTTTATAATACCCTTTTTTGTTCAGAGTGACCTAAAAAAGCGAATAAACAAATTATGTAATTTGTTTAAATAAGTTCTTAAATGGGTCCTTTTTTAATAAGAGAAAGAAAGAAAAACGAACCAGAATATCCTTCGGGGCAGATGCTTAGACACTTCCTGGACTATAAGGAATACTGGAGAAAACGGATGGGGTGGAGAGTAGAATGAAGTGATGCTTCTGTAGTAGGTACTCCACTATCTTCATAATGAAGATCAGGAGGGTATCTGAATGTGAAGTAAATTCTGCAGAATTTGCTAGTGGTTGTACTCGATGCTCAATCCAGATAACGTTGACAACTATTGCAGAATATATACTGCTCGATTTTTGAGCAATAAACCACAAAGGCAGCCGAAATCACTAATGAAACAATTTCATAATCCGAAAATCCAGATTATACCTTGTGATAACCTTACACTTATTCACCAAATGGGTAGAAACCTTCGGCTAGCCAAGAAGAGGCTAACGTCACAATATTCCAAGTACTACAAAGATAAAAGATTTATTTATAAAGCAATTATAAAGCAAAATTAATCTTCCGCAGCTGAAAAACTTCCTTGAAAACCCAGAGTCGATTGATAAGAACCATCCAAAAACCAAATTTTAAGCATTTAATAATGTTTGTCTTGTTACTCGAGATAATTCTGCCGCCACTGCACTAATTTCCGAAAACTTACACTACCAAGCAACGGATTCAAACTAGGCTGATTGGGCAAGCATGCGATTTGTTTTGATCCACGAAATCGTAGTCATGTCCATGTCCGATGAGGTTTAAGCAGTTTGACAGTTGTTGACACTTCGCATTGAATTCGTCTTTCTCCGCGAAAATTTATAAAAGTACTCGGGTTTCTATAAACTTTTAGTGTTCTGAACAACTGCCAAAAATATTGAAGGCTTGTGAATTTCAAAAAGCAGTCTAAGCTCAGTAAAGCAGATGCTTTTATCGGTAAATGTTAAAAAAGTATAGACATAGTTGCAAAGGGGCATGCATCTCAGCGTTGGCCTTTTACCTGGACAGTTCTAAGATATTTTTTGCATTTCCTTCCAACCTATTTGAATTGGTTGCTATCAATGTATATGCAAAAGAAGTACTGTGCAGCACAAGTTTTTGGAACCCCTTTTCATGTCTACTTACAGTAAAAGACTGATGTCAATGATTTCTGCAGGCAATTTTGTAGCGTAATCGTCAATCTCGAAAAATATAGGGTCAGAGTACGTAATGGTGATTCATATTTAGAAATCTGTGAAGTGCCAGCGGAGTTAGAAGCAAAAGTCCGAAAAGATTTGTATGGAAGTATCATGGAAAATATTTAATAATGCTGCACGACCCTTGATTGAAGCATCTTAGAAAGAAGGTTTTGTTTGTATAATTTTGACAGATACACTGTGTAAATCAACAGATCACCATTAAAATGCACTTGATAGATACTAAAATTATTCTATTGATCACAATTATTTTTATACCTATCTTATTTGTACTTCGAACCGGTGTTTGGGTACCAAGTGCATTGAAGACATAGGCACAAATAATAAATTCTTGTTTCTTATCATTATGATGACACCTAGACAAGGTTACATGAGGTTAATGAATTGTATCGTAATGTTTTGTTGTTTATGATACTGCTTTCAACATCTCAAATTAATTATACATTTCACATGAAATTTGTGTAATGTATACGATAAGATGACCCTTATTTTGAGAATGATGATTCAAAATAAGTATCTTTTATCTTTAAGGCCCTACCGAAGCTTCAGTCTCGACCACAATCGCTCAATAATACACTTGACGCCACGCATTCGGTCTTCAGATAAAAAAACAAACGGTTCGGCTGCAGGGCGAAGAGGTCAAACAGTCACTACTCACGGGAGGTATTACGGAAGTGCCGTAACCTGAAAGAGTGCAAATGTACATAGTCATAGTCGTCGGGTTTAGGAACAGATGAAACACCTTCCAAAAGGTGTTAAGCGGTTTGTATATCACTGGCAGGTCTTAGTCCATACCTCTTCACTGGCACGATGATCTGAATGCCCTTACGTACTCCAGCTTAACTGCTCAACTTCTATGCTAAGCGCAGAGATGTTGCACCGTACCATCACGCATATATGCAAAGAAAAGCCATTGCTGGCTATTCCGACTACTTTCAGGTTTTTGAAATGATCAAATCCATTTATTTGCGTTCCGTTTCCACGACTTGACCTAAGACCTATACCGCACTGATGAATTGCTAATGAGCACGAAACAGCGTTGTCTGCGATTAGTCTTGGTTACAAAAGACCGAAAACAATCATGTCCTTTTCAGCCGTGTATATTATGCATATATGCATAGATAAGCCATTGCTGATTTGTTCTGTGGACGCCTAGTATTCCGATTACACATACGTTGACCGTGATGGTGCGGCAATATGAGTTAGAGTGCGTCCGGACATCTCCATAGTCTTTATCGTATGGGGAAGATAATGAAAATCAGCTTGGCGAAACCATTGGTAACTGGCGATTGCCAGATTTCCATCTGCTTGTGCACAATGTTTTTTCTCTGATTAATTTTAACTGACTTGATACAGGTTACTAAGCGAACAAAATTATCAATGAATTTGCAGTGCAGTGAAATTTAACTTTCCGTCTGACACTCAGCATGGTTTTAGACAAAATAGATCTGTAGGGACATCAGCATCTTGACCTTTTCAATTATGTTTCTTTACAATTAGATCAAAGCAATTATGTAGTAAGTATGGTGTTCGATCTATCTAAGGCATTTGATTTGCTGAATAAAAATAACATTCTAGAAAAATTAGAATCACTAGGTCATATATTAAAATGAATTGATTCTTACTTGTCAGAAATATAATTATGAAGATTGATAACGTGTTATCAGATTTTCCTGTGAATCTGGGCATTCCCCTTTAGTATTGGGTCCTCTAGTATTTCTGCTTTTCGCAAGCGACTTGGCAGATTTTATTTCAGGGGGAAAAGTTACAATGCTTGGTGAAAATACCACGATCATTGTATCTGGAAGTTCAGTAGATGAACTGAATGAAAACGTAGTAGTTGTCTTTAAAGAAATGGAAGTTTGGTGCCAAAGAAAGTTGATCCTAAATAAAAATAAAACTAGCACAATCAACTTTCACATTAGAAAAACCATACATCCAACTACTAAGACAACATGAAATGTAGAGTTGGATTACAGTTAGTGGATAGCGTGGGACTCCTTGCTAGTTGGATGCAGATCTCTCCTTCAACACCCAAATTCAGAATGTATGCCTGAACTGAAAAGGCTATTATACCATATTTCGTATGATCAATATTTAAATAAAAAGAGCCTATTATCACTATAGCATGCTCTCGTATACAGTCGTTTATCTTATAACATGCTGGGCTAGAGCTACAAGCATCAACATAGTTTTTATATCACAAAAACACACACATCCAAACTAAGCTCTTAACAGTTCCATGTATTTACATATACAACTATGTTAACTATGTGCTTTTTCACATGGCGTGCATTTATTTCTCCAAATTAAAAAAAATTATTAACAAAAAAAGGAGCTTTGTGGATTTGAACCTACGTCCTGCGTTGTTCTTTCCCATTACACTATGACGCCTCTTGGCTCCCTGGATATTTATAGCACTACACTTGACACTGACAAATGTTAAGCGAACGTTGGAGACATCAAATATATTATAAACAATTAGAATAGTCTTGAAAACTATACAAGATACAATGCTGAAACTCTAAATAATGTATTAGGGACTAATTCCGAGCATCTTGGCTAATTTTGAAGACGGTCTTTTAGAAAAAAGGTCCAGAGAATTATATTCCTTCGTAAAGAAACTGGATTACGTGAACTACTTATTTGACAAAATCATGCAGTCATCAATAATGCAGCCTTTTACCACATGCTACATACTAACTAATCTAAGACAGTTTGAAATTTAATTGTGGCTTCAGTTTGCGTGCTTACTTAATAAACAGTTCAACGCGTTTCAGTATGAAATATTTTTTTATCAAGTTTAGGGCTCATCTGTGACTGTGTAAAAATTTCAGCTCTAAATATGTATACACAAGAGTATGGAGAAATCTTGAAGAAAAATTGTTTTCTTCGCAACAAAAGGTGGTGGACACATCCGCTTTTTTTTAAAATGTGTATTATACCATATGTTTTTCGAATACCGTAGCGAATCTGTTCAGTTACTCACAAATACGAAATGTTTGAATTTGTTTAGAAGAAAAAACATAACTCTTCGTTTTCGCATAAAAACAACAATTATCTTTCGAAATGGTTTGTGATTTATGTCGGCAAGGTAAACTCGTGTATTTTGCTATAAAATGCCCTTTGAACGAATCCTGATTATTGCTCAGTAAACTAGTAGTGATGGCCGAAAGACATGTGTTTTGGGATAAACAATTAGGAATTCTCTAAGACTACTTGACCAATCGACTTCAATTTTGTTGTGGTTACTTAGAAATATAAAGCCTACGGATATGAAGAATTTCACGTAGCTGCATGGGATTATTGTCGCATTAGCAGCAAGTGCCAGAACCTGCATTTTGCCTCGGTTTTCGGCCATAACTGTTTTACTATTAGTCGTGTGGTCTCATTCTGTAGGTCTCATAAATACCTAAAGATCTTATTGAAAGAGTTTTTTTATTCCTGCCAACACTTTCGATTGAATCCCAAAAAACGCGTTTTCTCATTCTTTGTTGTCGAATAAAAAGTTTTCCCACAAAAATTGGTGTACCCATTTTATGCGTCCATGTCTTAAATACTCCTTGAACAACTTGCATCAATAAGATCAGACTTTACAATTATTTCGCAGACCAGGGATATTTTCGTCTAATATGATTAGACTATGTGTGACTGTAACCACTACTATAACTACGAGCCACTTCCCACTTCAGTTGGCACACTTCAAGATTTGTACCAAAATATGCCTTTATAGACTAAACATGACGAAACTATTTACTTCTAAAACAATTTATTTTCTCAAAAATATTTTAGATACACTCTAGTCGTAAAAAATACATATTTGAAATCACTTAGACCTATAACTAATAGAACATCTGAACAAATAAACAATGTGCGAATAAATGCGCGAAGTTAACAAAGCAACAATTGAAAGATTACCATTGGGTGATATCACCTTTATTTTTTATTACGGCTGAAATTCTTTGGGGTATAGTGTTAACCAAGTTTTGGCAAAAATTTGGTGTAAAACAATCCCATATTTCTTGAAGCTTTTGTCTCAGTTCGGTGATTGTACGAGCAGGATGTTGTCCTAGAACCTTTTTCATCTCGTGCCACAAAGTTTCAATAGGTGACAGATCTGGACTGCTAGAAATTTCAAAAGTGGTACATTATTTTCTTCTATCCATTTTATAGCCTGTTTTGAGGTATGGCACGCTGCACCATCTTGCTGAAACACAAAATCTTGGCCGGTTGTCAAACATTCTTCCATCACTTGTAAAAGCGATTCTTCTAAAACTACCAAATATTTGTTTGTATCCACATTTCCATCAATAAAATGAACTTTTCCTACTCCTTTTGATGACATACTGCCCCAGACCACAATGAATGCTGGAACTTTCACTTTTCTCTTCAGACACTCAACATGGAATGCTTCATTTTTTTGCGAATAACTCTACTGCGACTGTCACCAACACAAACTTCGAATCGGGCCTCATCACTCCATTGTATTGCACACCATTGTTGAGGTGTCCATTGTGTATGTTCTTTAGCCCATCTAAGCCGATTTTTCTTTTGCAGTTGATTTAATAGTGGCTTTTCTTTGGCCTATAAACAAGTTGTGCAACTTTAGGGTTTTTACTTAACTTTTTTTATAAGAAAACTTACCTTGCAAGTGCTGAATCCCAGTTTGTGGGCCTCTCTATGAGTTGTGGACCTCGAAATTCGCGTTCCAACAGCGTCACTCCACAGAGCACTTAATTGTAAATAATTGGCACGCCTGTTTTTCACGATTATTCTTCTTAATGCTAACCAGTTACGTTATATCTTCTAACAATATTTCTCACACTGTACCGCGATAAGTCTAACAAAGTTGCAATTTCTGAATTTGATTTCCCAGAACTAAAAAAATTAATTATCAGTAACCGAATTTTCTCACTAATAACCTTTCCTCTACCCATTTTGAAAACCTTAACTACCCAAAACTATTTTAAACGTATTCTGACAGCTGTGATTAATAAAAACAATTGTCATGGCTTTTTATTTTGCATTGAAATGAAAATAGGTTGATATGGTGTAATTGCAACATGTGTTATTTTTATGCTGCAAATTTTGTAGGGAGTGATAAAGTTGGTGTTTTCTACTATATATTATCAAAATATTCATTGTTAATATTTTAAACCTATAACACCATACTACATTTTTATTATTTGTGTTTGATAAGAAAAAAACTAAGATTTCAATAGTTGGGCCAACTGAAGTGGGAAGGGGCTCGTAGTTATATGGCTTATCGCCCATATAACTAGTCATAACTTGTATTTTTTGTCATTTTTTTTTTGTTTATATTGTGGTGCAACAAACATTGTTAGCTCACTCTGTATTATATTCACATTTATTTTGACGTATGTATCAAGTATGCTACTTTTCTTTTGATAACCTTTGTTTGAAATTTAGCTAAATGTACTACTACTATTATTTTTTACCAACATAATAGATATCTGGAGTTTTATAGTATTTTCATCCAAAGATAACACATCTTCATAAGATGTAGGTATTCATAGTCATCAAATTATTTTCATGTTTTATGTTTTATCGGTTGAATATTAAGAATTACGGTAAACAAAAACAAAACAGTAATTCCTACTTACGAGCAGTGGATCGGGATGCAGAGACGTTCATTATTATGACTAAAAAAACCTTCGGCTTTGCATCCGGCCGTAGGTTGTATTAAAAGTGATACACCACATTCGGCTTCGGCCAAAAGATTGATTATCGGTTCGACTCTATACAGGGTGTCCTATTTTAATCTCCCCACCTATTTCAAGAACTACGCATTCTAGAAAAAATTTTCAAACAAAAGTTGTAAGATTTCGACGGAGAAAAATAATAGTAACCTTGAAAATTACCTTGACTACGACCTCCAAGGTCATTACAAGGTCAAACGAATATTTTCAAATAGAACTTTCCACTTTTTACATAGGAATTAAGGAGATGAGTAAATCTTTGTCCCGAATATGACCATCACCATGACCTTGACTATTATCTTCAAGGCCATTTCATTGTCTGATCAGAACGGTGAAAACAATTTGCTCTGGCAAAAATGTCCGATAGCATAGTTGTGAGTCTTGTGGGGATCACCTTAGGGTGACATTAACCATGACGTTCAAGATCACGTCAAAATTTCCAAATAAAACATCTCATTCTTATACCGGAAATGGAAAAAGCAGGAAATTTCTCGTACGAATATGACCTTGATCTCGAGTAACATTTAATCTTGACACTACCTTGACTGTCAGGTCTAGGTCACATTCGGCGTAAAATTTCCCGCTTTTTCTATTTCTAATGTAAAAATGAGAGGCTTAACGGTCATAATTAAGGTCATGGTCACGTTTGAGTGATCCTCACAAATGCCGCAACTGTGCTCTCCAACATTTTTGATAGAGCAAATTGTTTTCAACGTCTTGATTATATCTTGGAATGGCCTTGAAGAAAATCGTCAATGTAATGGACGTAAAATTTACTGTTCCTTTCTATTCCGATGTAAAAAAGGAGAACTTCTATTTCAAAATATTCGCTTGACTTTGAAATTACCTTATAGGTTGTGGTCAATGTCATGCTCCCTTGAAACTGTACAAGTGTTGCTTGAAACTTATTTTCCAGAATGCTTAGTTTTAGAAATGTTTATTGGGGGAACACCCTGTATGGTTATCATGCAAAGTCACAGCACTTAGGTCTCAATGGGCCGATTCTTTTGTCCTGGGGTTATTCGGGGCTCGACCATAAGCCAATACAAACTGACAAATAAGGTGCAATTACCCAGCGGAGTAGCTTACATTCAGTACCAACAGATTCTCGTATCGATATATGCCTTATTGTAAACGCCTTTTGAGAGTAAAAGAAGCGAAACTCTTCCGCTGGGTTCCTTTATTACAGATAATCAAATGGAGGCGCGCGCCCTGGAGAGGCGCGACGCTGAGCGACATGTTACGTTTGATGTGCACAATGACAAATTTTGGATTTTGCCGCGATACGATTCGTGTCGGATCGCAATAAATACTGTTTATTCGTGTAGCATTCGCCTGAGAACAAACGTCAATGAATTGAATGATGACACAAAGTAAATCAGGATAAGAATAGAAAAATCCCGGAATGCATTCAACAACATGAAGCATATACAGGGTAACCCATCCATGTGTGGACGGAATATTACTCATAAACAAATACGTATACATTTTGGGAAAATCTATTCATGGCATATTATACATGGCATTTGAGGGCACATTTCAAAAATATTGGCTATTATACAGGATGTCCCAATTTTGACCTACATATCAAAGTTGTGATTTTTTAAATAAAATGCCTCAAATTCTATTGCATATTTGGATAAACCAATTCAAAAGAAGAAGATTGATATGTCATACTATGGGGTTTTGGTAATTAGCTACTGAGGTGTAAGGTGTTTTGTCCAGAAAAACCGTCCACTTTGGCAACCCCTCAATCCGTCATTTTGAAATTTGGAATGCTGAATTTTGTATCAAAAAAACTTACACACCTCAGCTTTTACACGGCTGTGTATTCAACATGGTGGATATATTTTCGAGCAGTTTTAGTAGATTAGGTCTTGAGTAGTGACAGTTATTTGTTTATGTTGTTGTTATAGTTCTTTTTCTCTATTACGCTTGAAGCTGATTTATACTGCTCTGATTGCTATTAGTTTTTACGTCAAATCTGTTCTCTTAGCGCTCTTTCACATGGTCAGGATATTTATCCGTCCGTATGATCGCCCAGCCGGGCAGCACCCTGGAGCTCTCTTCACACGGGTGGACGGGTGTGTGCGAAAATCCGGACCACTTTTTGCTAGGTACTTCAGTTTGCCGCTGATTATGATGGACAGTAGACGCAAAACGATTTTGTTCGCTTTATTAAAACATCGGCGAAAAAAACAACGTAATAGGCAAATTTGGGTTCACCCTTTGCTAGAAAGCAGATACCTGGAAGGAGCATTCTTTGTGCTTTTTCAACAACTGAAAGAAGACGAAACTAAGTTTTTAAATTATTTTCGTATGAGCGTTTCTTCTTTTGATGAGTTGCTGCAACGTGTGCAGACACAGCTACAAAGACAAGATACAAATATGAGGAATTGCATCCAACCTGAACAAATGTTGGCTGTTACATTAAGGTATGTTTATTTAAAATAAATAAAAACAAAATATACATTTTAGGTTAATATTCTATTTTTTTAATGCATAAATATATTTATTATTATAATACTTCAAAAGATCAAAAGTCAATATCTGAATTATGTGAGAAAGGGGATGTCAAATTGCTATAATTACTACTAGATTGTGTGTCATTAGAACCAGGAGATATGATGTTTGTAGATATGGTACTCGATGGAATCGTTTCATGATGTTGACTAGAGACCCTGCCTAGCAGTGGAGTGTATGAAAGGTCAGAAGAGGGATATTGCTGAGAGTTCTGTAATGGAGAGCTGCAGGGGTACTGGTGTGTGTGTTGTTGAGAGCATGGAGGAGCATAAATCTGCAGCTGTTGAGGTTGGGTTGTTGGAATAGAGACAGTGTTTTGAATGTTTTTAATCACCTGCAGAACTCCCATCTGAAAATCTACAACCCATCTCCCCATCTCATGGAAGAATGCCCTTAAAAAATTGCATATGACGGTCCTCTTGGTCTACTGCCTCTAAGCATTTAAGCATCCTTAGCTCAAATTCGTCGAAGGTTCGCTTCCTCTTCCTCGTTGACTGTTGCACAGATGTGGTCTTCACGGAAGGGATTTTTGCAGTTGGAGTTTGTGAAGTCTGCTTAGTTGCATCCGGAGTCGCCGTCCCTTGATCTTCTGCTGACTGGAGCTCTTCAGTTTGCTGCTGACTTTCTGCTTCATCTGAGTGCTCATAGGCCATGCTTGCATCAGTTGACCGGTGATATAAGCCTTGCTCTAGAAAATTTAGTTGTTCGTGATACAAATACTTTCGCAGTTTTGATGCAGCTGCTCCTGATTTTTTCGAGTTTTTGTCTCGATTCCTCCATTTAAGCCACTGGTCTCTGATATTATTCCACCTTTTAAGAACTAGTTGACCTGTAACAAAAAAAATATTCAACAATACTAGACTCGAATTATACATTTTCAATTTATTGTTTATTTTTTTTTACTTTCAGGTAGCTGGCTAGTGGATGTAGCTTTACAGATCTGTATTATAGCTATCGATTGGGAATTTCTACAATTTCAAAAATTGTTAGAGAGGTCTGTGACATTCTTTGGTCGTGCTTAGTTGAAGAATGTATTCCGAAACTTACGAAAGAACGTTTTGAGTCAGTAGCTGCTGGATTCGAAAAACGAGCGAATTTTTTCCACTGCATTGGTGCTGTGGACGGGAAACACATTAGAATTGTAAAACCCGAGTTTAGTGGTTCCTTATACTATAATTATAAGTCCTATTTCTCAGTTGTGTTGATGGCAGTTGCTGACTCGAATTATCGGTTCATTTATGTTGATGTAGGTGCATATGGGAGTGAGTGTGATTCAAGTATATTCAAAGAAAGTAGTTTGTGGAAGAGTATACAAAAAAAGTCCTTGGAATTGCCATCTGCAAAGCCTCTACCTGGTTCTGAAGCTCCAAACGTACCTTATTTTCTCATGGATTAAATATTAATCTACTACGGCCTTTTGGAGGAAAGGAACTTTCACAGAAGAAAAGGATTTTCAATTATCGCCTCAGCCGAGCCAGGAGATATGTTGAGTGTTCCTTTGGTATACTGACAAACAAATGGAGAATTCTTCATCGATCTTTAATGTTAATACAGATTTTGCCGTTAGTATTGTGAAAGCTTGTGTAGTGCTTCACAATTTCGTGAGAGAAAGAGATGGCTATAACTTCGAGGATACCATGACAGTTGTGGGTATGAATGATTTGCCAGCACAAGCAAATATGCAAGGTGGAAGGGCAGCTAATAATATCAGAAATGTTCTGAGTGACTATTTTCTAACTGAAGTAGGCAAAGTATCATGGCAGTTGTCGAAAATTTAGGAATCTTGTTTTATTTATTATATAATTATACTATTACCCAACCTTAACATATGTTTAGTTCAATGTTCATAAGAAATAAGAGGCAAATAATAAAATAACTTTAAACTTACCAAATACTTTTCTTTCCCCGTCACTCAAATTTCCAAAATTTTCCTTCAACTGGGCACAAATACTTCTCCACGCTTCTGTTTTTTTGTTGCGATTTTTGTAATCCTCGGCAGCTTTGTCCCAGATTTCTGATTTATCCTGAACTAAACTAATCAGGATTTCAGAATCTATTTGTTCTACTTCTTTCGACATGATCAAATGCTCGTAGCTACACTGCAGAGTACACACGGTCTTCGTTCGACAACGGACTACACGCTACTGGACTGCAAACAAGTATAAACCAATCGGACGATTAAACACCCGGATCATGTGAATGCATTCATGGCACACTGTAGTCCGCTAGGGCATATTCCGGGCGATTACCCGTCCGAGCTCCGTGAGTTCTAGCGGGGACATCCGGGCGTTTTGTATGCCCGGACGGGGATTCACCCGTGTCCGGGAAGTGTGAAAGAACCTATGCTAAACTGTGTATTACTATTTGTCCGGTTGACGGGCGATCACACGGACGGATAAACCCCCTGACCATGTGAAAGAGCGCTTAGTGGCAATATATAACTAGCCCACTATTTGTCTTTTGTTTCCATAGATGATGTGATTTTTTACTTAATTTTGGTGTGTTGTTCTATTAAAACCTTAATAACTCAGAATCTAATGATTTTATGTGAATCAAATCTTATATAGAAAAGCGTATGAAAAATTTAATCCAAACTTGCACAAATATACAGGGTGATGCATTTGAAATGTTTGAGAAAAACGAAAATTTGCGTTTTTGATCACCCTGAATGAGCAAAAATTAAAATTCGAAAAAGTAACAAATAAGATAAAAGCTGAGATGTGTGTCTTTTTTGATACAAAATTCAGCACAAGTTACAAAATGGCGGACTGAGAGGTTGCCGAAGTAGGGGTTTTTCTAGACAAAATACCTTATATCTCACTAGCTAATTACCAAAACCCCATAGTATATGTCATATCAATTTTGTTTTTTGAATTGGTTTATCCAAATATGCAATAAAATTTGAGGCATTCAGTTCAATCACAACTTCGATATGTAGGTCAAAATTAGGACCCCTGTATGATGACCAATATTTTAGAAATGTGCCCTCAAATGTCATGTATAACATCCCATAAATGGATTTTCTCAAAATGTATTTGTTTATGAGTAATATTCCGTCCACACATGGATGGGCCACCCTGTCTATTAGCGGCAGTCGCATTACGTATCTTGAAAATGACATGGCAGTTTCTTTTTTGACATTATATAGTTTTTTGTGGCATTAGTCTAGTCAGCAAGTTTACATTTTGTCGGTTTTTTAAATTATAAAGTTTTTTTACGTAATGACCCTGCCTACGCATGAATTTGAGATTATCGATACCCAATGCTTTATATAATCAAGGGCACATTGCCCGTGGAGACAAATACGAGTACATGTTATTAAACTAATCAATGATCATGCAGGGTAAGATTCAAGTTAAGTAAAATATCGGCAGAAGAAACATTTTTGTTAAGGAATCTTACACAATGGTTCCAGTCAACTGTTTCGTGCAGCAGCCTCGAAAGTCAAGATGGCATCGGCGATAGCCAACCTTCATAGTAAAGATGGCACGAGCATTAGTCTAAAACAGTTCCAAATAAAAATACCTAGAGATACTTATGTATTTTTTATTATTCTGTAATAATCTAACAAGTGACATATTTTTACGTTAATACTGATAGAAGTTTCCGTCAGAAGGTTGTCTGGAGTAGCCTGCATTCGTTTGAGGACTATGGTGTGAAGAGTTCATCAGCTTGGTATTGCTAGGATGTCTTCGTTCTGTTATACCTCCAACGAGGAGTTTTTGGGCCTGCAAAAAAGGGGTACATTCTCAAACTTACAAGTAGAAAACCTTAAACGCGGAGACTTGTAATTCCATCTGGCAACCGCAACTCATCTAAAGGATTCTTACATGAACAGAAAGTTGTATAAGCTGTCGGGACAAGGGTTCACCTATGGCCCCACTTAGTAGTGTGGAAAGAATGAGTTTTCATAGTGTGAAATGTTTATTTCAGGACTGTTAAGCAATAACAATGAATTTTGAAAGACGTTCAGCATTGGTATAATCGGCTATAGTGGAATCGTGAGTATTTGCATAAGTTAACTTATTCCATGGAAGCAAGGTTAATAAGTGTTTTATGCAATTTTCGAATTATGACAGTATTACAGGAATACCGGCAATTACTCGGAAGTATTAAAAATATGTCAGGATTTCCTGATTGCTAATTCGGCAACGGGATAATCCTGTCCATTGCCATTCAGAAAACTGGCATGGGCACCCGCAGGAATTTTTGCGCAGAGCGACCGATCATCGGTGAGAGATATTTTTTGTGAAAATGCACAGTGAGAAAACGTGGTTAATTAAACAGTTGTTCTGGAAAACTTTCATTATCCGTAAAACATTTTTTTAATTATTCTAATTTGTTAAGCATATGCTTGAAAATCGCAAACTATGCACTTGTTTTATTGAACTGTACATTTAGGGAATTTAGTTTATGTAGAAAAGGTACATTAAAAACAATTAAACAGTTTAATGAAAGCAGTTTAACTTTTATTTGTATCGTTTTAAGTATTAGCCTGACTTGTGCCGCCATGGAGTTCCGGCCAGAGAGGGCCCTTATTCGGCATAGTCTAATTATATTAGCAAATTAATAATTGTTTTATTGGTGCAAGTTGTTCAAAAGGGTATTCAAAACGTGGACGCATAAAATGGGTACATCAATTTTTGTGGGAAAACTTTTTATTTGACAACAAAGAATGGAACGGAAAAACTTTTCAAATAAGACTGTTTGCTATTTATGAGACCTACAAAATGAGACCACGCGTAAAAAGATCGCAGAAATGTTATGGTTGAAAAACGAGGCAATATGCAGGTTTCGGCACTTGGTAATGCTACGCTAACTTCACGCAACTACTTGAAATTCTTCAAAACTGTAGGATCATACTTCTAAATAACAATAACAAAATTGGAGTATATTGGTCTAGAAGTTTTTTGAGAATTCATAATTGTTTATCCCAAGACACCTGTTTTCCGGCCATCACTACTAGTTTATTGAGCAATATACAGGGTTACAAAAAGCATTTAATAGCAAAATACACGCGTTTACCTTGCTGATATTAATCACAAACCATTCCGAAAGATAAATGTTTCTATGTGAAAAACAAAGGATCTTCTTCTAAGCAAATTCAAACATTTCGTATTTGTAAGTAATTGAACAAATGCGCTACGATATTCTAAAAACACACGTTACTATACACATTTTAAAACAAAGCGGACGTGTCTATCATCTTTTGTTGCGAATTACTCATAAATACGAAATGTTTGAATTTATTTTAGAAGAAAAAACGTAACCCATCCTTTTTTGCATAAAAATATAAATTTATCTTCCAGGATAGTCTGCAATTCATATCGGCAAGGTAAACTACTGCATTTAACTATAAAAAGCCCTTTGAACTAACTCTGTATATTGCTCAATAAACTAGTAGCGATGGCGGGAAAACAGGTGTTTTGGGATAAACAATTACAAATTCTCAAAAACTACTTGACCAATCTACTTCAATTTGGTTGTGGTTATTTGGAAGTACGAATTTCAGGAATTTCAAGTATCTGCGAGAAACCATGGTTGCATAACCAACAAGTGATAAAACCTGCAGTTTGCCTCGGTTTTCGGCCACAATTTTTTTGCTATTAGTCGGATCTTCTTACGTGTGATCTCATTTTGTAGGTCTCGTAAATATCTAAGAATCCTATATGAAGAGTTTTGCCGTTCTTGCCAACACTTTCGATTGAATCCAGAAAAAGCACGTTTTCTCATTATTTGTTGTCGAATAAAAAGTTATCCCGCAAAAATTGGTGTACCCATTTTATGCGTCCATGTTTTAAATACCCCCTTGAACAACTTGCAACAATAAAACCAGACTTTACAATTATTCCTCAAACCAGGGGCATTTTAGTCTAATATGATTAGACTAGCAGGTAGAAAATACCAGCTTCATCACCGCCCCAATATGGACAATTCAGCGTCGGTAGATTCACATGTACCGCGGTTAGTGAATGCGATCTAGTGAAATGGGGGCCCACAGAAATGATGCAATTTAAGCCCTTACAACATGGATATTCGTCCCTTTTGAATGAGGCTGTGCAAAAAAACAGCTCCAAAATATTTTTCAGGGTGGATATGAAGATACGAGGTCTGTAAATCAAATGTTGAGACTGGCAACGCGTCGTTCGATCTGGCAACACTGGAAACGCCGGATTTGGCGAGGAAATAAGAGAACATGTAATCCGCCCAGTGTTGCCAATCAGCAGAACTTTTTGGATCGTGGAGGAACTTTCTTGAATCCTAAACTTTAGAGAAACTTTTTGCAAGGAAGAGTTTATTTTTGGAATTTTTAAAAAAACTTGAACATTCTCAAATATTTGTTGAAAGAAATACCGGCAATACCATAAAGATACCCTGACAGGGAACAGTTTCGATTTGAACATCTGAGAATTCTCATTGTCTCCACTTTGTGTCAGGGTAAAGTTTTCAGAACTTTCGGCAACCTGGCACGAAACTTTTGCAACTCAACTGGTTTATTGCATCACGATAATACTCCTTGTCACACAGCAGTGTCACTTGTGACTATTACAGTATCGGAGTTTCAGCACTGTTATGAGGAGTGCAAGAACCGTCGCCAGCGCCGTGTGGATTTAGAAGGAAGTTATTTTGAGGGTGATAATATAAAACTGTAATTATATTTGAATAAAAAAATCTAAAAAGAATCAGTCTCATCACTTAATTTACAGACCTTGTACTTGCTGGTCTACTTCACAGTTGTGTTTTGGAACGATGCGCAATTGTCGGCTCCAGCTTCTACATAATGAGCTCATTGCAAAGAAGACGCATGAAACATGAATCCCAGGATACTTACAAAATTGTACCTATAAGGCAACTTGACAATCGGCCTGGTCCCCTTTTTGGACAAAGACAGCTTCTTTTTAGGCGGCTTCCCCTTACTGTCCCAAGCACTTCCTTCAGCATCTTCCTCATGTCCTGCCTTCTGGGCTTGACTGGCCTGCTCTTCTCGGTCTGGCGTCAAGTCCCTGGTGTTCCTCAATCGACGCCATGTTGCGATGTCCTGAGTCTCCCGCTGGAGGTAGACGTCGAGTTGGTCAGGAAAGAATTCGGTGGACTGATCAAAGGTAGAAGAGAGGACGAAGTCCAGTTGGTCTTGAGGAGCATGCTCACTGTTTGGGTTAATTATTAGTTTTGTACAGCAAGTTCTTAGAAAACGACTTTTCTTTATAGAGAATCTGCTTATCAGGTAGGCATTCAAGAGCATTATCTTCTGTTGGAAGAAGTAATTCCCATAGAATAGATACCAGTTAGTGGCGAGGAAGTTGAAAAAAATAGCGTCAAGAAGGTTGATTCTGCAATTCACACGGAATGCTGTCATCAGTTCATAAAAGATTGTTCGGAAGTTAGTCTCTTTGAGAACTACCAACATGTAAAAATTAAATTCATCATGTCAGTCAAACATACCCATACATTTAGTCCAAAGTCCCCCACACATCTGACATCTAGATAATAATAATAATAATAATAATAATAATAATGCCTTTATTAGCTGCAGTGAGGCGAAGTTTAGCCAGACGGCTACTCTTACACCCAACCCCACAACAGGAAAAAAGAATACTTGAACACATAAACAAAATAATAACATACCAAAAAAATACAATTCATAAGAATGACAACATTGATTGCACGAGACAAATGTAGATAGTATTGCGAGAGTTTTAAATTTGAAACAAAAATAGTAGAAAATAGTCAAACAAAAAAAAAGTACATGAACATGAAAAACTGAACTAAATGGACTGACTTTTCATCAATTTCTCAAAAGAAGCAACCTGTTTGGATCGATAGCCACTGTTGACTGCATTGTAATGCTTGACAGCATTATAGGTGTAACTTCTTTCAAAGACCGAGGTATTGTGAGGAGGCATGTTAAAATTAGCATTAAATCTAAGAGCTCTGGTAACAAAACTACCTCGGTGAACTAATTTGCTAGCGAGGTAAGCTGGTCTGTTAGATAATAGAACTTTATGCGTGAAGACGGTCAAAAGATATAAAAATAACTGATCAATTCGCAACCAGTTGAGTTCTTTGATTTTATCTGAGACGCGACTAAACTTGCGCAATCCAAAAATAAACCTACAACAGTTGTTCTGAATTTTCTGGAGTTTCCTTTTGTGGACGTAGTCTAAACATGGCTAATAAATAACAAGAGAGTAAGAAATGACAGACAACACAAGGCTTTCAGCGAGCTTTTTTCGGGTTTTAAAATTCAAGATGAATCGATTAGAATAGAGGAGTTTCAAACGCATGTACGTTACTCTAGATAAGAAAGAGACATGCCGATCGGATCTCATATTTAAGTCAAGGATAACACCGAGATTCTTGGCGTAATCCGCAAAAGGGATGAGTGTCTCATCCAAAACAACACAAATTATCTGCTTTATTTCACGGTAGGAGTTCTTCGAACAGTAGAACATTGCAGTAGTTTTATTAGGATTGATCTTCAAGCAGTGTTTGTTACAGTAATCACTGATGTTAGGCAAATCTCAACTAACTTTAAAAGAAACTTCTTCAATCTTTGATGGATCGAAACCAAACACTAACTGAGGATCATCTGCATAAGTTTGCATACTACAGTGGACTAAACAGTCTTGCGCATCGATCGTATAAATCAGATATAGTAAGGGACCTAAAACTGAGCCCTGAGGAACTCCTGAAGGAACTGGCTCAGAGGACGAAATTCCCTTGTTGACGATTCAGCAAGTATGACTCAAAGAACCTTAGAACTATATCTGACATTCCATAATGAGATAACTTGCTCAGTAGTATCTGGTGATTGACCATATCAAATGCTTTCGAGAAATCTAACAGTACCAAGACGGTGTTGATGTGATTATCTAAATTGTGAATGATGGAATCAGTAAGATGTAACAAAGACGAAGTAGTGCTGTAACCAGCTCTGAAACCTGACTGATGTAGAGGAAATAAGTGATTTTGTTCGAAAAACTCCACTAGTTGTGAGTAGACAGCTCTTTCGAGTATTTTTGATAGAAAGCATAATAAGGTAATTGGCCTGAGATCCGAATATTGTTCTGGATGATTAGTTTTGGCTATTGGAATAATAATACCATTTTTCCAACTGGCAGGAAAGTAACCTGTTTCGAGACAGACATTAATAATGTGAGTTATATGGTCTGTATCTATAAATTTCTCTCCTGCCCTAACGAAGGACATCGACCAACATTGCCCTGCGTAGCGCAAGGTTGTATTACGTAAAAAACACACATAATGCCAAAAAGACCTTCATAATATCATAGAGAATCGATATAATGTCACTATTTAAGTTACGTAATACAGGTGCGGGCTTGGTGCTCGCTGCAGCCATCCATCGGTCTGACATCGTTCAGCGCTTGAAATAGGTACGTTCGTTGAGATTCGTAGATGTGGTACGCATGTATTGAAAATATTTATCGATCGGTTTTAAGGGTCGGGGAAGTCTGTGATGTGTGAAATATGTCTAACAGATGTTTTGAATTACCTTAATTGAATAATAACGCCAAACAATTGCGATGTACCTGCCCTCACCCCCAACAACCCCCAATTTTAAGCCCCTACAATATTTTTCTGAAAATGATCAGGAATATCTGAAAGATAGATACGAACTTTTTGAGGTTTTAATTTGGATCGATTTTCAAAGAATGGAAAGCTTTTTTGTCCTTGACCTAGTAGTAACCTCACGTGGAAATGTCATCAAAAGGCGAGCGAGACTTTTCAATTTATAGACGGATTACCAGATACACCGACAGACAGACCGACGAAAATGAGCGACGTTTTTTCGTGGTGCACATGCCATATACAGGGTGTTAGGGTAATAATATTCGTAACTTTAAAAGATGATTCCTTGCATTATTCTAAGCAATAAAGTTCATTATAAATTATGTCCGAAAATCAATTGTTTTCGAGGAAAGTGAGTCGTAAATAATTAAGTTTTCTCAAACATTTGGCAACGCTACAACGAAACCGCGATACGAGCGCACGACGACCGCAACTGATTCATCGAATTGTTTACGTTTGTATGATATTTTTGTTGAAAATATGATTTGAATTATTGAATACTTTTACGCAATTTTTTGTGACTCATTTTTGCTATTTAATAACGCTTTCAGTACAGTACATTCACTTTAAAAAAAATGACAGAGCTTACCGATACGTGGCGATACACACCACCAATTCCCACGATTATCAGTCACTTATTTGAAACGATACGATGCACGAAAAAAGAAAAAACCAACGTCCGTAAATCACATAAAGTTACAGTTAAATGTATTAGTAATCACACGCGAGGATACATGCAGTGCAGGCGGGGTACGACGTTGCCAGTTGTTTGAGCGACTTTGTTTGTCTGTTTTTCTTCGGAAAATTGTATTTAATAAGCAGAAAAATTATTTTGTTATAGACAGTTAATTAATAAATAGATGTACTGATACATTTTACACTATTAGGAATTTAAATAACGAGTATTAATGGGCAAAATTAATTTATTTCATGACTAAAAAGAAATACGTTCAGCATATCTTTGCTTTTGGACATAGGGTATAATGAACTTTTTTGCTTAAAATAATGCAAGGAATCACCTCTTAAAGTTACGAATATTATTTCCCTAACTCTCTGTATAACATCCGAAACGCATATTTCCTTTTTAAAATGTTTCGCTAGTACAATACTTGCTTTACCATCTACCTCTCTGTGGGGATAAATTTTATAAATGTTTAGGACTATGACAGGGGTTCCACTACTAAGCTGGATATCAAAGTTGTTTTTTATCCATATTTTTATTTATATTTTCAGACAATTCTGAATACTTAGGTATCTCAAAATGACATTTTTGCCACCACAATAATACCTAAAAACATCTAGTCAACAAGGCATTCAAGTAGAACGATTCAATACTTTCCACGCAAGTATAACTATTCTTAGTTATAATTACTTGCTTGTACCTCCTGGTACTCAACTAGAAAATGTTCAAAAATGATATTCAGGTCGACTATACTCTTAACATTTGGAGCATGATGCGGAGAATTTTATTGTTTGATATAAAATACTACGTCCAATGTGATCATCATAAGAATTATTTTAAAAATAATTTCTTAGTTATATTAAGAAATGATTTTTTGGGTGGTCTTTTCAGTTCCTCATGACCACGCAGCCCGCTCTTCAAATCTTCAAATTCGACTCAAAATGTCTAAGCGGAACTAACTACACGATTTATCTTACCTGAAAGGTTTGAAGAGAAAGTTCTTCCTTGCACTAGCAAGCGTATTATGCCTATACAACCGGATGAAAGGACTCCACGACGAACATAATATAGCTTCAGCCTTCTGGACCTCAATCGGAGGAGCCCTTTCGAAGACCCCTTCGGTCTGTAAGTAGGGCATGCAGCCCCTGTTACGAATGCGTTTCGCCGTCATTCTAACGTTCGTGTGTGCTGTTCACAGGTCGATGTTGACGTTCTAGAAAAGCTGGAATTTCTCCCTGTCCCTGCCCTGCTTGTTGTTACTAATTTTTGCGTGTCATCGCAGGAATTCGGTCACCGGAAAGTCGAGATGGATTTGTGCGGTATGCAGCGGTGCTCCACGGGAAACGGTGAACCATCAGCGGTCTACGGGTTTTTTGAATGGGGTTAGACCTCGGGTTAGACATATTGTGTCACCGTCAAGTGACATGATGTTGATTTGCGACAGACTTGGCACATTGTTATGAAGTCCCACATGCAATCCCTGCAGACTCTGCAAGACAGATGCTTGCGAACTAACATATACATATAAGTAGTTTTGCTCGTTGGATGCTTCGAGCAAGGCCGTACACGGAGGTCGCAACATTTCTTTGTTTGAGTGTCTATGTGCAAGCGGAATAGCATTGCCTTTGTTGCGTGAATCGGTGGACTACACAGTTGAGCAAGTTCGCAGACATTGCTGACCGCTATCCGCAGGGTGATAAAATTAAAAAATCGAGATAGTCAAAGACATTCTACCACTTTCATCAATTCTTTGACGTGTCCTCTTCTAATAGCTCCAATTCTTACGCATTGCTATTTATCTCTACTCTTTCGCAATAGGCCTACGTAATGGCAAACTGACAAAAAACTTACCGAAAGGCTTTCATAAAAAGGCAAAGATTATACCGACATCTTCTACATACGATGTCGAATAGTGGTAAGAAAGACCGAACCAATCTGCCACATGTTACATAACTTGTAGTTTTTATAACTTTGGGGTTAATTTGTATGGAATATGAAGGAATGATGATTGCTTTTAGAATGCCTCCTGGAGTTAAAAAGTCTGGAACCAAAGTTAACACTGTTCTGCCGACTACACAACCGATATTCCTTTCTGCTTATTTGCTGTTTTTCCATACACCACGACATACCTGTGGCAACTGAGAGGTCTACCTGTTTTCAGACAAATTAGTTATTAGTTGGAGAATCAGCGGATGAGTTAATTTTTTGTATAACAGAAATAAGCAACTGCGAGGGCAGAAATGCTTGAACTGCCTAAAGTCTGTAGTACCGGCAGGTTCGTCTAGTAAGCCTAAAGCATGGAGCATCTGCAGAAAGTCAGAGCTCACTACTTAGTGAGACAGAGACCGTTAAAGAAGCTTCATTGGTCAGTCGGACCGTCCTTCTCTGGATGGAGTCGTGTAAGGACATTCTAGTCGGGACAGTAGCATCCAGCACATGTTAGATGTACTCGAGGCCGGGTCTTTTTGTCCCTCATAAACAAAGCGAGGAGGTAACAACATTTGGATGTAACGTTGGATCCCTTGGCGTAGCATATGTTACTACAATAGAGTATTGTTACTACTCGAAAAACCGGTTTATTAAACGAGTTTCTCTATTTTAGCATCATCTGGGAAAGATTAAAACTAAAGTCAACCTAAATACGAGTATTATCTATTCACATACCTATCATGTGAAGCCAATCCTAACCGCATTACCAATCAAGTTTGTGATGCCAAGTACACGTCACCCTTTAAGTATCTAGACTAGATCATACAGCAGGGTGTCAGGAGTAGGACCTTTATCTTTGTTCATTACATTCCCTAACCTCTTAGCTAGTTATTCAATATATCTATTCTCTCGTATACTAACCATCAAATGACTGTTGTTTCTGAGTCGAGGTTACGTTCAAAGTACTATTAGTTTTTCTTGCGTTTCCAAAAACTTTGAGAAGCATTACGGGAAATCACTTCCGCGCCGCGTTGTGCGTAATTAAGCCGCACCAAAAAAAATAGGAATGACGTATCACACTCAATAGATTTTCGCAGTGCCTCACATCTAGGCGTTGATTTGTATTTTCTACTTGACATCGCAAAATAAATTTCTATGAAATTTGAATGACTGTAAATAAAAAATAATGTAAAATAATATATCTTTTTCATGTTTCGTAAATATTACTGCCTGTTACATATTTTCTCATCTGTTGGTTGTAATACACTTCTCCAACCTGGTATTTTATTTTTTACCTATCTGATTTTTGAAATTCGTCAAATTTGCATATGTAATTTCCAGGATGAATAAGAAAACGTGGAATGGAATTCTCAACACAGATGATTATCACACAAATCGTTACTACGCACGTATGCAATGCCATTTCCTTCCGGCTAATGTAGACAACTTACATCTTGGACCTCTAATAATGCCATCTTTGAAGCTACAGAATGAGTGCACATCAAGTGGTCAATAGCTGGCTCTTAGGCCCGTACCGTCAGTCGTCCCTACAATTGTAGGGCGCGTTTATGGCCTCCTTGATTGTCATACTCCTTTCTCTCCTTCAAAAATATCTAGATTACACTTGTCCCGTGTCAGCGTCAGCGCTCTTCTATTGTGAAGATATGTTTTCTTTTTAAATTGTAGGAAATTTCAGCTTATAAAACATGATATAACTCAAAAGCAAGCACAATTTGATGCAAATAGATGTTTGAGACATAACCTCAAAATAGAGCGCTGACACGGAGAAGTAGAAAACTGACAGTCAAGGAGGCCATAAAGGCGCCCTACAATTGTAGGGACGACTGACGATACGGGCCTTAGTTGACATGTTGTATAAAAACCTACATAGTGTCACAAAAAAACTATATAATTAAAAAAAACGACATATAGTCACTTTTCAAAATACGTAAATATACAGGGTGTCCGCAAAGTTGGGGTTTTCCTTTTCAGAAACAACTGCCCTTGAAATAACAAAGGTAATGTGTAGTGAAACGAGGGCGACCAAGTAAAAAAATAAAGGAAAAAGTACTCACTCTCCAGTTGACAAGAAGGGCTAAGTACGTCTCTGCCCGAAATCATACCGCTCCAACAGAAAACTAAATCAGCTAATGCGCTACCGAGCAGGCGCAGGCAAACAAGGAAGGCAAAATGTTGCGTAATGACCAAACATGAGTGTTGCGAAAGTTATTCACCCCATTACGCGTGAACGTAGATTCGTCTGTCACCAATATGCACTTCAAAAAGTCCGGATTATTGTCATGTTGATGCAACAACCACTCACAAAACCGCACTCTTGCTGGAAAATCGTCAGGTTGAAGGGCTTGTACACGTTGGACGTGAAACGGATACAGCCCCTCTTCACGCAGCGTTTGCCATACTTTAGTTTTTGATACTTGCACTTCTCTAGCCACGTCTCTAGTGCTTATTGTTTTTTGAAACGGAATCGATTATACGGGTTCGTTCACCTCTACACGCGTGACCGTAACCGTCGGTTGAAGGTTGCATACTGACCTGACACACTGACCCCGACCCAGTTCTGTCGTCGGGTTGAGCCAGTGACCTTGTACCACTCGGTGATGTCGCGGGTCGCGGCTACAGGACGGTATTCAGATATTTTTGATGTTGCAGAGCCCTTTATCTCGGTTCCCTTAAGACATTGGTGTATATGGTACTAAGAAAAATTGCTTATGTTTTCAAGATCTATAAGTCGTGTAAAGGAAAACCCCATCTTTGCGGACACCCTGTATAATAAATAAATCAATTTAGCGCGGTGCCGGCTTCATCAACGGTTAATGAATTGTTAACCAGAACTTGAGAAAGAACTAACGAATTCATAGTTACCCAACTTGAAAGTTAACCAGTGATTAAAAAACCGTGCCTAAATGTAAAAGAAGTTAGTGTACATGCACAAAATGTTCCAAAATCAAGATTTTCTATTGCGCTCTGAGTCCAAAAGACAAACGCATGGACAGTTTGATCCTGAAAGCTTGGAGTGTTTTGGGTTGACTTCTGGGAATGTTGGAAGGTTTTCAGTAAAATAAGCTTTGACAAGGAAAACGCACAGAACAGAGATATTCTTATTACCAGGAATATTGTTCAATGTTCTCCCCGACGAGATAGTCGTGTATATACTTTGTGCTACGACACCTCTGTTAGGTTCCTTGTTCCTTAAAACACGAGCTTGTGGTTTCTCCTAGATTCAATATTATGATTTCCATTTGGGCGTCTGAAATTTAAATTAATAAGAAAACTTAACTACAGACGAATCATTAAATGTAAGAAATGTTATTAGAATGCTGGAAGTTCCGTGAAGTATTGATTCGTCGCATTTCAAAAATGAGATCAAGTCCGATAATCCCATTAACATTTAATGGGCCACGAATGGTATCGAACTGATCGCATCCTGCCAGTTTATGAGTATCCATAGCCTGGCAGTTACCTAAAAAGAAAAATACTTAGTAGATCATTGAAGAGTAGGTATGCTATAACACGGCGTAGCATCCCTTGCTAACCATCTATTAGGGGCTACCGTCAGCTGGCGGGATGCCAACTATACCCTATTCGGAATCCATTTACGCCCCAGCGCAACAAAGATGCAGCGCGGCAAAGCGGCAGCCGCCTAAGCGTCGCAATAGCTATTGGTCATTCGGCCATAAAACTACGGTCAAGTGCAGGATTCGACAGGATAGAACTCAGGCTCGGTGTATCGCCGGCACGCCGACGCCGGCAGTTGCTGTTCATAATCGGTGCATACATAGCGTGTGTTTATACGTTAGCATGTCGTCTACGGATACACCACATGAAACTGAGATTATTTCTCCCAGTGGTTCCTTAGCCGTGCTTCCTCTTCAGTGATGTCTCCTCCCCGACAACGTGACAAGAAGGGACATTTGAATATTCAGGCAAAATAAATTATCCTTGACGTTTATGAGAGCGAAATTTTAGAGCACCCTGAAATGAATATTCATGATATTGGAAGACGCGTGGCCAACAAAACAGGCTTACGTCCTAAGACAATTTTCAACATTGTTAAAGAATATAAAAAACAAAAAATTGTCTCCACCACACAAGAGGCTGCATTACACGAAGCTGTTGGATACAGTTGATCGGAATGCCATCAGACGCAAAGCCCATCATTTTTTTGGAAGGCAGAAACTTCCCACCACAAAGTATTACAAGATGTTAATAGTGATGAAAACTTGCCTACTTTCAAAAGGACCACATTCTATAGTTTACTCAAAGAACTTCAACGGGTCAGAAATAGTATTATGATGGACAGGCAAGAGATTATTTTATGGAGCGGAAATTATTCAAAATCAATAAAGAAATACTGCAACCAGGGCAGGAAGATATAAGAGCTAAAGTATGATCTAACTCTACAATTAAATCAGCAAGACAAACCTTCTTAGATGGACTGACCACTGGCCTAAAATATCCGTCGTGCATCTAACCAATTTGTCATTTGTGCTGTAAAAATGGTGTCAAGTACACTGAATCTATGAGCCCACGCTGAAAACTTGCTACACTAAACTTAGCTATATCTGGTAGATTTGGAACCAACATCCGTTAGATACTCTGCTTGTATTATTAGTTTTCTTGAATACTATATGAAATAATTATTTCCAGGAAAAGGAAAACGATTTGTTATCTGTCACATTGGCAGTGAGGATGGCTTTGTGCCCACTTCCATATGGGCATTTGAGTCAAAGAAAACGACCGACTACCATGAAGAAATGGACGGGAGTTCATTCGAACAATAGTTTGAAGAAACGCTTCCAAAGCTTGACTACAATGCCGTCATTGTACTTGATAATGCTGCATACCACACTGGAAAACTAGCAAAAATTTCCACAATGCCCACAAGAAAGGTAGAAATTCAACAATGGGTCCTATCAAAAGACATTAGTTTCCATGAAAATATGGTCAAAGCAGAACTTATTCATCTAGTCAGGCGGCACAAATATAAATATGATCTTAATGTTATTGACGAAATGGCTAAAAACCAAAATAAGACCGTTTTAAGGCTACCACCTTGTCACTGCGAATTAAATCCCATTGAAATGATTTGGACAATTATAAAAAACTATGTGGCTTCAAGCAATAGAACATTCAAATTTTCAACAGAGTGACGGCAAACCATTGGAAAGATTGCATCCGTCACGTTCAAGGGACAACCGAAACAAAGATGTGGGATCTGGACAATATGATCGATATTCAAAGTGAACCTGTAATAATTAATATTAACCATTCGGACGATGGTTCAAGTACTTCCAGCAATTAAAGAATTGTGAGATGTGCACTTCTTTCTATAAAAATAATCATTTATTTTGTTAAATTATTCCATGACCATTGAGGAAAATACGGACCTGTACTATCTCGCTTTTGGGCATGTTGTCTTTTATCTGAGCGTAAATGGATTACGAATGGGGTATAGCGCTCACGATACCTTTACCCTCTAAAAACTTTGAATTTCTACGCCACTGTATAATAAAAACTCAAGTTGTTTGTTTCTATGGAAACATATATATTGGTCTCGGTTACAGGTGACGAAGCTATGACAAAGTCATTTTGAAATTGAAGTAAATAAAATTTTAAACATGCAAATAACATGAAATCGTAAAATTCAGGAGATGAAATCATGGCTGATGCAGGAATTGCTCAATCGGATGTATACGATGAAGAATTTTTTAACAATCTGCAACTCTCAAAGACGTTGATCCAAAGAATTAGGAGGAAAAGAGGTGATAATACGTGTGCTATGCAATAATTTTAGAAATTATAATGATCAAGTATCTGAAATAACCACCAAAATTATATTGAATACCCTCATTTTATTTTTTGAAAACGGGAAATTGGACGGATTCAGATTACATTAACAACGTATCATCTTATTGCTTTTGCACATTTGACTTCATGATCTTTTCTATTAAGTATATTAAGTTAATATTCCATTTATGCTGTTTATTTTAAATAATACTTGTTACAAATACAGGTCATTTCATTTAACCGCCTGAGTGACAAAAAAAGGTAAACACCTACGTATGTTTATCCGATTTTAATAATTTTTGGCATATATGTTCAGTGTCCCTTACTAGTAAAATGATTAAATTTTCAGCTCGATTCGTCAACTGACTGCAGAAGCTGGTTCAGTAATATGTTGAGGATCCACACTCATTGACATGCCTGGGCATCGTACTGATAGGTGGTGGATATCCTGTTGGGGTATCTCATTCCAGGCTACTGCAACTTCGTGAGTGAGAGCTGCTAATGTCTGTGTAGGGTGTTGTAAATTTAAGAGCCTGCGACCTATCATGTCCCAGATATGTTCAATTGGAGATAGGTCAGGTGATCGTTGTGGCCAAGGTAAATGGTTGATGCGATGTTGATCCATGAAGGCTCTGATGCTCTGGCAACATGCGCTCTTTTTTTTATACTCCAACTACCACGAAGGCCTAAGGCCTAAGCACCCATTGGGTACCGTGGGGCTATAGGGGAGGGGGGGACGCCACACGGACTCTGACGAGGGAACACGTGTGCATGCAACATGCACACATTCTGAAACGCCTACGAGATCCACCGGGTGGTACCTCCACGTTCGACAGTCAGAGACCGTCTGCCACCTACGGACAATCACAACATCCATAGCCAAGAGAAAAATTTCTCCTGGGACGGGACTCGAACCCGCACAGCGCACGGCGACTGATCAGGAGACCGAAGAGTCTACTACTGCGGCCACCGCTGCTGCCTGTCTTGCTGAAACATCGGGTTTTGGGTGTTTAGGTATGGAATAAGATGAGACTCCACTACTTCCTGAATATAGCGTCAGGCTGTCATATTGCCTCTGATGAAAATTAGTAGTGATCTGCTACCATAAGCAATAGCACCTCATACCATAACTCCCAGGGTGTGGTGAACGTGACGCTCTCTGTCAAATTGTGGGTCACGTCTTTCACCATGTAGTCTTCTCACTCTTACCCGACCATCGTGCATCCCCAGACAGAAGCGGTATTCGTCACTAAAGACCACCTGATTCCATTCTTGGTTCCATATAATTATTTTTCTACACCAGACCAAACGGTTACGCCGATGTTCAGCTGTGAGAGGTAGCACCCAATGTGGGCGATAAAAAAGGCCAAACTGTCGTATTCGGCGATATACCGTACGCATCCTAACCATCCTTCCATGCTCTTCAAACCACTGACTAGCGATGGCTCGAGTACGACTGAATCTGTCTCTCAGAGCCAGAAGTCTTAACCGACGGTCTTGTCGCTCTGTGGTCCCTCTGGGACGTCCAGAACCCCTCGCTCGTTGTCCTCGGCCTTCTGAGTCCACGCTCGTTCTCACTGCAGTATACTGCGTAAGTATCTGTTGGTCCTCCTAGAAACTTATCTGATCGATTAACCGGGTGCACGCAACCCGATAAATCGAGCCCTCTCAAAGTCACTTAGCTGGGACACGTGGCCAATTCTACGCACTCTAGGCATTTTGAGGAATCACAAAAAAGCTTCTCAATAAGCTACACGAAATTTAACATTTAACTGACACCGTAAATGTACGAAAACTGAATGCTTCTTTATCCCCAAACAATACACGCAGCCACCACAAAATCTTAACGGAAAAACCTGACCATTTTATCACTTGTTGTTCATGGCAAGATAAATCGATATGTAGAAAATTCTTGATTTCTAATAAACATACGTAGGTGTTAACCTTTTTTGTCACCCAGTATAGGTGTGTGTTGGTATGTTTAGTGTGTTAGGATTGTTTTATTTTGTCCAAACAAAATGGAGTACACTGCTTAAGATGTCTTTAGGCGACCAAGTTTGTGGTTGTTTGCTGCTCTCAAATTTTTAAATGTGTAATCTGTTTTGCAAAAATCCTCCCCAAATGGTTTTAATAATAAAAGATCTGTAATCGCTGGCTCAAGTTTAAACAGGAGATCGCAATAAAAAAAGTACATAATGTAAAACAAATATATTTTTATTTCTACAAAATATTCCAACTAAAGTATCCATAACCTATCCAGATCAACTAAGAAACTATTACTAAAAATAGTATCTACTGATCATCCTCCGAGTTAAGCTTCTAAAATATCAATGCTTATATCCTAACATTTTCTAGAAATGAAAGAGTAGCGTTGATTGGCATTACTGCGTAAATATTATACTTACACATTACTTACATTTATTGAAAACTTATCACAAGATGTAAAAGGAACTCGTGTTGTGGTAAATCCAGTTTACCACCACGAGCCCTTACAAGAAAATGATACAAAACAATATATGGTTTAACTGTATTAACTTGTTACAGAAAATCATGCAGTCCTTGGAATCATTTATTATAATTTTTGTAATTGTTCATCAAGTCTGTGATAAAACATCATGTCTCCATATTAGATCCGAAATACAAACAATTTTTCAATATTGAATTAAATGATAAAGAAATAAACAAAATCCGGGACTAAAAAAACCGTGATACTCTACGCAAACTATGCTGTTGCTCTATTTTCGATATCAATGTTGGTTTGATAAACCTGCTAATGAAAGAAATTAGAAAGCGAAATTCAGCCAACGCTGTCAACTCCAAATTCCCTTTGACACATGCTTTTTAAATGTACAACTGGTATAGTAAATGCAAATTATTTATATAAAAATTTGAAAATATATTCCTATTTTGGAAAGATAAGAAAACCATGGCAAATATTTCTAGATAAACAAATCTGCAAAAAATGGATCCTGAAACTTTGCAACTTGAAATCCGACGATGTAGTTGTTAAGAAAAACAGGAACGCGTTCTTCAAGTACATGCTCAATATGTTGAATAAACAGGCAGAAACAGATGAACAAAGTCCGCAGTATGATAATGGGGTATGTATCATGACACTTATCACCTGCAATAAAAAGAAAAATATTCTAGTGATCCACTATCTAAACGTCACTACTTTTAACTTAAGAACTAGTTATGTTGCAAGGACCACGCCACAATGCATGCAACTACCCGGAAAAGATTTTTGGTCTGGTAAATTCATCTCATTTCCTATAGTAAGAGTTTATAAAAATATTCAGAGTCCTCACCAGACGACCGTCAATCAACAGCCAAGCCGTAACTTACGTTATTGATTTCTTGCTTCGCGACCTGGTCTTGCTTGTTATTTGTTAAAATAATCGCCGAAAGGCACGTTTGACATTTTACCTATATTATTTGATGAGTGATGATCAGGGGGTGTAAGTAGTACCCATGACTTTGTACCCTGCTTTGGATCTTATGAACGTGGAAACTACAAGATAAGTTTCAGTTATATGTCACTGTTTGAAATGTCAAGACCATTATTGTAAATAGTCAGAAGAGCCAAATAATACTATAAACGGTTGTTTTCAAAAACGGAAATATCACGATGTATGTAGCGGTTTAGTATGTGTAAAAGTGGTGAAAAAGCATCAGGCAAGAATTGGACAACGAATTAAGAGATCAGTGTTACGAGTTCGTGCTTGGAAGAATTGTGTGCAACGGGGAAGAAATTACAGTTTCATAACACTAAAAGGTATTTTTTAACTATGTATTTTTGTGCGTCTATGGGACAACAAGTTTGCTATGTGAGTGGTTAATAGCGACTTTTACAGGAGAAGAGGCCCAGAATTTTTAGGAAGTCGCACATTACTGTATTTACATTTTTTTATGCTTCTGGAACGCGGTGCAATTTGTATACTGCAGGTAAAGGGGTATGAACATCATGTAGAAAATTCGAGGTGTTTCAACACGGTTAAGACACACATCTCACTGTTAATAGAGGGCGCACGTAACGTTGGATAGTGCCGTTTCCTGAAAAGAAATTATTGCTTATGGTGGCTTAGATGGTCTAGCTTTCATCAGGTGATGCTGCCACAGTTGGTACTTGAATGTAGTGTACTATTGTCATACGCCTTCATTTTATTATGTTTATGCAATATATTATTTGCACGATACAGAATTCTTCGTGTGTATAAACGGGTATAAATCCAGAGTCGTTATTCCATTCGTCAGGATGGCTTATCCACTTAGATCCATTATTCTTTCTAATCTATTTAAATGATATCGCAATGTTTCAGCCATTGCCAATTTCTTCTTTACGCAGATGACCTAAAGATGTATCGTATAGTTAAAAGCCCTCAAGAGTGCGTCAAAATACAATCTGATATCGACAAACTCAGAGATTATTGTCAGAGAAATAACCTGCCACTTAACACCAAAAAATGCTTTTCAATCACATTCACGAAACAAAGAAACCTAATTCAGTATGAGTAGCAGATAGAGAATGTCAAAATTAATGCTATGAGCAATATTCGGGATCTTAGTGTTACACTAGGTACGAAATGGAGCTGTAATATCCATATAGATGAAATAAATAAAACGAATAAGATGCTTGACTTTATTAGAAGACACTCTAGAACCCTAGATACTTCAACAACCCTTCTTCCCTGTTACCACTATATTATGCATTTATAGTATATTATTTTTTGGAACACACAGTACAAAGTCCACATGAGGAGAATTGAGTCTGTCCAACTTAAGTTCTTGAAAATTCTGGCTTACTCAATGGAACATTTCAAAATCTTACCTCTGGCCAAGAGAAGGATATTATCTGATTTATGTTTTCTTCCTAAATCTTGAACAATCAAATTGACGGCTTTTACCTTTCATTGAAAATCAATATAAAAGTACCGATAAGCGTGAATCCTAGACACCATACATACTTCAATATTCCGTTTTGTAGAACTAATATTGGTTTAAACTCTCCACTGGTATGAATGCAAAGAAATCTGAACAACTATGGTAAATTTGCTGATATTTTTTATTGTGAACTACACTGTGGATATCTATTTTGGAGATTTTCTCCGTTTGATGTCCCTAATTTGTTGAGTCCATCACGCAATTCCGGAGGCACAGCGGTGGATTGTTGATGACTATTATAAATTTGCAGTATCAATGGCCGCCACGGCAATTCGAAAACGCATCACTATTGTGAAAAATTGGCATAATATATATAACTGTTTCTTGAATTCCTTTGACTTCAGAGTATATGTTCTGTTTATTCCAAGCAATAAGCAAATTGTACAGATGTTCGCTTTTCCATAAGAGCATTCCCTATTTTAAAGGATAAAAAGCAAGACGATACCCTTATATTCACGAGCAAATGGTCAAGGGACAAGCGAACCTACATAGCATGCAAGCCACTACCAGGCGAAGGAGCACTGGTTTATATGGCAGTTTCATCTGATCCATCACTTGGCTGGGACCATCCATGATCACAACATTAAAATGGTATATATGGCTAATAAAAATTATTCATTGTACAAGTGTTTACTTATGAGTCAGCTAGACAAAAATGATTCTATTTAAGGAAAAAGTTCACAAATCAGATGTATGCCCGACTCATTGAGGCGAAGGGAAGCGACTTAGGTGCGCAGCAATGTCACTCGACAATGCTTGATATATGGCTGACTTCATTGTGGAACATTGTTAATTAATATCTTTGTGCGATACGCTCATTCCCTTCCCCTCAATGGGCGTGCACTTTTATACGTATGATAAACCTGCGACGTATGACGTTAAAAGTATGGAGAACTGGATGCATTATTTTATGATTAGACTGTATCTCCAGCTGTTGTGATATATTTTTCTGTATACTGAATGAGTTTACCAGAACAGCAGAGGTTTTGGAACTAATTTTGAATTCTTGTTTTTTGTTTAATTATCTACATCTCAGTATATATTATATTATAATTATTCCGTTAGTTATTAGATTGTTTTATCAACACATAATAACACACAAGGGCATGTAATTTAAATATTATATTATCCTGTACATGGGAAACCGTTGGATAATAAAGCCATTATCATTATCATTATTATTATTATTATTATGTTAAGCGAATGCTACACATTCAATACTTACTATCATCCGTCAGTATTTATCATGAAACATCAAAGTTTAATGACATATAAGGTTACATAGAAACCACTGACACTGACGGATCCATCAATACAAATTGATGGTATGAATCATAGTTATTGAACTTGTAGCTTTCTCCTTACTGAAACGTTAAATGCGCCGCGTTGACGACGTACTGTAAGGGCAGTTTGCTATAGACACGATGTTTGGATAACGGATATGATGTGCCTGTAGCATGAGATCATAGCCTCTGCGTTAAGCTTCCCATTCACAATCGTTTCATCATGCCAAATTTGAAGCAATAATAACCAAATACTATTACCGAATGTACAGACTTAAATCCTTCGGAGTTATGTAGAGTAACTGACAATAGTCAATTACATTGAACTTAGCACCTAAAAGTGAAATGACTTGAAATCAAGCCATTTCAGTGACAGTGAATATCGGTCGAGACAACGCGCTCAACATTTAGAACACGCTGTCAGTTGTTGTCCATATAAATTAAACTACAGGAATCTCATCTAGCTAATAAGACAACATTAATACAACGGTAAGACTGCGAAGTTTTTAACATTACTATTATATATGTTAAGATATACAATGTATCGCTATTGTGTGATTATATCAAAAAGAATCCTTATTTGACAAAAATGTTCAAAAATTTGTATCTTACAATTTGAGTTTATATATCTCTGTTGTTAATTAACCATAAGATATTGTCCAGTAACTACATGTCAAAACTTTGTAGTACTTGTTGATATTCATTAATTCACTTTCGCACCGTGTTTATAACCGACTTGCGCTCAAGTATACGTTTAAACTTGTCAAAATTAGCGGATTAAAGCAAATTTGCTTTGTTTATTACTGTATTTCTAAATAGCACAGGGAACAGATTAACGTAATATTTTTTTTACATTACAATCATGAAACCAACTCCGAAGAATATTGAAGAGTCTGCTAAACAGTTACTCATAAGTGGGAAATCGACAAGAGTTATCATTCAAGAGTTAAACGTAAGTCAATCTACTGTACAGAGAATAAAAGCAAAGTGTGAATTTCCTATGCCAAATAATGTTGGTGGTCATACTAAAAAGTTATCTGATAGACAGGTAAGAAAAGTTAGTCACTATTTAATATCAAGTGAAGCGACATTTGAATCAATGGTCAAAGAAAAAAGAAAATCATTCTTCTTATATTAATCATTTCAATAAAGTAAATGCTATACTTACCTAAAAAATATTTACATAAAAATACAAGGGTCAAAAAGAACAATTTTCAAATGTTAACGCCTCTTCCTGCCTCCTCCTTTGCCCTTTCTCTGACCTTTTGCCCCTTTGGGCTTTTTGGCACCCTTACTCTTGTTAGCCTTTTGTCCTTTTCCATAGCTCTTTGAACCTGAATTCCTGAAAACACATTTCTATTAGTAAGAATATTGTCTTACCATGTTTAAACTAAGACAACATTCTAACATTATAGGTCTTTTCATCAATTTTGGCAAATACAGGTGAATGCCACAGGAAATAAGTAGACAGATTGACTAACTGTACCATAAGGAAAGCTAAATCTCCTAACTAATCCAAATGGCACGCCACACAAACCCACACTCTTGCACAGATACAGGTAGTATAGGATATTATTCTCATTCACTTTCTGGAAACTCCAATATATTTCACACAAGTGTGTTCTCTGTGTTTCCAGGCATTGTTATTCTGAAGATCAACAAAAGGTAAACTCATATTGTATGCCCATGAAAAGTAAGTTGTCATGTTGATATGTAATTATATCATCATTCTAAATGGGCAATATTTTCCTAACACTGCTATACTTTTTGTCATTTTTGACATAATTTTGTCTAGTTCTATCACATTACCAGATTATTGTAGTCCTACTTAATGTAATTTCATCAGTAATTCTTGCCTGATTTTGTAGTCCTTCTCATGTGAAATTCTGACCAGGTATGTATCTATTCATTCTAGAGAATGTTTCCAAGATACAGTCGAGATATAGCTGATATAATTTTTGAGATGGCAAGATAAAACTACACAGGTAGATTACATGTGTATGTGTGAGGAAGATTGTAGTATGAAAGTAAGACTGGTGCACTAGAAGTTTTACTGTGACTCGCCAAAATTTTTGAAGAGAACTATACTGTTCTGATGAACGTGTAAACACAATTTTATTTCAGGATGCAATACACTTTCTAGTCCTTTATTTATGACACTCTTAACAATAATTTTTAACAATACACCTATAAGGGTTTCCATTAAAAAAATATACTCTTCTTATGTTACACATTGATTTTGTCAAAATTGACCAATATAAAAAACTATGCCATGTGCTCCATTGCAATATCATATCATCTGGACCCCATTATGCAACAAGGAACCAATTAACAAAACAGTTAAAAATTGGGTTTCAACTGAATGTGAACCAAAACTCTTATATCAAGCAAAATCAAACATGTTTTATTGTTTTCAAGAATAACCACATATATAGCTTCTGCAAAATAAGATGAACCCAAAAAATGGAGGAATCTACAACTTACTCATTATGGTTGCTGCTAACATGACTATTGCTAATCTGCTTTGCAATAGCACTTTCAATGTCCAATTTAGGTCTCTTGTTCAATATAGAATCAACAATAGCTAAATTCTCCTTTTTCTCAACAGTAGCTGGTACTGGAGGCAACTTTCTCTTACGTGTTCCACCTGGCACTAATTCAGATATGCCTCTAGCCTCTTTTTCTTTTGGCAGCTTCTCCTGGAACTTGCCTAAACTTGCTGTTGAGGCTTTTGCCACAGTTACTGCTGCTTGCAACTATAAATATACATAAGAGAGTAAATACGGGTCTGTTTAGACACAAGAGTCTTAAACTAGTTTAACCAAGTTTTTGTATGATAACAGGAAGGATTCAGACAAGTACTGCCAGTTTATGGCTAAAAGTTGTATAATATCATTGCCTCAGAGTTATACTGTTGTATGTACATAAATGTGTGTTTTGAGTTAAGGCTTAAAGGAAATTTTTTCTCGAATACCATTCCAATGCAACTCAGTTTACTGATAGGTCAATAATTTTTTACTTGTGAAAAGGATCTCCAGATTTCAGTATTGGAGTAATGAAGCTTGTTTTCCAATATTCAGAAAAAGTTCCACTTTTCAACGAAAGATTAAAAATATAAAATAGAGGTGTAGAAATCAGAAAGCTACAATGTTTAATCAACAACGGAGGTACACCATAAGGTCCAGGTCGTTTATTAGCATCTAATTTGGACAGTTTGTCATAGATGGCTGAGATTGGAATTTCATAGATAAACAAATTGATGACCCCATAAGAAAGATTACTATTCTGAACAGTACTATTCTCTACACTGTAAGTTTTAGATACTTACATACTTACTTAATACCTCATTCATCGACCTGGTTGTTTGTAGCAGTTTTATTCAAACTTTTTTCCAATTCAGTGATTGGTGCAATACTTTAAAGTCTCCCTCAGTAAAAGAATTTGTGAATTTTAAGGCTTTCTCTTTTGAAAAAGGTATCACTTTATAATTAAAAGAAGAGGTACATAATGTACAATTTTAAAAGTCTTCTGAGCGCATCTGTATAATCATATAAGGCTTAGCAACATTAACCTTTAGAAGAATTCTCAAGAGTGATACTGATGAAAGGTATCTGACTGTGGCTAAAACCCTCTCAATGCAGCTATGTACAGAATCAATTCCCTGGACACCTGAATGTCCCAGTGTTTCATAGTTATAGATTGGAGGGTCAATTATCACACCAAAGAATTAAACTTTTTGCAAAATCCAATACTAAAATTTTAATCAAAGCAGCTAGGTCATTGCCAGGTCTACCCAGTAACGATTCATTCCACATAAACTTGATTTGTACTTGACAATATTGCTGTTAATTTATAAACATTAAGTTTGCTTTTGTAATAGAAACTGCTAATTTCTGCTTGGGGACACTGAAGAACATTTTGTAGATCAAATACCAAAAATGGACTATTTTGGTATTCTCTGTCTTTTTCTTTATAATTTCTCATTGCAGTTTTTTCTTTTACATGGTTCTCATATTCGATAGGCTTTCCTGCACTTAGAGTATTCTCCATTTTCCTTAATTTCGCCTCTTCACAGAAGCCACACCTATCTTATTTTGGTACAGAAGTATAAATTGTACTCTGTAGAAAATATTTTTCTGTAAAAAGACTCTTTTACAGCATTTCAGATTCAATACAACAAAGTTGTATGTAGCGTTCATGAAAAATCTGTTTCGTTACTGCTGTCACAAAGTTGTATGTATTACATACCACTTTGTAATTCCAACCTAATCCAGAAACAAATTGTGTATTTCGATAATATAAATTTAAGGATGTACATACAACTATGTAATGCTGTAAACTAAAAATCAAGAAAAATGCGACGTACAACAATGTAACTCTAGGGTGATGATATGTGTTGAGAATAGTAAGAAATTGGTTTCTCCAAGTTAAGAATGGCATAAGCTTTGACTAAGGATTTAATTTTTTACTTAGTACAGAAACAAAGCATTAGCCCTGCAAAATAATATTCTCAAGGTATTTCTGGACAAAAACACACATGTTATTAACAATATCCAAACCTCATAACAAGTAATACTATAATAATAATAATCTTTATTCCCACAGGATACACCCAATCACAGGAACAATACAATTAGAAGTGATATCACAAAGACATCAGACGTATATGTATATGTGGTATAAAGGTATATAAGTATAAATAAAGTGAATACAAAAAAATAGAGACAAAATAATAAAATCACATTGCAGTAGTGCTATGTACTGAGAATTAGTAATTAAGTAATTGTATCACTTAATCATTGTGTTTAAGACAAAAGACATTCAGCAGTTTAGATGTATATTATGGTCAGGTATTTTTTAATAAGCCTGATCGAAAAATTTGCAATGCTTGATATACCATTAAAACATTACTGATAGCAAGATTTCTACAGGCCAGTACACCCAGTGCTCAAACATAGTGAGCTATCAAAATATTCAATTTAATTGTTTATCCTGTTTACTGTAGTCACACTTGCGATACAATTGTTCCACAGTAGTTTTTTTTTTTAGAATATTAAGAGGGATGTATGATTCAGGAATATTTATGCTGTTTTACCACATATCTATATCAGGTTCCCCAATTTTTCAAAACTTTGTTTTTTATATGTTTGAATGACAATAATAAATACCTGAAGATGCTTACAGACACTACTAATAAACAGATGAAGTTTCAGGCACTCATTCCTGAAGAAGCTAATAAACACTAGATAAAATAGGTGTGATCTTGATGAACAATCATAACTATCAAGTATAATTGCTGATAATGTACTTACTTCTTTTGCAGATGAAGCATCAGGATTTATTACTCCTACTCTAGGTACAGAAATCTTCCTTGCCTTAGCAATATTCCTTAGCCTTTGTAGCTCATTCTTAGCTACTCTCTCACTCTTGGCTTCAACCTTCTTAGCAAACTGATCCTCCATAGGGTCGGAGTTACCTGGCACTTCAAGTAACCAGTTCTTTTCTTTTTCAGTTTTAGCTCTTTTGAAGCCATATAAAGGCACCCATTTTTGTAATTGCTCATCCCATGATAACTTGGTTTTCTTCTTCTTTTGGATACCTTTATCCTTAGCAAATTGTTGCCATTTCGTAAGAGGCTTTGGTTTGGGAACAGGTTTCATCCTTGGAAGTACAGTCTTTTGAGGAGGTAGCTTTGTCACTATGGCCTCCTCTACTCTTTCTGTTGGTAGCTCCCATATTTTGTTTATAAGTAGCTGAGTGTTCTCTCTAGTCAAGTTCAAAAAATAATCGTTTTGATTCCGCCTAAAATATTAAACCTTAGAAATCACATATCCAGGGTGGCTTGATGTTAAAGAAAAAGACTACGTACCTTAGCTTTGCTAGATCGAAATCGTTATTATCTACAGCTAATAGAGTTCCTAGGTCGTATTCTAAATCCAAATGCTTTTCAACGGTGATAGGTTTGTATTTTTCAGCATCTTCAGCCGTTCTTTGTAAAATTTCCCCTATCACGTCCATGTTGTTTGACTAAAAATGTATAACCTCACTTTTGTACCACCACACGTGTAACAAAAACAGCAAAGATCAAAAGTCACTAAAAAGAAAAAGTTACTAAATAAGTGACACTTCACTTGTCAGCTACATTACAGTGTTGGCTAGTGTATCGAAAAAGTAATCCGTCGTCGGGTTCGCATGGTACCAAATAAAAACTGGAACTTCGCTGCTTTAACTACCACACCCCACACGTCTCCATCGTGTTCGACCGTTATATTCGAGGAATTTGTTGCAAGATAACCGAAAATTAACGTCATCAGACAGTACGGTTATTTTGCAATGAGTGAAAAGGTAATAAATCGTAGAGAACTACTAGAGCAGTGAAAAACACATGGAAAACAAAGAAATCTCGACAAGAGTCTGCCATCTTCACAAAAAAAAACTGCAAACCATGAGTTAAGCTGACCAATTATGGCCTGTATTAATTTACTATCTACTTTTTTATGCATATCCTGCACCTTTTAATAAATTGATCTTTTTGGATAGCGAAAATAGTGAATACACTTTAACAAGAGAGGCCCAACTGATTTTCGCACGTAACTCTGTTACAGAAATCACCTCTGATAGGTCATATATTTAAGGCAGCCCAAAAAAAATCCAATGGACTTTAGGTTCGGAGATTTTGGTCGCCGATCCACTCTCCTGTATAATGTTCATTTATGGTTGAGTCTCTATCTCTAGGTGTTGCAATGTTTATTGGTCAAGGAGAATCTTCCCCGTAGATAGTACATTATACGTATGTCAACATATACCGGTAAACGCCAAGCAAGTATCAAAGCAATTAAACCCTATCGTACGAGGTAATGTGGTTTTACTACCACTAATATGTTAGAGCATTCACTAAAAATGTTTCATCTTCGATGTATTTTCTTGTTGCTGATGATATTCCAATCGAGATCCTCCTTGATACCATGTATTTACTTACCAAGATCGCCGGATCAGGATCCATTGAGTTTTTTATTCGGATTTCTCAAAACACATTTTCTATAAGACGAAAAAGTGGTTTCTATAATACGGTTGCGACGTAAAGTCTGATGGGCCACCAAGGAAATTTTACACAGAAAATACTCGCATAAGCCAAAAGGATATTTAAATTTTTATCAAGAGATATTGGGCACGCATAGTGGCTAATAATGGTGGTCAATCAGACTACCTCTGCTATACTGAATTTAATGAAAAATACTATACTCGTAATTAAGTCAAAATTTTGCCCAGAGACTTAACAACTTAAAATGACACTAAAAAAAAAAACAGAATAGGAAACAAAATGATGGACAAAATAGAAAATTGTAGTACCACTCATTGAATAAACCAACTTTCCAAAGTATTTGACACAGTGATCCTAGCTCATTCTTTGTTATTACAAATGTTTTGCATTAGAATAGCTCTCATGTAGGTTTTAGTATAACATGAATAGATAACACTGTCGTAATAAGCGCAAAGAATCGATATTTTTTTTTATATCGAAACAGCCGCGCAGGCAGAAGCCTAAATGCCGGAACACCGCGGCTGCTATGATGATCCCAAAGAAATTTTGTTAATACGATCCTTGAACCGCCCAAGGTTAGCAGAACTGGGAAAAGCCTCCCCTCGTAGATTGTTCCACAATCTAGACACCCTCGGGACGAAGTAGCGGTCGTATCGGCCAGTTCTGGATGTACGAAGTTTGACACGGTTAGGATGGGACGCCGAAGTCAGGCGGGTCTGTCTGGCAGGCACATCGCGCGGCGGCATCATGGAAGAGAGCTCTGAGGAGCAAAGCCCGTTGGTGTAGCGATAGAAAAGAGCTAGATCGCCGACGGCCCGCCGGTGCGAAAGAGTCCCGAGACTGTCTGTTAGAGAAGAGTCATCGATCAGTCGGACCGCCCTCCTCTGGACAGCATCGAGCATGGACAATGTAGTCGGGGCGGCAGCACCCCAAATGTGTGAGCAATACTCGAGGCTAGGCCTTATCTGGGCCTTGTATAGAGTGAGAAGGTCATGCGGAGAAAAGTACTTCTTAGCCCTAAACAAATAGCCTAGCTTTTTCCCAGCAGCTGCAACTATTGAAGAGATGTGTTCGTGCCAGATCAGGTCCTCGGTGATCTTGACTCCGACCAGCCGAAATGAATGGCTCTTTGGTAGAACTCGGCCGTCCATCGAAACTGTATGAGCGCTAGGACGCTTTTTGTTCGTCAAAGTACAGTACTGTGTTTTGGAAGCATTGAACTGTACAAGATTGTTGCGTCCCCAAGCAGTGATAGCCTCCAGGTCTCTTGTCAGAGAAGAAGTCGTCGCTAGTCTTCTTTTTTCCAGCTCAGCGGCAGAGATCGGCTTGTCACTCTGAATTCCTGCATGTAGAGTGCTGTTATCAGCGAAGCTGTGGATTGGGTTGATCGTGCAGGAAAGGAGGTCGTTGATATGTAAGAGAAACAATGTTGGAGCCAAGACCGATCCCTGGGGAACACCCGCGTTGACGTTGTGGGATGATGAGGAGAGTCCGTCAATTACGACGGATATCTTGCGGCCAGAGATAAAGTCAGCCACCCATCTGCAAAGCTTTTCTGGGAGGCCATAGGATGGAAGTTTGCTTAAGAGGGCAGCGTGCCACAGCTGATCGAACGCTTTCGTGATGTCAAGAGCAACGACATGAGCCTCACCATGAGACTGGATGAGTTGACTCCACAGTTGCGTGACGTAAGCTAGGAGGTCCCCTGTGGATCGCTGGTGCCGGAAACCGTACTGCCTGTCGCTAATCAAGCTGTGACGTTTGAGGTAGTCCAGAAGCTCGCGATTTATGCACCTCTCCATCACTTTACTTATAACAGAAAGCAGAGCTATAGGCCTGTAGTTGTAAGGGTCGGTCTTAGATCCTTTTTTGGGATGGGCTGTACATGAGCAAATTTCCAGTTTTCTGGGAAGGTGCCAGATTCATAAGATATCTGGAAGAGACGCGAAAGAACTGGAGCAAGCTCCGCTGCACATCTCTTCAGTACAATGGCAGGAATCAAGTCCGGATCAGAAGTTTTGTTGTCGAGCGACAAGAGCACTCGTCTTACGGTCTTATGCCTGAATGTTACCTCCCGCATAGTGTGGGGAACCCTTTGAATTGGCGGCACTTGGGCGTTGGTGGGGATGTCCATGGTGGAGTTGGCAGCAAAGATCTTGGCTAGCACTTCCGCCTTGGCCTTTTAGTCGAATACAATAGTTCCATCCTGACACGTAAGTGGTGGAAGGCTACTGTGTGAGAAGTTCTTTTCAATCTGCTTGGCCAGCGTCCAGAAAGACCGACTGCCATTGCGCTGCGACATTACCCTGTGCCTGACTTTTATATCATGCTGGTTTTTGGCATTGCGAACCGCTTCGTTATATTTGTTTCTGGACTCGACGTCGGCTTGTCTGTTCTCTACAGTGGGGTTTTGTAAGTAGGTTCTGTGTGCCTTGATCTTCTGCTGGCGAGCAGTGTCACACGATTTGTTGAACCAGCCGTTGGACCCTGGTTTAGGAACTTTCACGTTGTGAGGGATGTATTCCTCCATTCCGACGTGGATAATTTCGGTTATCGAAGAACAGACAGTCGACGCATCCGCGTCAGTGAAACAGACATCTCTCCAAAGAAAGCTAGAGAAGAAGTCTCTGAGCCCCTCCCAGTCGGCATGTCCGTAATGCCAAGTTTTGCGGCCTGTACGAGTTTCTGCTGCCACAGCGGCTTCTGACCGAAACCTAACCTCCACAACACCGTGATCTGAGTTACCCAGGGGGGACAGAACAGCAGTGCTGTAAGGGACAGGATGCGTGGTCAGAAAGAGATCCAGCAGGCTACTGGCGTGTGACGAGACGCGGGGGAAAAAAGTAGGGCTCGTGACCAGCTGGGTCAGCCCTTGAGTAAGAGCGAACGCTTCGACTGCACGACCTGCTGCATCGGTCTTATTTGAGCCACCAAAGCTCATTATGGGCATTGAAATCACCGAGAAGAACTACCTCTGAAGCGGGGTGATTGATGTTCAGGAAGTCGATCTGGACTGCGAGGTTTTCGAGTAGGTCATCCCAATCATGGTTCGAGGGAGAGCGATAAAGGCAGCAAATAAATTTGGGTGATGTTTTGGAGCCACAGAATGTCCTTCCGGTCTGATTCCAAAGAAAGATCCCTGGAGCAGAAAAGACTGCTGCGGACAAAAGCCACAACTCCCCCGTTCTTTCTCAGATTGGAGTGCACCTCGTAGTTTGGGAAGTTGAGATGGTTAATCGGTGCAGTCTCTGAGATTTTTGTCTCCGCCAAGAAAAGCACGGCGGGACGATTGGATTGCAGGTAGTGATGAACAGCATCAATGTTGCTGTTGATATCGCAGATGTTCGAAAAACAAATTTTATCTTCGATGTTGTTCCCTCGAGCCCAGCCTCCACCCGGACATTCCGAGAGTGGAGTGAGTTTACGTCCGGAGTTCTTAGTGCTCGAGGGATCCATCATCATTAATTTCTTTGTTTTGGAAGTTAACCGACTGCATAGCTTAGGTGTGGAAACATGCGGACATAAAGCTAGCGGGTGGTACCGCCTCGGTCGACTGGTGTTGGCTACCACCTTCTTTTTACGTGTTAGTGATATTTAATAGACCTAAAGTGGCCCGTTGGCGGACTTGTACCGCCACCCGGCAATCGGTACTGAGGTAGGTATTCCTTAACGCGTGTACAATCACTTGAACGGGAAGAGGTTGTATACTGGATACAACAACTTCCGCGACAAGCATTTGCCACGGCCCTCGCTCAGCAGGGCAACGATATTATTGAAGGTCGGCGGGGTGGCACTTCACTTGCATATTTTAGCATGATTTTGTATGCGATTTTAAGAATTTTTAGGCAACTATTTAACTAGACGATTGTCGATTTCTGCCAAAAAATTTATATTCAAAAATGTCAGACTTTTAACTTGAATCAAAATTTTGCTAAATGGTAGGTCATGATTTCTAGTACCGGAGTTGTCCTTCAACTATTTGTAAAAAAACGAGAAGATTGGGAAGTGCTCTTACTTGAAGGCTAGGTATCAGGGACGCCTGATGGGGTACTCAGAAAGCTAGGGGCCTGCGACTAAGGGGGTTCTAGGTCGGAGCGAAATCCGGAGCCCTTCTTTGGCGTTGAGGAAAATTACGGAGCGGGTGGAGTTCTAGAGTAGACATTTTTCGAAGTAACGTTTTATAATTTTCAGGCATTCAAGGGCCTTTCATCAAGCTGAGGGGCCCTGGGCATGGGCATCGGGTGTCCCTAAAATGAAGATGAAATATAATAAACTGATCAGTATGTCCCCATTTCCTGTATTAATTTGGATTTGGAAAGTAGGAAGTAAGGCAACACTGTACGATCCATTCTCCAAATGCGCCACAAGCAACAATGATTACGTCATTGCGTCGTCCTGTCAATTCTATTATCTATTGTATGTCGGCCATTTTGTCTCTGTGAAAATTGGAGTGCTCAGTGCATCCTGTTAGAAAATTCGATCTGATTTTATTGGAAATCCATCCATTAAAGGGCGAGAGGGCGTATTTTCCTTCAAGAAAGTGTCGACGGCTGCAAAATGACTGCACACGATCAAATGCGTGCTATGCTTGACCAGCTTATGGGAACGGGCAGGAATGGTAAATATTTATCTTTTGAATTTTGTAATTGCAGCACTTCAATATGTGATGTTTCAGGTGAAAACAATAGATTCCACGTAAAATTCAACGATCCCAGGGTCTGCAAGTCCTTCTTGCTTAGCTGTTGCCCTCACGAAATCCTTTCTTCTACAGTAAGTATCATGGCCCTATTTTTAGATTTTTTTGTGTGGGATCGGACTAGCTGTCTGATTTATTAAATGATCCAGTGTGTGTAGAATATAAATGAGAAAAACTAGCGGAAATGTTACTTTGTATGCCCTTTTGCAACCCCCCTGAAATGTTTCTATTGATTTAATGGGTGTTAAAATGTAGGTGGCGATCCCAAAAACGTTTTGAAGTGTCTCGAAAAGTGGTTATTGTCTTTCTTAGCTACACCAGCCATTATTGGTGACAAAATCATTTTAAACCATAGATTTTGGATTTGGATGAAAGAAATGGGACTAAAAATGATGGTAAATATGAAATTACTGAAATATTTTACTATATAATACCTTTTTAATATCCACCTTATTGAGTCCTATGTGCAGTGTTGCCAAGTCTTCGAATGTTACAATCATTCTGATACTTGAAAATATGTTCTTCAAGATCTCTATTGAACAATGTTTACTCCATTATTATGTATGGTATCTGAAAATGATGATCCCAAAAATTTTAGCTAACAGCATACTCCTTACTTTTAAAATATCTTTATTTCTACAGTGTGGTTCATAATTATGTGGTGACCCAAACTTATATTTTTTAAATGAAAATACCTATATTTTATGACAGATTCAGATAGGCCATTCCAAATGAAGCAATTTGATACTATATGGTTCTATTTTCAAATTTTAGAGGTATCTGGCATCTACAGAAAACAACTCGCACCTCTACAACTGTTATAATTACAGAACTGATTTTTTTGGCAGATAAAATTCATGATCCCATATTTTATTCCTGACTACTTACTTTCTCACTTTTATCGTTTGATTGTACAGGGTTGCAAAATGAATGATTTCTCAATATTTTCAAATGGAAGACTGTGTATATTTTCACACTATTTGATTCCCCTTTTTACAGGCTTTTTTCTGATATAAGATTTATGGGGTTTCTGGAACCAGTTTTTGAGTTATTAAAGACACAGGAACACTTTCAGGCTTGATTGCATAAGGTTAGGTAGACTAAATTTATAATGAAAATACATATACTAATTTTAATCATCTGCCCTTAGGGCCATATCATCAGTTGTTCCTACAATTATTGTAGGACGCCCTTATGGCCTCCTTGATTGTCAGTCTGTTCTCTCATTCTGAAAGGCTGGGATTTCTAGATTTCACCTGCTCTGTGTCAGCATCAGAGCTCTTCTAATGTGAGGTTATGCTCCTTTTTAATTGTAAGCAATTTCATGCTGATAAAACAGACAATATAAATCAAAAACACCAGCAATTTGATGCAAATAGATATTGGTGACATAACCTCAAAATAGAGCGCCGACATGGAATAGTACAAAACTATGAAAATCAAGGCCATAAAGGCCTCCTACAATTGTAGGAACGACTGACAATAGAGCCCTAAGAAACTGAATGATTTTTTTATTTTTAAAGGTATTGTAATATTTTCCATTTACCTTGATATCTGGTTTACAAAAAGGTTACTCAAAGACTGTTTGCACAATCTCCCACAAACCCTACATCACAAAATAAACCATGTGAATACGGGAATGAAAAAGTGTAAAAATATACAGTGTGTTCCAGTTAAAAATTTTGCATTCTTGATGAATCTATATCAAAAAAAGTATAACAGTAGATAGGAAGAACATCTGGGATAATAACATTCTTCTGACAAAGTCTAGTTGTAACATTTGCAGAAGTGCGAGTTGTCAAAGTGTTGTTTTAATAGAAGGCTCAACTTCTCAACAATTTAGAGATAACCTCGCCTTATGTTACATCAAATTGCTTCATTTGAAAGGGCATATCCGAATCTGCAGCAAAATGTAGGTCATCTCATTTAAAAAAAATGTTTCTTCGGGTCACCATGTAGTTATCTAATCACACTCTGAGATTAAAAATATTTGCCAAGCGAGGATCATACTGTTGGCTACAATTTTTATAATTAACTTTTTTTCATACCATGCATAATAAAAGACATACTAAAAACTCACCCTGTATATGTATTGTATCTTATTGTGTTTTAACATAGAGATTTGAAATTGAAAGTGTTCTCCCTCATATAAAAATACTTCGGTTGAATATTCAAAAATAGGCGATTTTTTTACAAAAATGCCAAAATTGTGGTGTTTGGACTTTTAAAAAACAATCCAGTACTCCAGTGAAAGAAAATTCATACAATTAAATAGATGCATTACATAGATGTAATCATCTGAGATTTGAGTTATTTTCAGAGCTGAACACCAGTTTATAGACATTCATTCTTTATATGATATGCCTGGAAACCTAATGTGAAATTTTCCAAGAGATAGATTTCAAGGTTAAACTTTCATATGACACTTGAATGGATTGCAGCTCTTCAAATTTGCAGTACAAAACACAACAGAATGATGGTGTCGCATACATACCTAGATTAGGTATATTTTTTGTAAAGATTTATAATACCCTCAAGAAACACAAATCTGAACATTTTAGCTAGCATGATTCGTCTTTAACTATATATTTTGAAAGAGGTTGCTGGGCCACCTGAAACATCAATAAAGTAATATCTTCAAGATCTGTGATTCCATTTATTGTCTAATGTTGGTGTACTTTTTCATTCTCTCTCCATAATTAAATTGAGATCTACACAAAATCAAAGATTCTTTCAAATTATAAAGTGACTGAGCAACTGGAGATCAAAACCCTATAGTGCATTATATCAATCTCCTTGTTTTGGAGAAGTCTTCCCAAATACATTTCTTACTTTTGTTGTGCCACAGAACTGTACAACACCTATTACAAATCTTATGTATTACTATCTTTTTTTTTATTGTGCATTTAATTCTTAGCTGAGTTAAAAAACATTTTATGGTAACACTTCACCATTTTGATTCTTTAATGTTAAATTTTAGTACATTATGTTACTCAAAGCAAGTGTCTATTTGTAAAACAATCAGAGATGTTATTATTTTTGTATTAAAAGGAGATAAAGCAGAGAAACTTCAAGATAATTAAGAAAAGTAACATAAATAATAATAAAGATTTGTTTTTCACTCAAATTTTAACATCCATAAATTGAGGAAATCTGTAAGGCTACAAAAATGTATTTCCTGTTTTTTTCTCAGTTTTACACACACGTTTCGTAAAACTGGATTAAGAAAATGTCTAAAGATTTTGTTGCCGGTTACTAATACCGAACTGTGTTTTCAGAAACTTCAATTATCTAATATAAGATGAGGAATAGGTGTATTGTTTTGTATGTAAGTACTTGGGACGTACGTATGACAAATTTTAAAGTATTAGGTACTATCTTCTTGACATATAGAAACATATATCGAAATTGTAGGTGAACATTTACTTGTCAGGTGCACTTTGGTGGATTTTGAATGTTACAAAATACTATTTTTCATTTTTATTTTCGCCCAAACTACCCATATCCTCATACCTTGTCATTTTCTTTGAGTCATTAGGTTATCAAAGTCATTGCAAAATACATGTCTCTCAATCTTGTGTTCAGTAATGATTTTTGTCATTTAAAGCATTCCATTAATTTTGTTTGGAATCTACCAAGGCATCTTATATGTAAAGTTTACCTATTGGCCCAATCAGTTGATGAGCAGATAGTCTTGGAAAATTAAAATGTTTCATTTTTCTGGACTTGATGTTAAACTACATGTACTTGGTGAAAATGTGTAAAATTGTAGCAGCTATCCTCAAATTTGTTATGTTTTAATTCTTCCATTCCCCTTTGCTTATTGATTGTTGAAACGTCTCCTTTTTAAAGATTAGCAAATGGAGGGATTAATAAAAGTTTATCTACACCATTCATTATTACTTTTCCTTATTTTTATTGGTTCCTCTATTGCTCATTCCTACTACTGCATTGGAAAGGTATGGTAAGAAATCCAAAACTTGTAGTTGTATTGAGTTGCAGTATTTTGGTAAGTAAATAAGGTTCAAGAAGAATCACAGGCAATTTGCATGTATCAATAAAGAATTACGTCAAAAAAGGAGGTTGCATATGAAAGACTAAATGACTGCATTAAATGTAACATTTTTAATTGCTGGCATTGGGCTAATTATTCAATTTGATTAAAATGTTGATCCAAACTGATCTGCCATCTAGCTAGTTCAGAGCCATCTGGCTACTTCCACAGTTATGGTGTTGCAATGCAGTAATGTCAACACCACTTAGATGCAAGTTACAAGATGTTGTAGAATACCTAACAATCATTTTTACTATCGGCTCATTAAAATTATTTTTACAGTATTTTTATTTTGATGAACAACAGCTGTAGAATATTACAGCTGTTATGTTTTATTGCCACTTGCTAATTATAAATCAGATTTTTAGGATCGTGGCGACATATGGAGTTGAGATACTGATTTTTTATTTGTGCAGACATTTTGTTTTTATATCCCCAATTTTGACTAACAGTGTTATGTACTACATACAAAATAAATCCGTGGATGATTTGTGAGTATTTAATGTAAACAAAGCTCTCAGCTACCATCGATAATACAGCTATTCCGTGAGTATAGTATAATTTGTATAAATATACCTGGCCAAAGATGCTTTCTCAAAATTGCCATGTAGAATACGTTTCTGTCAAAGAAAATATCTGGCGTAGGAATATTCCCTCCAGATTTCTTGGGTGGAATTGTACCATGATTGTAAGTGACCACTTTTTATTTACTAATAACTGTTATCACCCTTTAAGGTCTGCCTCTTAAATGGACACAGTATGCTAAATCTGTAGGAAATAGGGGGAAATGCTTAACCATTACACGAAACAATCTAAAATGCGTGAAAGCGTAATACAAAATTCGCTTACAATGAGTATAAATCATTCATTCATTGCTTTTCATGTTCATAATAAAAAAATATAAACATAGATTTTGGTTTTCCTCAGTTACTGTGTTCATGTAAGCAGATCATTTTACAGGTTGAAAAGGATGTTCCCATTCATTTTGACATTAAAATGAATGAATATACTGTATACTAATCCGCGCCACAACAAAAATGACTGAGAAAAATTTTCTTGCTATCAGTAATGTTCAATATAATTGTTAAAGCCAATTAAATCAACAGAATGCCAACACAAAACTTTTGTTTTTGAGTATTAATTATTATATATTTTGAGTATTGATTATTATAAACGACGGGATATTAGTGGAGAGTTAAATGTGTATAATAAATACATTTGTTTTATTGAATATTGTTAACTATTTAAGTAGTTCATTTGGGTGATTTCTTAAATCTAATTTTCCTAATGTAATTTGAATCTGGTAGAATAATAGTTTCGTCATAATGTTTATATAAATGGGTCATCCTTATTTTATTTAATAAGCCAGTGTATATTTTGGAGGGACTGTAAACAGTATTTTTTGACAGCGCATGGACTTAGGGGAGTGTCCAAAAATTCATGATTTGGCCCTGAGAGCCGACTTCGAGAAGGCACAGCAGACCAAGGACTACTTCTATGATCTTGATGTAAGTACCATCGATTTAGATATTTCATTTATACTAATGTAGACCTGGCGATCTAGTTTGTATTTCAACAATGAAACCATGTAATTCATCTGATGAAGTCAAGATATTATTTCGTACAGTTCCTGAATGCTGGATTTTCAACTCCAGCAGTAGTGGGGTGTCTATAACAACATTTTTATATTCAAAATCGTGACTTAACTATCCGCTCAAGTTTTATTTCAATTAAAGGTAAAATGCGTCAGTCTGGTATTTCATGCTACCTCAACGAAAACTTTGTTGACGACTTTAGTTTTATAAAATATTGCAAATGTATTTCAAAAGACCACTGATATTTGTAACGTTGAAAAATATACAGCAACCTAATTATGCCCTGTAGCTCTCAGATTCTGTTGCACAGACTTTATCATATGTAATGTTTTTAATCATGGTATGAGAACTGAGAGGACTTATCATTATCTCATCAACAAAATGACTTCTCACTTCCTTCGCAACACTGTCATTAGTTTACAAAACATGTACGCCACGAGTCGCTCATTTTAGAAAAAAGTTAACAACAAACATGTCTAACAACAGAATTGAATGGATCAACTCCGACAAGTAGTCCCATACAATTAGTCCCCACCCATTTGACAATCGATCACAGTTCTACCGCGTAGGAAACAGTCACTATAGTCAATTGGCTACTTACGGGTTGCTTAAACACTGTATCTAATTGGGTGTTCACTTATACGTGGTTGACTAATTCCATCTCCATACACTAAGGCCCGTATCGTCAGTCATCCCTACAATTGTAGGGCGCCTTTATGGCCTCCTTGATTGTCATAGTTTTATACATCTCCATGTCAGAACTCTATTTTGAGGTTATGACACAAACATCTATTTGCATCAAATTGTGCTTGCTTTTTTATCAGCCTGAAATTTCCTACAATTTAAAAAGAAAACATATCTTTACAATAGGAGAGCGCTGACGCTGACACGGTACAAGTGTAATCTAGAAATTTTTGAAGGAGAGAAAGGAGTATGACAATCAAGGAGGCTATAAACGCGCCCTACACTTGTAGGACGACTGACGATACGGGCCTAAGTAAACCGGTTTCTGGCGCTTGTTATGACTATTGTTAGCATAGCAGACGTTACGTTGGCGTTGGAATTTCATCCTGGATGTTGGTCTTCAAATCTTGAAGGGTCCTTGGATGGATCACAAAAAACCCGGGTTTCAAAAAACCCCATAGACAGAAATCACGAGGGGCCAAATAGGGAGAACGAACTGGCCACTTCAAATCGCCCCTAATTGAGATGAGGCGCTCTGGGAAGTGTTCCCTCAAAACAGCCATTGATGCTTTTGAAGTGTGTGCTGTGGCACCGTCTTGTTGGAACCTAATGTCAATGTGAATGCATTATGCCTTCGATGCAATTCTCGAGGATTGGTGTCAGCCCAGTAGCATTTTTTCTTTGTTGACTGATCCATACATATGAAATGTGCATCATTAAAAAAAAGACGCTCACACGCGTTCATCCGAGAATTGACATCACTGACTTTCTATATTGAAAACTTTACCGATCCGTATCACAAAAGTTAAGATGTTTAGGACATACATTCATAAGAAGTTTTCATCTTAAAATATACCCAATCGAACCCTTTAATATTGACATTCAATTAGAAGCCTCCCGGATTTTTTTGTGAATCATAGTGGAGAGTATAACTGTATCCTCACCAACATTTTTCGTTTTTTACTTTAGTTGATGTAAATGTAACTTTATATAATTTACCGGGATGAATTTGTTCTCAAATCAATTAGAATAAGCTACATATTCATTATTTTGGTTTGTTTCATCATCCCTATAAGTTGTATTAAGTTACAATTGAACTGAACAGAAGAAACCCGTTGTTGGTGGCGCTATAGTTATGCTCAACAAGTCATAAACATGTACTTTGTTTTATGTAACACCAATAGGCTTTTTTTAGCGTATACCAAATAATGACTTTTTGATATCTTGGCTAACCGTCCGTCATGTTTCTCAATGAATTTGCACAAAACTTCAGTAAATTACACACCTAAACCTACGTCATGAATCCCTCTATACACTAGTGAAAACCATATGAAAATCCTCGCTGCATAGTTTTTGAGTTTGATTTAAATATTTCAAGTCTAAAATGTGCGAGGAAATTATGTGTGAGGCCAACCCCATAAATTGAGATCTACGGTCGCTCATCCCGTTCAACCCCAACTCCCAATGTTTAACCCCTACACCCTTAAACCTCAAAAAACGAAGTTTGGCCAATTTTTGTCGGTCGCCACTGGACCGATTTCCAAAAACTACAAAGCTGTTTAAAGGATTAGCGGGTAGACCGACGAAAATGAGCGACACGGTTTTTCCTGATGGAAACATTTGGTTGTCAGTGGCGTAGGAAGTAAAGTCAACAAACAAAAAAACACGTGTCATGTATTTTACACTTTGTTTTTGCACCTCCATAATAACTGTTCCTTCTTGTCCGGAAAAGGCAATGGAACATCTGCAAGCGTTCATCGGGGACTGCGATCGGCGTACGGAGTCCGCTAAACAACGATTGGCTGAAACCCAAGAAGAGCTGACTGCCGAGGTGGCTGTCAAGGCCAATAGCGTGCACGAACTTGCCGAGCAGATTGGCCAGAAACTGGCCAAGGCCGAACAACTTGGCGAGGAGGGATTCGTGGATGAGAGCATGAAGCTTATGGAGGAAGTGAGTTTTAGTTGTAATGGGTGATTTTTTTTGGTAGTATCTTTTTGGCAACACTGTTTTTGACAGATGACGCGTCAATCGTGTCTTGTGTCATTGTCAAACTTGTTCAGTTTGGTCTATAATTTAACCATAAATCGACTTACGAACGAACAACGCTTGCAAATTATTGAATTTTACTATCAAAATTCATGCTCGGTTCAGAGAGTGCATCGAGCACTGCTTCCAATTTTTTGGTCAATTTGGTCGGCCTACTGAGGGAGCTATTCGGAAGCTTGTGACTAAATTTCGAACCCAGTTTACATTATTGGACATTAAACCACCAACACGCAGACGTAGAGTGAGGACTGAAGAAAATATTGCGGCTGTATCCGCCAGTGTTAGTGATGACCGTGAAATGTCGATTCGCCGCCGTTCGCAGCAATTGGGCCTCTGTTACTCCACTACGTGGAAAATTTTGCGACAGGATTTGGGTGTAAAACCTTATCGAGATACAGCTGGTGCGAGAATTGAAGCCACACGACCTCTCACAACGTTTCCAATTTGGTGAATGGGCGCTGGCAAGGTTGGAGGAAGATCCACATTTTTATCGAAAAATTGTGTTCAGCGACGAAGCTCATTTCTGGTTGAATGGGTACGTTAACAAGCAAAATTGCCGCATCTGGAGTGAAGACCAGCCAGAAGCATTGCAAGAGCTACCAATGTATCCCGAAAAAATCACTGTTTGGTGTGGATTATGGGCCGGTGGCATCATCGGGCCGTACTTCCTCAAAGATGACAATGGCCGGAACGTAACTGTGAATGGCGAGCGCTACCGTGCGATGATAACAAACTTTTTTTTGCCCAAAATGGAAGAGCTGGACGTGGCTGACATGTGGTTTCAACAAGACGGTGCCACATGCCACACCGCACACGAAACAATGGCCCTATTGAGAGGCGAGTTCGGTGAACAATTTATCTCACGTTTGGGGCCCGTCCATTGGCCGCCTAGATCGTGTGATTTAACGCCGTTGGACTATTTCTTGTTGGGCCATGTTAAGGCTAATGTCTACAGGGATAAACCAGCAACGATTGACGCACTGGAAGCCAATATTGAAGCATTTATTCGTGAGATACCGGCCGATATGTTGGAGAGAGTGTGCCAAAATTGAACCTTGCGCATGGGCCATCTAAAGCGGAGCCGCGGCCAACATTTACATGAAATAATTTTTAAACATTAAATTATATCGACCGTTTTATCGACTCAAATAAAGATTTAATCGTTTTTTCAAATTTTTTGTGTTTTTTTTTTTGAAAATCAAATCCTATACCTCTTCAAAAATCACCCGTTATAACCTAGAAAATAACGCGTATATAATAATAAAGCAGTACTAGTGCGTAATGGCCAAGTATGTTACTGAAGCTTGTCCCATCTTACACTGGCTTGCTGGGCAGACATTTCAGTGTTATGTGTACTCAAGTGAACCTCACCTTTCCATAATTTTGATTTACTGTGGATTAATACGATAAATATAGCCATTATCTTCCGTTTTTCTATTTCCTACAAAACGAGATACTCGTAATTCAAATGTTTTCCTAATTTCAAATATCCTATGTGATATCTAGATGGGGCAGCTTAAGCATGTTGCTATGACGATAAGGTGTAAAAGTATTAACCATTGACTGGTAACATGAATTTTAATTTTGTTAACCTACGAGTTTTTTTTGTCAAATAGGTGGATGAATTGAGGAAAAAAAAACTTGAAGCTGAGCAGGAATATCGCAACTCGATGCCGGCCAGCAGCTACCAACAACAAAAGCTGAGGGTATGCGAGGTCTGTTCTGCTTATCTGGGTATTCATGACAATGACAGACGTTTGGCTGATCATTTTGGTGGAAAGCTACATTTGGGATTCATCAAGATTAGAGAGAAGCTCGCCGAATTGGAAGTAAGGAAGACTAAAAATTATTAATTTTCAAAAAAAAAAAACAGGAAGAAGCATGCATACAAATAGTGATTAATAGACTTCAATTATTGAACATAGCTATTATCTTTACAAAGTATTGTTAAATGATTAAATCGAAAAATTGAGGTTCTTGCGAGAATGTATTAACAACATAAAAGTGGTACTAACACTGACTTGCACAAGCTAATTCATAATGAGAACTTTTGTCTTGCATATTATGTGCGATCCACTGACTTTGGTTTCATTTTCATCAAAAGCTGACGACTGAGATTTTTTAGGTTCTATAGTACTGCTACCAAGTCATGGATAAAAATTACCACTGCAAACAAACTTGGGAGGGTCTCAAGCAAGTTTAATATTTTTAATGTCTATTTTTTTACAGAAAAATGCGGAGAAAAGGAAGGAGGAGAAGAGAAAGGCAGGGAAGGATAGAGATCGTGATGATGACAGGTACGAAGGAAGGCGGTACCGCGAACAATACGTCGGCAGTCGCGAGCTGGATAGACGATCCAGGAGGCACAGGTCCAAGTCCAAGGATCGTAAAGAGAGGGAACGTGAGAGCCGCAAGTCTAACAGATCCAGGTGAGCTGATTGACTAACCAACAACTTGTACCTTCTATACTTAGTGACATATAAATCCGAACACCCAGTTTAAATGGTTTTATTTTAATAAAAGTTGGTGAATGTATTTATCTTACTGTAAATAACAAGTTTTGAGCCTTATCAGTTGGACATTCCGGTTTTTATACTGCTTTTTTTTTAATTCACTAACGCTGTAAAAATGAATATTTCAGCCGCAGTAAAGAATGAACGTTGGCGGGTTTTGGTTCTTGGCATCCTTTACGATCGGTTACGATGCCTAGAGTACGGAGACCTGTACGATTTCGTCAACTTAGTGAGTTTGATAGGGGCCGTATAGTGGGACTTCGGGAAGTTGGACTTTCTTTTCGGGCAATTGCAGTTGGAGTGCAAAGAAGTGTAGACACTGTGGTTAGGTGTTGTCAGGCATGGCTTCGAGAAGGCCGTACGCAAAGAGCAAGGGGCCTGGACGCCGGCGTAGAACAACAGACCGTGAAGATCGCCGCCTAAGATTATTGGCCTTAAGGGACCGTTTCTCCACTACCAGGACCATTGCAAATGAATGGTTTGCAGAACACGGAAGACCTATTGGCATGCGAAGTGTTTACCGACGAATGAGAAGTTTTGGCTTGTTTTCATACCGGCCACACTGGGTCCTCCTTTTAACTCGAGAACACCGACGTAATCGCCTTGAGTGGTGCAGACAACGGTCACTCTGGGATCAGGAATGGAACAGTATTGTCTTTAGTGACGAGTCTCGATTTTGTTTAGGCATGCACGATGGTCGTGCCAGGGTTAGAAGGCGACGTGGTGAAAGGAGGAATCCACAGTTTTTTGTTGAAAGACATGTTCATCACACTGTTGGAGTTATGGTTTGGGGTGCTATAGCTTATGGTTCCAGGTCACCTTTAATCTTCATCAGAGGTAACATGAACGCGCAGCGTTATATCCACCAAGTTCTAGAACCCCATCTTTTACCCTATCTTGACACCCTGGCAGATCCAACTTTCCAACAAGATAATGCCCGACCACATGTTGCAAGAGTCACAATAGACTTCTTTCAACATAATGATGTCACATTGTTACCATGGCCACCAAGATCTCCCGACTTATCCCCAATTGAGCACGTGTGGGATATGATGGGTAGGAGATTGCTCAATTTGCAACGTCCTCCTCAGACTCTAGAAGCACTTCGAGAGGAGTTGGTGGTTGCCTGGAATGAGATACAACAGGAGGACATTGATCACCTGATCAGAAGCATGCCTAGGCGCGTTGGAGAATGCGTAGCACATTAGGGTGCATCCACACATTATTAAAGGTCAAAGGGCTTTAAAGCAGTGCAATCATTTTGAAATGTTTATCATTTACTTATTATGCTTCATTAAGTACTTATACAAAATTTTATTAAAATAAAACCATTTAAACTGGGTGTTCGGATTTATATGTCACTTAGTATATTTCACCATTGAGCAGTTAATGATACCCAGTAGTCACCCTGCACTATATTACTTGCAAAAAACGCAGGTTGACAAAGCCTTGCGAGACTTGTTTACCAGTTAATGATTAAAAAAAATGTTTTCAAAGGAATTATTTTTAAATTCATTGATTTCTAATACAGGGTTTTTAAATTGTATGGATTTCCTCAAAAATCGATGTATCCTTCATAACCGATCAACTGACACTGCAGAAAGGTTCGTATATTTATAATTATATACACTGCCGATTTCGAATGAAGGTATGGAATATTTAGCTGGATTAAACCAACCAACAAAGGATTCTATTCGAAAGTAACTTCCCTTGACCCTTGTCAATTAGTTAGTCCAGCTGAAAATTGTGTAACTTTGATTAAACTGGGAAGAATCGTATGTACAGATTACAAGCTTCAACGTATTTTTTGTTTTAAATAAACATTGTATTCATGGAACCTATTTACCAGGCCAATCAAAAAACGACCCCGAAAATCGACGCTCAATGTTGTTTCGGTTATGCGCATGTGTGCGTCGCGCATAAAATAACTTTAAGGGGAGCTGAGTAAATACGACTAACGACGCTGATTGCTCAAATAAGTGATTTGAATGGGGCCTCGGTTGGCCGCGTTGGTCAGAGTGTCGTGCTACTGATCGGCCGGGCCGCGAGTTCGAATCTCGCCTTCGCCATGGATGTTGTGACGTCGTGTGATTGTCCATAATTAGAGAAATATAAGTAACACACATCTGTGGCAAATGGATAACTTCCAATGCAAAATAGTGATTTGAGGTTAGACAGTATTTGAATTGCAACATTGCTCTTTTCTTACTAAACCTAATCTTGTAAAATTTCGCGTAGTGCACTAAACGCTAAATAACTATGGGATAACATACAGGTTTTGGGAATAAATTACATCAAGTTATGAATCACAGTTTTCGCGGATGCTTTCCGGCATATAATTTTATACAGATAAATCTATATACCACTGACGTTGTAATGTGTACGAGAGAGAAGCGTGCATTATGTATGTTAGAAAGAGATAAAAGTACCACGTTGCCTACCAATCCGTGTGACGAGGCCGCGGACGCAGCTGCGACTTGCCGCGTTTCTATCGGCGCACTCGCAACATACGTATTAAGGCGGATACGTATATGAGTACAAACGCGAATGAGGCAACCCGAAGACGAACCATTGCCTCGGATACGGGAAGTTCGGGTTCCTGAATAGTGGTCGCACGAGTCGTTGTACGGCATCGATCCATGTGATGTGGCGAGCATTCTTGTATTTTCAGTAGCTTTTAAAATATGGCCGATTCAGATTCTGATGGTGATAATTTTGACCAGTGTTATAGAAAAGAAAGTCAAGAAAAAACCAAAACGATCGTCGTCACATTTATATCTTAACAGAAGTCAATTGAATGAAAATAGCACATAGGTTTGTTAAAAGATCTTTTGGCCGATCCAATAGAAAAATTATTAAAAAGAAGCAATAAAAAATAGTATTTGATAGCAATGTGCCTCATTTTAGGCGGGTAAGCATATGATCATGAACGCGAATGAGACATCCCGAGGACTCATGAGCATAGCTATGTGTACGTCTGAACGAGGCGTACGAATTCGTATTCATCCGGGCTAGACCCGATCCGTTTCTTCGCGGTACATCAAAGTGAGGCACATGCTAGGTGCGTGCTCAGTCTGGACCGAAATAAACATTTCATGTCGAGTCGGTCTCCTCTGTAGTCACTAGTAATGCCCGGAAAAAGATTATTGTTATCAAAGACTGTTTTGTATTGCTTCTTCAGCTGGAATAGCTTTTATATAGGATGCGTCTTGCCGTTCTATACTTGGTTTGATACAATTTAATAGCAAAAAGAAGTCTTCTTGAAACATCCTGGTAACATTTTTGAAAAATCCGCTGTTTTCATCGGCCAAGCGATCTTTTAAAAACCTGTGCTATGTTCATTAAATTGTCTTCTTCTGTTGATATACAATTGTGACGACCATCGTTTTGGTTTTTTCTTGATTTTTTTTAATTCACTGGTTAAAATCATAAAATACGCAGCGCGTCCACCATCAGAATCTGAATCGGCCATATTTCAAAATCTACTGAAATACAAGAATGCTCGTCACATCACATGGATCGATGCCGTACAAGACCTCGTGCGTCCACTATTTAGGATCCTGAACTTCCCGTATCCATGGCAAATGGTTCGTCCTCGGGTTGCCTCATTCGCTTTCGTGCTCATATGCGTACCCGCCTTAAGAGAAATGCCTGCTTGATATTTGGTTTTTTTTCTAACTCCAAATTGCCTATTTGGCCAATTCGTCGATGCATTCCCCAAACCTTATCATTCCATAGCTATTTGATTTTACGGGCCCTACGCGAAATACTACGAGCCCCTTCCCACTTCAGTTGGCACAACTATTGAAATCTTAGTTTTTTTCTTATCAAACACAACTAATAAAAATGTAGCATGGTGTTATAGGTTTAAAATACTAATAATGAATATTTTGATAATATATAGTAGAAAACACCAACTTTATCACTCCCTAATAAAATTTGCAGCATAAAAATAACACATGTTGCAATTACAGCATATCAACCTATTTTCATTTCAATGCAAAATAAGTCTATAACCATAGTTGACTGTGAAAAATAAATGCCATGACAATTGTTTTTATTAATCACAGCTGTCAGAATACGTTTAAAATAGTTTTGGGTAGTTAAGGTTTTCAAAATGGGTAGAGGAAAGGTTATTAGTGAGAAAATTCGGTTACTCATAATTAAATTTTTTAATTCTGGGAAATCAAACTCAGAAATTGCAACTTTGTTCGACTTATCGCTGTACAGTGTGAGAAATATTGTTAGAAGATATAACGTAACTGGTTCAGTTAATATTAAGCCACGATATGTGAAAAAAAGTAATATCACAAATACCGACCGAAGAACATTAAGAAGAATAATCGTGAAAAATAGGCGTGCCAATTATTTACAATTAAGTGCTCTGTGGAGTGATGCTGTTGGAAGGGGAATTTCGAGGTCCACAACTCATAGAGAGGCCCACAAACTGGGATTTAGCACTTGCAAGGTAAGTTCTCTTATAAAAAAAGTGAAGTAACTACACTGCAAAAGAAAAATCGGCTTAGATGGGCTAAAGAACATAGACAATGGACACCTCAGCAATGGTGTGCAATACAATGGAGTGATGAGGCCCGATTCGAAGTTTGTGTTGGTGACAGTCGCAGTAGAGTTATTCGCCAAAAAAAATGAAGCATTCCTTGTTGACTGTCTGAAGAGAAAAGTGAAATTTCCAGCATCCATTATGGTCTGGGGCAGTATGTCATCAAAAGGAGTAGGAAAACTTCATTTTATTGATGGAAATGTGGATACAAACAAATATTTGGCAATTTTAGAAGAATCGCTGTTACCGGTGATGGAAGAATGTTTGACATCCGGTCAAGATTTTGTGTTTCAGCAAGATGGTGCAGCATGCCGTACCTAAAAAAGGCTATAAAATGGATGGAAGAAAATAATGTACCACTTTTGAAATGGGTTTCTAGCAGTCCAGATCTGTCACCTATTGAAACTTTGTGGCACGAGATGAAAATGGTTCTACGACAACATCCTGCTCGTACAATCACCGAACTGAGACAAAAGCTTCAAGAAATATGGGATTGCTTTACACCAAATTTTTGCCAAAACTTGGTTAACACTATGCCCCAAAGAATTTCAGCCGTAATAAAAAATAAAGGTGATGTTACCCAATGGTAATCTTTCAATTGTTGCTTTGTTAACTTCGCGCATTTATTCGCACATTGTTTGTTTGTTCAGATATTCTATTAGTTATAGGTCTAAGTGATTTCAAATATGTATTTTTTACGACTAGAGTGTATCTAAAATGTTTTTGAGAAAATAAATTGTTTTAGAAGTAAATAGTTTCGTCATGTTTAGTTTATAAAGGCATATTTTGGTACCAATCTTGAAGTGGGCCAACTGAAGTGGGAAGGGGCTCGTACACGATCCTCTGTGCCATGGACGAACACTTGCTTTCTAAAAATAATGAGAACCTGCAGCATTAAAAAATATAAAATCGGTAGAAATGCGGAATGCAAGGAAAATAAGCTGTTACAACTGTGATCACTGCGCCACGGGAGCGCGCGTTGAAACTACAATCAGGCGTCAAGTTTGGGGTTCATTTTTTCTCGTTCGTCGATTCTTCTGTTAAATTTATTCATTGGCATTACTGGATGATTGGCGTCGATATCAACTCTTTAGTTTCATAGACGAATTAATTTTCAACAGATAGCGCTAAGATTATTCTAATTTATATATATTTTTTGTAAATAAAAAAAACATTTTAATAATAGATAACATATCTAAACATAAATTTGAATTATGTTAATGCGCAAACCTGAGGGTATAATAGTTTAAAAATGTGTCACAAAAATATATTGATTGTGGATAGTGAGGTTTACTTTGATCACTGGTTTTGCTCCAGATTACATAGTCAAAGACTCTTGGACAGTATAGATGGCTATGCTGACCTGGAATCATATACTACCATTGATTAACGTATTCTACCGTAAGATAACCAACATAATATTTTATTTATATGAGCATATTAGCTACAGCACCATCTATGAGAAACTAACCTTTTTAAAGGAGATTTATATTTCTTGCAGAAACATAGCTGTGACAAAGTTTCATAGATGACGCCCTGGTATTTCATTTCTTCTCTGAAAATTTTGTTGACTTCAGAATATAGTATTAAGTTGGCTATCTTCAGGTAGAATGTGTTAGTCGATGATGAAGTAACTGAGTGCTGAACACTTTGATATAACACATTCTGAGAATTGTTTAAGTAGGTTACTGAATAAAATACTTATAATTTCCCATGCTTGTCTAGCCGAATCGAACTACATATCTGTATATTTAAAATTCCTCTTTATTGTACGACGTTTCGTTCCCAACAGTGACCAAGGAAAACAGTTTGAGCATTTGCTGTAAATGTAAATCATCATCAGTAGTCCTTTGACGCCCAGTATTGTGCAGTTAACCTTAAGTGTCGTTGTTCGTTTTAATAATTGCTATTTATTTGAGGCATTTTGAACAATTGTCATCAGTTTAATAGATATGAACATCCAAATAATAGAATTCTTTTTTAAAGATTTGAAACATTTCTAATTCGGAAAAAAAAGTTTCTGTCTCTCTCTCACCCTTAGTAACATATGCCTCTGGAACTAAAATGATTCTAATATTTATTTAACTCATTTAAGTAAAAACTGGGTATTTCTTTGAATAGAAATTAAGCATAATCTAACGAATAATCTGTTAAGGTTACTTGCCAAACTCCAGTCAGTTACAGCTGAGCAAAGTTTTAATTTGGAATACTTGGTTGGAAAAAAAATGTCAATTTCCTCTGAACTAGAAAAGTTGTCAGTAAAGCTGAGACACCAGTTTAAAGATGCATAACACTGTAAAAATAAAATCCAACAAAAGTTGATTATTAACAGGAGTTAACAGACTGCCGTAGGGTGTGAACATTTTTTAAATATTTTTCTGATAACTATTATGACTCTTCCTGTCACCTGGTTTCGGCTTGACGTCGACTTCTGGGACACCCTGTATGTATTTTGATTCGGACAGGCAAACAAGGGAAGGATTATCAGCTTGAACACTACTGGATAAGTTTCAGATGTTACAACAAAATTCTTGTTTCTAATGTAAAATTTTTTTGTTGTTGCAGATCCAGAAGCAGGGATCGTCGTTCTCACTCCCGTCATTCAAGCTCCAGTGAAAAAAGAAGAGATCGTGACAGAGATTAATGACAGCATTTCTGAGAAAAAATATGTTTGTTTATTGTATTTTATTAAAGAAATTCACGTGTTTTTCCGAGCGACTTGTAGATCTTTGTCAAGTGGCAACCGCATATTTTTAGTAGAATTTGGTTAATGTTAAAACAATTCATGCCTCTTTATTTTCACTATTTTTGACATAATGTTTACAAAGATGATATTTTGATGGAATTTCAACAAAATGAGTGTTATATATTATTTTGTAGTCTTTTGAATGCAACTTAGAGTCCAGTGCTACTTCTGGACATATCTTCAAGATTAATCGTTATTGTTATGCTGTCACAGTGATCATGTGACATCACAAACCAATGTGGATTTATGTATGTCAAAAAGTAAGTTTAGCTGACAAAATATATAAACACGATTTGTCTTTTTTACAGTTGTGCTAATGAACATATTTTCATCATCGAATTTGCAACTGCTAGTTTGAAAAAATAGTAATTAGCATATAAATTTATTTTTATGCATACAAGATCACAATCAGTGTATAAGTTGCAATTTCTTTCTTTTGTAATATGTAAAGTGTTCATAGTACACCCATCGTAAAAGTTGTATCGTATATTTAGACTTAGTTATAGCTTTGTTTAAAATAAAGAATATAAAACACTAGTTTTTTTTTCAAGGGGAGTGTCCAGGGTGACAAGAAATATAGATGCATTAAAAAAGTACAAATTTATATTTTTATTGATTCAGACTTAGCATTTGTTTGGCAAAAATTCATCCTTAAAATTAAGTACATATCCTTAAACTACAATTCCTAAACAACAAAAGTCACATGTATAGTAAAAAGTGTTTGGTAAAACTTATTACAAAGATTGCATAAATAACTTTCTTGCAAAATATAAATATTACAAATAATAATGAAGTTCATAACGCCATCCAATGTTTTTTCGTGATGCGTGAAAGGTTTAATAACATGGGAGTTATGAACAGCTTTATTCACAATAATGTAAAAACTGGCAAAACCTAATACTAAAATAAACGACAAAGTAGCTCGGTAGTCAAAGAAAGAAGCGAGTGAAAATTTTATAATTGCACTTAACCGCAATATTCTTGCAGACGCTCAATGTTTTAAAGCAAACTTGACTAGACATATACCTAAATCCTACCAACATCACATCTGCAATATCAGATTGCAAAAATATCTAATATCAGTTAAAACAACATAATATATACCCTTTAGTGTAGATATCAAAACTTATTTTGAAATAAACAAGTCGGTGATTATGGAACCACTAAATAATCTAATTTGTCAAAGAATTTCCAATTGAATATTTGAGATACATAACATAAAGATCTATAGATGATGCTTGAGTATGAAAAACTGCATTATAAAAGTTATAATTATTGGAAGTACCTCTTGAAATACTTCTGCTGCTTGACACAGTATATGATACTGAAAGTACCAGGCACAAAACATGGGATTTGACCAGCAGTCATGTTGTGCTGATCAAATGTTCCGATGGGCGCAAGGCTCAGAAATGCTGACTTTTAAAGATAAAGGGTGTTAAAGTTTGATGCCTTAGCTCCTGTGGGTAAGCCTGCCTGCACCATCTTGCGAAAACTATCTCGTCTTTATTGTTGACTTAACGATATAATAAGACTCACGTGAACGCTTACAATATATAAACAGTCAAGTGGAAGAATATGTAGTGGTAACCACAAATTATTGCAAGGTGTACCCTTGTAACTTAACTCTCAATAATTTGTCGCGTTCTCAATACAGATACTTTCAATTAACTGGTTATTGACGACAATGATTGCATCATATACAAGGTGGGGCAGAAATACCTCCCCGATTTGGAAACCGTCTGGGGGGATGGCGCAGTGGGGGATACATCAATATCATTCGACGTGTCTATTCTTGCCATTTTTAGTATAAATCATGGCTTGGTCAGGACCGCACCGCGCTTTCGTTGTTGATCAGTGTATTCGAAATGGAGGTTCGCCGATAATCGCGCAGCGTGCCTTTCGCATTCACTTTGATCCAGGTGATTTTTTTCTTTGGGGCTACCTGTAGGCAAAAGTGTACCAACATTGCCCCCAAATTCTAGACACTCTCATGGAGACGATAATTCAGGAAATTGCTGCCATTCCGCCTGACACGATCAGCAGAGTGATGGAAAATTATCGGGAGAGGCTAACTCAGTGTATCAACAATGGAGGCGCACACTTGAGTGATGTCATTTGCAAAATGCATTGACTTAAAATGGCATTATATACGCTTTTAAAAAAAATAATTTTTTTTCTATATCTTGATTAGTTCAGTTTTTATCGGCTCTCCAAATTGGGGAAGTCTTTTTGCCCAACCCTGTATGTATGAAAAGTTAAAAAGAAAAATCATAAAACATATTCGAAACTAAACAAATGATCAAAATTCTAATGTATATTATATTAATCTTCTCCGTTAAAAAAAACTTTTTTAGAGATACACACCTACACGATGTCAATCTTGTGGCGAAAACCATTTTTGAATATCTTATACAGCTTTTTATTAAACAAACATCTATTTTCGTTGAAATATCCTATCGTGATTTTTATAATACTGTCAAGTTCCCTGAGTACATAAAAGACCAGTTAGTTTTCGTGAAGTGGTACAGGCAGGCGTGCCCACAGGGGCTAAGGCACCAAACTTCAACACCGCGTATCTGCAATAGAAAGCGTGTCTCGGCTTTGCGCCCAATGGAACATTTGATCAGCACAACAGGAACTATTACTATATGAATTTCCTTTAAAATTGATCTTTAGGCGGAATTCTATGTTTCTGACTAGAATACTAAAATGTTGAATAGAACGGAAATGAATAGATACATTGTCAAATGTCAAGCTGCATCTATGTTACTGCAGGTGCAGGCATCTTGAGAAATTCAAGGTCTAAACATTGACCTTTTACAAATATGTTGATTGTAACGTCATTCCTGAAAAACCTTTTTCACGTAGTACGTTTCATCATCAGTTCAGAACGGTTTACTGAATCTGCGCAAAGCTGTTGTAATGATAGATTTGTGCAGACTCAAACTCCAAAACTGTTCTCAATTGTTGTTGGATCATAATGTATCATGTTGGATTCATGCAAGCTTATCTTAAACCTAACATAGTCCCCAACCATCATAAACAATAGATTGTATGTATACCTAAATGATACTAATGTTTTACCAGTACGTTACGTTTAAGATAGACAAAACTACATAAATCTACAAGTATTCGTATTTATCAGGCCCGGCCACAGACGGTAAAAAAGTGATGCAGGCGCCTCAAGGCGCAGCGCCATATCGAGGGTGGATCCAGGGGGGGAGGTGGTGTCGAGATCGATCAGCGAACCCCACCCCCTCTTCAGTTATTAGAAAGACCTTAGCTCTTAGAGGCACTGATGCACCTGAGGAAATTTCTATTCTCTGAAGCCGGCCCTGCTATTTATGTAATTATTTCTTACACTATCCTTCTTTGAGCTACTGAGCTATCACAGACATGGACATCAACATTAAATTAAAATAGGAATGTTTAACAATAATTGTCTTTTGTGCATCGAGACATTGAACTTTGTTGTACATACCTGAATACATATCACTAAAACGTTTAGAAACTCTTATGGCACACCAACTGATAAAAATATATTAAAATATATAATTATGATTAATTTTTAAAATATTTTATTTCACATAAAAGTCTCTAAAACGCGATAAAAATTTCTTACGACTAGATCAGACTGTAGTGAATTTGTTTATTAATTCTTGAAGCTCATGAAGTTGGCGAACGATGAATTTACTCCACCACCTGATATACAGAAAAATAGACAAATGGATTAAAATGATAGGCAAAAAATGAGATAATAAGTCACTTTGGGGTCTGTGCGATCTGTAGGATCTCATTGTCGTAGTAAACCTTTCAGGTTTGTTAACCCAAAAACAGGTACCGTTAGGATAAATTTAAAAGTGGCGCAGAAAAAAAATGGCATTATGTATCACTCTGCACTTCCCACGCAACTCCGACATTAGTTCATAAAGGATTATGTTCGGCCCTCTGAAGAAAAATTTAACTTCGAAGATGTAAGAAAAAAATTAAATTTATCAAGTCGGCCAAGCAGGCCTTTACAATTAGTTCATAGTCTCCACTCTTCTGTCAACGGCAGTTTATTCCCTGCCCTACCGAACCTGGCAACGTTACTGATCCACACCCGTCAGCGGTGAGCGGTTAGGTAGCGACAGGATTTTGTGCGCAAAGGTATGCGTAAGTTACCGTGCCACCAATGACTGTGTTGAAAATACTTCTCTAAGCTTTAAGGGTAAGTGTACGGTAAAATCCATAATGTAATAATGGGTGCGGGGAATTGCCTGGGTTGGAAGCATAGGAATTTACACTATACCGATAAAAAATTAAGATATAGCCTCCCCACCACCTTAAGGCCCCCATTATGAATTTTTAAACCTTCAAAACTTTTTTACTGAAAACGATCCGGAGCCTATGAAATGTCCAAAAACGAAAATTGAGCGATATTATTTTTTTTTATCTTTTTATCTCTAACTCTACCGCCATTAAACCCTTTTTCCAAAAATTACGCTTTTTCGTCATTGGCATAGTTGTAACCTACTTGTGTGAACATTCCTCAAAATACGAGTAGTGTTTTCTAAGATATAGAAAGACCAAGGACTAGCGGACGGACAGATCGATGTAACATCTCAAAATGGCGCCAAGTAGATTGACTCTGCACTTCCTACTCAAGGCCGTCAACAGTTCATAGACGATTAAGTTCAGCACAAGTTAAACTCTCTGAGAAAAAATATAGTTACGAACATGTACAATAGAAAAATTAAACCGATTTAGGGGGAGTTTATAAATATTCAAACATCAAAAAATTGAGACATGCCCTTCCACACCCCACCCTCATTTTTTTCAGAAATGATCAGGATTCTCCGAAATGTCAAAAACGACGTTTGAGCGCTCTTTTTTTTTTCGTTTATGACCGTTTTCTCCCCCACCACTGGACCGATTTCCAAAAACTACAAAGATTTTTCTTTTATGGCGTCGTAGTAAGTAAAAATTTAACCCAAATCCAAGTAGTACTTTCCAAGTTATAGACGGACCAAGGATTAGCGGACAGACAGTCCGATATTCCGACGGAAATGAGCGACATGATTTTTCGCGATAGAATATATATAAAAAATACATCATTTTCTGAATTCAGATATTCTGATCGGTCCAAACAAGTATTTTTAACAATGTTAAAAAAGGAAACCCTTTTGGCATACAATAATGAATTTATCAAAAAATATTAAGACTACTTTTCAATGCAGAGGAATACCGCTTTGTTCGAGGTAAGTTGGATAAATCTAAAATGTACACTTACCCAAACGTCTTTGGCTTCCAGAGAAATGATCATTTTCTGACGGCGAGTGTTCCAAATTAATCATCACTCCTGAATCCGAATTATTCGGATTAAGTTTGCCTGGAAAAAATATTTGTCAGAAGATGAAGGCTTTCCTTATATGCTTATTCCACGCGTATTCACATTTTTCGACAGGTCGCAGTAATACGACCGGCCACCATCATCCCCCACAAACATACACATACAATCTGCGTCTGCGGACGTTTGTGCAAGGTCAAATACACACGTTTTTTAGTGTCGTTTCGCTACCTCGAAATCTTTCTCGCCAATGTTTGAGTATTACAGATATTATTATTAATAATAATAATGTTCAGATGTACGAAGTTCGACACGGTTAGGATGGAGGCCAAAGTCAGGCGGGTCTGTCTGGCAGGTACATTGCGCGGCGGCATCATGGAACAGAGCTCTGAGGAGCAAAGCCCGTTGGTGTAGCGATAGAAAAGAGCTAGATCGCCGACGGCCCGCCGGTGCGAAAGAGTCTCGAGACTGTCTGTTAGAGAAGAGTCATCGATCAGCCGGACCGCCCTTCTAGTGTGAGCAATACTCGAGGCTAGGCCTTACCTTGGCCCTGTATAGAGTGAGAAGGTCATGCGGAGAAAATTCTTCTAGCCCTAAACAAATAGCCTAGCTTTTCCCAGCAGCCGTCGCAAGTGACGAGACGTGTTCGTGCCAGATCGAGTCCTCGATGATCTGGGCTCCAACCACCCGAAATAAACGGCTCTTTGGCAGAACAAAACCTCCACAGCAGCGTGGTCTGAGTTACCCAGGGGGGACAGGGCGTCAGTGATGTAAGGGACAGGATGCGTGGTTAGGAAGAGATCCAGAAGGCTACTGGCATTTGACGAGACGCGAGGGAAAAGTAGGACTCGTCACCAGCTGGGACAGTTCTTTAGTAAGAGCGAACGCTTCAACTGCACGACCTGCTGCATCGGTCTTGGTTGAGCCCAACCAAAGCTCATTATGACCATTGAAATCACCGAGGAGAACTACCTCTGAAGAGGGGTGATTGATGTCCAGGAATTCGATCTTGACGGCGAGGTATTCAAGTAGGTCATCCCAGTCGTGGTCCGAGGGAGAGCGATAAAGGCAGCAAATAAATTTAACGGATGTTTTGGAGTTGAGGCGAGGCCACAGAATGTCGTTCCGGTCAGATTCCAAAGAAACGTATCTGTAGCAGAATACTGCTGCGGACAAAAGCCACAGCTCCCCCGTTCTTTCTCAGATTGGAGTGCACCTTGTAATTTGGGAAGCTAAGATGGTTAATCGGTGCAGACCCTGAGGTTTTTGTCTACTCCAAGAACAGCATGGCGGGACAATTGAATTGCAAGTAGTGATGAACAGCGTTGATGTTAATCCCGCAGACGTTCTTGGAACAAATTTTATTTTCGATGTTTTTCCCTCTAGTCCACCGTCCACACTGACATTCAGAGAGTGGAGTGAGTTTACGTCCGGAATTCTTAGGACTCGACGGGCCATCATCATTAAGCCATTAAGCTTTTATAAGAAGTCCCTCGGAACGTTATGCGATTTTCTTATGAAGGATCAATTTCAGTATCCAATTTTTTTGCAACTTCTCTTTACAGTAACTGTTTGGTTTTTGGTGTAAGACATGTTATTAATCCTAAGCCCTCCGTATGTGCGTTCTACTTTTGTCTAAATTTAAAACTAAAAGTATTTAATTTTTTCGACTACTTGGACTTCCCGATGGTCACTTTTTATTTTAAATTTGAGTTTCTGTAATTTGGGGATAATCTTTTATCACAGGAAAATACTATAAAATATATTTATTGTAGTTCCTTTGGAAAGTAAAACATATAATAATTGCTGTAAAATCGTTTTTGTTTTTAGCGTTTAAAGTGCACTAATGATTACTTGTATATATGACAGCTGTGTCGTCAGCGAAACCGATAACTTTACCTTTAACTAGAGTAGTTAGAAGAGATGTGTGGATGATGGTATCGAATGCCTTGTCAAGATCAACAAAAATGCAAGATTACTAACATCAAGATTTACATATATCTTATTAGTTAATTGCCTCTTGTGTTGATTTACGTGCCTGAAATCCATATTGATTTGCAGAAATAATCTTATATTTTTTGTAAAACCTGTAAACCTCTTTTAAAAACCTTTTTCGAAAATTTTGGCGAAAATGCTCAGAAAGGAAATTGAATTGAACTACAAGGGGTGTTCATTTAAAAACTTCCCAACAAGGATTTATCGAAAACCAATGATTAAAAGAAAAAACGCCGCGACACGTCAAAGGATTTGTCAAGGGGGACAACTTTTTAACCACTTCACCAGCTTTTACAATCGGCCCCCCAGGGTAATTCCCTTAAAAATTTCAAATGACAATGGATATAGAGTAGTAGCTTGTTTGAAAGGTCTTTCGAAGTCCTTTATTTTGACGTTTGATTTTTTCCGCATTCTTTTAATCAACACAGATATCCTGGCCAACTCCAACTATATTTATCGTCATACCGGTTTAGTTTTTTGTTGCTAAGGAAAAGAAAGAATTTAATTTGCTGTCAGTTACCTTTGTGACAATCTTGGGATAGTGAAAATTGATTTGTTGAAAATGGTTTACACACTAGCCGAAAGAGTGATTCTAATTTATGGTGCCCAAAATCAATGTGCTCGGCAAACTGCCGTCACGTTTAACGCCAGGCATTACGCAAAATTGTTGCTGCGACTGGTATTTCAATAGGCTGTGTACACACAGTTACTAAACTCGATACATTTCATCCATTCAAAATGAAAATATTGCAATAGTTAACCGAAGATGATTTCGATAGGCGAATTGAGTTTTGTGAACAAATGTCTACATCGATTAATGATACTTAATGCACATTTTATCTAAATGGATTTGTTAATGAGCATAACTGCAAGTATTGAAGCAAGGAAAAACACCAAGCTTTTGTAGAAGGGCATACCCAGTACTCCCAAAAATTAATGTATTGTTAGGCATTTTATTAAACAAAGTGATTGGGCCATTGTTTATTAATGGAAATTTGAATGGAGACATTTATTTGGATATGTTGGAAAATACCATCAATCCCCTTATCACTGAAACCAATGACAACCAAATTGAAGAGGATGGAAATCCTATAGTTGATGAGCCTGAAATATATTTCCTCACTATGTTCTTCCGACGAGTTTCCAGATAAATGGATAGTGCAAAGCGGGTCTATATAATGGCCTGCTAGATCTCCTGATTTGACGCCATTAGACTTTTTTCTATGCCCATTTAAAATCTATTGTGTTTACTCCCCAACCAGAAAGTTTGAATGAACTTCGTCAACGCAACATCGAAAGCTGCCATGATATCCCACAACATGTTTTTGAAAATGTCCGTCAGGAATTTTAACATCGCCTATATCACTGTTTGGTCAATAATGGGCAACATTTTGAACACTTATTGAAATAAAAAGTGATATATTCGTGTGTTTTAGTTTTCTATCTGAACAAATTAAGATAAATAAAGATTTTTCTAATTTTCTAAAAAACGATTCAACCGGTTTTGAAATATCAAACGTCAAAATAAAGGACATCAAAAGACTTTTCAAAAAGCTCGATACCCCTTGTGATTTAAAATGTTTAAGGGGATGACCCTGGGGGGCAGAGGGTGAAAGGGGGTGAAGTAATTTTTGGTTAAAAAGTTGTCTGCTTTGACAAATCTTTTGACGTGTCTCGGCCGTTTTTTTTTCTAATCAGTGGTTTTCGATAAATCCGTGGTAGGAAGCTTCCGTTAACCGTGGCCGCTAGGTTATTAAACAGAGCTTTGTACTGCAATGGCAAAAATGAACGATCTCATTTGACTGACATGTAATCTAGAGTGATACGTTTTCAAAAATACCGGGTTTTTGAATATTCGGTAATATAAGAACCTTGCACATCTCATGTAAACGGCCATGGTTCACGAGATAATCGATCACCTATAGGAGATAGAAAGCATACCTTTGTTGATGAGTTTATCTGGCATGGGCAGCTCGGTTGGATCAGGAGGTACATGGCGATCAGCAGTATCAGTGGGCCATAGGGAACGAGCAGATGGAACCAAATTCAACATTGAAGAATTGACCGGCATCGGGATGCATAAATTCTGAAATTCAAACAAAATATTGAACTCAATTTGTACATTCATGTTTTGTACTTTAAAAATGCAGTCGCAGCTTTAATGAATCTACTAGTCTTTTCAAATTACTTCCTACATCAACTTCCTCAAAACAAATCCCTAATAAGATTGACTGCTTTTACAAATACATATAGTAACGCCAATGTCAGTGATCGTTCGAGTAGCAGCATAGTCTGGCGAACGTGCCCAGAGAAACAACACGAAATTAGTTAAAAAAAAAGGCGTCAAGAACGTTTACTTCTAACGCAAGTTCATAAAGGATCAAGATCAGCGCAATTTAAGTCCTCCGAGAAAAAAATAACATGTACAACAGAAAAATTAAACAGATTCAGTAACTCAAACAGGCTTATACAATTAGTCCATAGATATTATTTCCCAGCACTACCAGTAATTACTGTCCATCTGGCTACGTTGTTCCTTTCCACATCTGCACGGCAGCGCCCAGCGCGGCACCGATACAGCGAGTTATCGTTCATTCCGTGCATGGTCCATCTACAAATATATGTTTTTTGCGCTGCAGTACTGACAGATTAGTCAGCCGGACCGGTTAGTCGGCGGAGTGCGCGGACAGAAAACATTTCTATCACTCTAAAGGCAAACGTACGGGGAAATCTATGATGTGGGAAATATGGCCGATAGGTGCTTAGAGTTACCGGAGTTGGGAACGAATTTTAACCCCTATACAAAAAATGTTTTGAAAATGATCAGGAGATTCTCCAGCAAGCCAACCTCAGGACAAGCTTCAGATGTTACATTAACATACGTAATGAAGTTATACATACCAGATTATCATGCATTGTTGGACTCCAAATTATTTTACCCTGAAAAAAAGTGTAGCATTAGTGACCATACCTTTTGCATAACATATATATATATATATATATAAACATTGCCATTGCCAACGACCAGTTGGGAAAAAATACAATTAAATTGTTTATTGGGAATTTGCAAAACTTGAAGCGTAGTGAACTCTTGTGACTGAAGTCTCGAGATTTCGACAAACTATAGCCATCTTCAGGAGCCGTCAATGAGGGTTGCACCATTTGTCAATAAACCCGAACAAATTAAAAAATGGAAAAGGTACTCAAGTTATTAAAAACTAACACTGCATTTTGGGGATAGAAAATTTCTTTAATCACCGTATACTTGTTGCACGTGGTGAAGGTGTATACTTACAGGTGTTGTGGGGGTGTCTGGTTTTGCTGCAACAGTTTTTGGCATATCCAGAGGCTCCAATGGTGTTATTGTACCGGACTTTCTGTTGGCGACCGGTGAACTTGGTGTTGGTGTTCTGAACGGTATAAAATGATCTGAAAATCAAAGTAAATATAGAAACTATTTGTTATAGTCACCTTAGTGCTTAGAAATCGAAAATAAAATGCTGCTACTGAGGAGGATGGCTTCTCGAAGTTCATCAATGTTGATTGGTGGTACCATGTAGGACCAGACATGCAAATTCACTGGTACAGTAAGTAGTGACAACATATTCCTCAGACACCTCCAGTGGAAGGCAGTTATTTCTGGCATGGATGCCACGATATAATGCGTGACACATGGGACTCTGATACGCTTGGTATTTATTTATAGTTTTAGATTTTTTATCTGTTTCGGTTTTTTATAATTTGACATCAAGTCAAAACTCACCTGCAAGTTTTCTGTGCAGTACTACGAGACTCTTCTTCTTCTTATACTTTACGTGGAAGATCCCGCTAAAGAGATCATGAAATTCAGCTAACGAATTGATCTTATAAGCCCATAGTTTCAAAGGTTTGGAGTAGTATTCGGAGTACATTTTTTCTATTTGACTGTACACGACACTACCTCCATGATAGTAGATTAAATGGTAGAGTTCGGCGGCCAATTTAAATTGGGGGGTTAGAGATACTAATGTAGTTCCATTTTGAGTAGTTACCTAAAAGAATACATTAACTTGAAATACAGGGTGTTTCAGAACTAAGGGATCAAACTTCTAGGGGTTATTCAGTGTAACAGTAGAAAACATTTGAGTATAGGGACCCACATCCGGAAAAGTGTACGACCCTAAGACGCGTTAAAACTTAGAAACACGATGAATTGCCTAAATAGGATTTAATGCATTTAATTTTTGCCTTTTGTACATGATATCATCACAACAATTGTTCAAAATGTCTTCCTCTAACCTGAATACACCGATTTAAACGTTGCACTTGATTTCGGAGGACTTGACTAAAAATTTGATACTCGTTTTTAAGTCTTGCTCTGTTTCTACAGGGGTGACCTAGGAGGCCAAGAAACTTCTCCACCTCTGACAATCCAACGGTGCCCAAACCGCTGAGCCAAATACTCACTTACTTGTACAGCAAAGTGAGCCGGCGCTCCATCATGCTGAAACCACATTTGCTGTCGAACGTTCAATGGAACATTTTCAAGAAGTTCTGGCAGAACTTCCTCCAAGAAACGCCATTAAATAGGTCCTGTTATGCGTTCCGGTAGAAGGTATGGCCCAATCAAATAATCATCAACAATGCCTGCCCAAACGTTGACAGACCAATGTTGCTGATGTTTTCTAGGAAAAATTGCATGGGGATTTTCTTTGTCTCAAACGTTTTCAATCCTACTATTAAAAATACCGTCTCTTGTGAAAGACGCTTCATCGGTCTATAAAACATAACGTAAAAAATTTGGACGTGCAGCGATTTGATGCAGCAGCCGTTGACAAAATTGAACTCTAGGATGATAATCGGCTGCAGTCAATCCTTGAACTTTCTGGAAGTGGTAAGGATAAAGTTCTTGCTCGTGTAGCACCCGCCAGACGGAAGCGTTACTCGTATTCATATCATCAGCAATGTGACGTGTGCTACTTGATGGTTCGTCGGCAACTCGCTGAAGGACCTCTTGTTCAAATTCGACCGTTCTTACGGTTTGAGCAACACCAGTATCATGCATGTTGGATTTAAACATGCCTGTCTCGGAGAGCCGCCGATGAATAGTAATAAAATTTTTGAATCCCGGATGCTGTCGTTCGGGATAACGTTCTTGATACAACAGCGCTGCTTCTCGTGCATTGCAGCTTGATGCTCCGTATGCCAAATGCAAATCCGCCAATTCTTGATTGGCAAAGTTTTCCATTAGCAACAATTAATTTTTGTTAAATTCTTACAAACTTCACAAATACGATAGCACCACTAAGGCGATATGGAATGCAGCTACAAAAAACAATCTCTGTTATCGTTTTTTAAAGATAACAACACACAAGCGCCGGATATGGGTCCCTATACTCAAATGTTTTCTACTGTTACACTGAAGAACCCCTACAAGTTTGATCCCATAGTTCTTAAACACCCTGTATAAGAAATTAAAATTATGGAGTAAAGAGAATGTATTAATTAAACCTAAAATAAAAAATAATACAGGCTGACGGTCGAAGATCCGAAACCACTGTAGCTTAAACTGTTGATTTTTTTATCACCGCGTGATATTGCCTGTTATTTGTTAAAATAATCACCCGAAGTCAAGTTTGATAATATGATTATAACTAATTATACGCCATCAAAATAAAAAAATACCTCGCCAATGATAACTGGCCCAGCGGTGGTTGAGATCCCAGCCTGAGTGTTTACGACGCAGAACACTTTTATATATACTAAGTGACATATAAATCCGAACACCCAGTTTAAATGGTTTTATTTTAATAAAATTTTGTATAAGTACTTAATGAAGCATAATAAGTAAATGATAAAAATTTCAAAATGATTGCACTGCTTTAAAGCCCTTTGACCTTTAATAATGTATGGATGCACCCTGATGTGCTACGCATTCTCGCGCCTAGGCATGCTTCTGATCAGGTGGTCAATGACCTCCTGTGGTATCTCATTCCAGGCTACGACCAACTCCTCTCGAAGTGATTCTATTGGGGATAAGTCGGGAGATCTTGGTGGCCATGGTAACAATGTGACATCATTATGTTGAAAGAAGTCTATCGTGACTCTTGCAACATGTGGTCGGGCAATATCTTGTTGGGAAGTTGGATCTGCCAGGGTGTCAAGATAGGGTAAAAGATGGGGTTCTAGAACTTCGTGGATATAACGCTGCGCGTTCATGTTACGTCTGATGAAGATTAAAGGTGATCTGGAACCATAAGCTATAGCACCCCAAACCATAACTCCAACAGTGTGATGAACTTGTCTTTCAACAAAAAACTGTGGATTCCTCCTTTCACCACGTCGCCTTCTAACCCTGGCACGACCATCGTGCATGCCTAAACAAAATCGAGACTCGTCACTAAAGATTCTGATCCCAGAGTGACCGTTGTCTGCACCACTCAAGGCGATTACGTCGGTGTTCTCAAGTTAAAGGGAGGACCCAGTGTGGCGGGTATGAAAACAAGCCAAAACTTCTCATTCGTCGGTAAACACTTCGCATGCCAATAGGTCTTCCGTGTTCTGCAAACCATTCATTTGCAATGGACCTGGTAGCTAGCTATGCCTGACAACACCTAACCACAGTGTCTACACTTCTTTGCACTCTAACTGCAATTGCCCGAAAAGAAAGTCCAGCTTCCCGAAGTCCCACTATACGGCCCCTATCAAACTCACTAAGTTGACGAAATCCTACAGGTCTCCGTACTCTAGGCATCGTAACCGATCGTAAAGGATGTCAAGAACCAAAATCCGCCAACGTTGATTCTTTACTGCGGCTGAAATATTCATTTTTAGAGCGTTAGTAAATTAAAAAAAAGCAGTATAAAAACCGGAATGTCCAACTGATAAGGCTGAAAAATTTTTCACTTGTTATTTACAGTAAGATAAATACATTCACCAACTTTTATTAAAATAAAACCATTTAAACTGGGTGTTCGGATTTATATGTCACTTAGTATATTTCCAGTAGAGTACTCTCCTTACCATGAGATGAATACTAAGTGATATAAAAAAATAACACGCAGTAATAATGAATGTATCCCAACAATTTTTTGTATACATATCTCTTCGGGTTGTGTAATTGATCAAAATTTCAGAAAAATCCAACTGCTGAAAAAAAAACAATAAAATGGTTGGGTCTCCACGATGTCTTATGCACTCAGGAACACGTCTTAGCATACTTCTAATCACTTGTTCCTCGTGCTGAAGTAACGCTAGAGTTTGTGGATGATGGGATAAACAGATCAATATTCGTCCCATAATGTCCCAGATGTATTCAATAGGTAAACAATAGAGAGATCTAGGGGTCAAGGCATCAAATTGACTAGAGTGTATTTAAAACGGGCCAAGGTAATTGTGACTATAAGGCCCGTATCGTTAGTCGTCCCTACAATTGTAGGGCGCCTTTATGGCCTCCTTGATTGTCATAGTTTTCTACTTCCCCGTGTCAGCGCTGTATTTTGAGGTTATGTCACAAACATCCATTTGCATCAAATTGTGCTAGGTTTTGAGTTATATCATGTCTATTCACATTCTTCACAATAGGAGAGCGCTGACGCTGACACGGGTCAAGTGTAATCTAGAAATTTTTGAAGGAGAGAAAGAAGTATGACAGTCAAGGAGGCCATGAACGCGCCCTACAATTGTAGGGTCGACTGACGATACGGACCTAAGTGAGTGACCTGGATGGAACGCACAGCAGCCATGTTGTCTCTGATGAACACCAAAGTATGCTGTAGACGCATCTCCATAGAAAACTGAGAATCTCGTCTTTCGCCTCTGCACCTTCTCACCCTTGTACGGTCGTCATGCATCCACAAACAGACGGTATTCCATTTAGAGTCCCCCAGCCAGTCGATTATTTTAGTGCCTCGGAGTGTGAGGTAGGACAAACTGAGGACGGTATGAAGTAAGGCCAGGACTATTGATCCAGCGATAAACAATTCGCAGAGTAATGTTTTCCATACTGTCCAACCCTTTGGTCCATAATTTACCTTGTAGACGAGAAGCGGTCCGGTACAGCCAAAAGCCTAAGCGGGAGATTTTGGTGTGGGGTCACTCTTCTTACATGGCCAGTACCTCTAACTCTTCGTGTACGATCTTTCTGATTCCATGCCCAACAACAAACCATCACCATACTTAGACTTCTGTGCACCCTGGTAACTATTTCTCTAAAGGACCAACCAGCCTCGCAAAGGCCCACTATTCGCCCCTATCAAAGTCGCTAAGCTGCTGAAAATTTTCTGATCTCACTCCACCCATAATGACAGAAAGCTTACTTCCTTTTTTTGTAAGAACAGACGATATCACAAAAACCACTTTATCGATATGGTTGAAAAGCTTATCGTTTCTTGTCCTAACCTAAACAAACATATATCTAGAAAAGCTTTGTAATAAATCCATCGTTACTGGGCGTTATTCTTTCTATGTCGCTTAGTACATATATTTTGTATTTATTTCTTACCGAGATGACCTTTGAAATTTGCTGCAAATTTTCCAAAGTGATGGTGCTACTGTACATTCCGGAGTACTCGGCTTTGAAGATGTCGAAATCTTTAGAGTATGGTGGATCGAATAGAAGTGCCCAGCTCCTTACTAGAGTGCTAGGATATCTGTCTACGTCTTTGGCAATGAGCAATGGGCCAGCATCACTATGCAATACCTAAAAAAAAAGATTTCAAATTTGGTTCCTTGGTAAAATAAAACGTATTAACTGGCATGTTATAGACGCTAAATGCGTGGAGAACAAGCCGTATTTCTGGTGTTATACGTTAATGAGCCGCGCTGACCACGTGCTGTTGAGAGTTATTGGAGAAATCGATACCAGTTGAGCCATCATGAGCGATAATTCATTTTAGGAAACTACACTCACTGGTCGACAAAAAATATTTTTGATTTCTTTATGTGGTTTCTAGCACAGTTCGATGCACATGTATTGAATCGGGCAACAGTTTTTTCCAGCAGCACTTGTTTTTGAGACACAGCTAACCTAATTTACTAATTTGGGCTGAATTGGATCATCAGTACGGTATACGAGGTCTGTAAATTAAGTGATGAGACTGGCAAGGTAGAGTCCGATCTGACATCACTGGATGCGCCGGGCTTGAAAGCAGGGGAACATGTGATCCGCCTTCAGTACAAGTTTGAATTCTCTCGAGTCGTTTGGTTGTTCGTAGCGATTTTTTTGTGAATGTTCTTCCTATTATGTTCTAAAAATGATTGACAACAATTTCGGGCAACAGTGTGCTATCAGATTTTGCTTGGGTACAGTGCAACGGAAACTCTTGCTAAACTTTAGCAGGCCTACGGTGATAGTGTTTTGTCAAGAGTTCAGGTTTTTTGGTGGTTTAACGCATTTTCAGAATGGAGATATTCGATTGAAGATGAACCACGAAGCGGAAGGCCTTCATCTTCAAGAACCGATGAAAATATGGTCATAATCCGGGATCGTGTGCATTCAGACAGTCAGAATGATCGCGGAGTAGTTAAATTTGACTCACACCACGTTCATCAGATCAAGAACAACTGGATGTCGCATCACGACGATAATGTCCTTGTCACACAGCAACGTCAATAAACGAGTTTTTGGCCAGTAAAAACATTCCTGTGGCTCTCCAGCCTCCTTATTCGCCCTTGTGGCCTTTTCCTCTTCCCCCCGGTGTTCAAAAATCACCCCAAGGGGTCGAAAACATTCAAGCGGCTATAACCGACCAGTTGAAGGCTATCCCGGTAACGGAGTTCCAGTACTGCTATAAGGAGTGGATGAACCGTCTCCAGCGCTGTGTGGCTTCGGAAGGAAGTTATTTTGAGGGTGACAATATAAACTTGTAATTACATTTGAATAAACCATTTAACAAACCAGTTTGATCACTTAATTTACAGACTTCGTAGGTGTAGGCATTTGGTGACAGATGACGGAAAACAAACAAGAGAAAATGAGTCTACTGAAAAATATTATAGTAATGTGCGAAAAATACAATATAGGTGACACACCGCACCTATACGTATAAGTAGTTATCCTTCATAGAAGCAAACACTGTCATTCAGAGTAATTGGAGCAAGCATACAATTTCACTCGCATATAGACTGATTACCACAAAACCTAGGCGATTTTACTGAAGAACAGGATAATATTAAGGAACATGGTTGACTACTGTTGGTGCTTGCAAAAAGATCAGCCTAAAGTTGTACATACAAGAGAAGGCATACAGAAGATCCATCAATTGTGTAGAGTAGAAATTTTACCTAACCATTCTTGCATTTATCAGTCAAAATACTAAAACAGTATATTCCAATAACTAAAGCTGTTAGCAATCATCCTAATTTTTTTCCTTAATCATACTTCTATAAATATTCAATAACAGTAAAAAGATTATAAAATGAAAATTATCTTGACCAGGTTATCAGTAGGATGTATTATGTACATTTTCATACACTAAATTGTTAACAGACCGCCGTTGTTCCAAAATCTTGAAAGTAAGCGAAATATTAGCCCTTGCTTTTGAGAATCTGAAAACAGGCAAAAAACTTCTGCTCAAAATTCAAGAAGGTACAGTTAGTAGAATAAAGAAATGCCAGTTTTTTTTAAGTCTTTATATAACAAGGTAACATTAAAAAGTAATGAGCGATATTGGGATTTTAAAACATTTGCTCTGATATAATATCCTGTAATGTGCTCTTGTCTGTGTTTACCGCTGTGACAAAAGCTCATAATTTTGAAGAATTTGGATTTTCTGCTTCATTTCTCCTGTTAGTAATTTGTTATAAACTGTAAATCCGCAATCTAGATGTGTAACAAGTTTTGTTTTAATATCACTTGTCAATAAATTCTTGTATCTCCAGAGATATTCATTGGACACGGACGTCACGTGTGGACAGTCGCAAGGAAAAACTGATATTGGTAATAAAGATAAATGAGCTTACGACGACACTACAAAAATTTTATAAAGACCAGTGAAATTATGATAATTTTTACAAATAAAGATACATTTGCTCTGATATAATATCCAATAATGTGCTCTTGTCTGTGTATACCGCTGTGACAAACGCTCAGAATGTTGAAGAATTTGGATTTTCTGCTTCATTTTCCCTGCTGGAAAATTGTAATAAACTCTAATTCCGCAATCTAGATGTGTAACAAGTCTTGTTTTAATATCACTTGTCAATAAATTCTTGTATTTCTAGAGAGATTGATTGAAGACGGATGTCACGTGCGGACAGTTGCAAGGAAAAATTGATATTGGCAATAAAGATAAAGGAACTTACGAGGAATTTACAAAAATTTTATAAAGACCAGTTGCGAAATTATGATAATTTTTAGAATTAAAGAGACAACTAATTAATTCTTTTCAAACAGACTTCTTATCCCAGATTGTATTACCACGTATATAAATCTCAAAAATGGTTAGATCAGATTCACGACAATATAATGCCTTAGTGCTATTGCAACAACACTCAAAAATGTAGATCTAGAATGTGACAAAAGCTCATAATTTTGAAGAATTTGGATTTTCTGCTTAATTTCATCTGTTAGAAAATTGTAATAAAATGTAATTCCGCAATCTAAATGAGAAATAATCAGCGAATTCCAGTCTTTTTTTAATGTCACTTATCGATAACTTTCTGCTTCATTCTCCGTTAGAAAATTGTAATAGGTAAACTGTAATTCCGCAATCTAGATGTGTAACAAGTCTTGTTTTAATATCACTTGTATCTCCAGAGAGATTTATTGAAGACGGATGTCACGTGCGGGCAGTCGCAAGGAAAAAATGATATTCGCAATAAAGATGAGCTTACGAGGACTACACAAAATTTTTATAAAGACCATCGAAATTATGATAATTTTTAGAAATAAAGATACAATTTTCACTTTTTGACATTAACCCTTTTCAAAACGACTTCTTGTGACAAATTGTATTACCAAGTATATGAATCTCAACATGGTTAGATAAGATCCACAACAATACAACTCCTTAGTGCTATGGCTAAGATAAACTAAAACACTCAAAAATGTAGATCTAGAATGTGACAAAAGCTCATAGTTTCGAAGAGTTTGGATTTTCTGCTTCATTTCCTCTGTTAGAAAATTGTTATAAACAGTAATACCGCAATCTAGATGTGTAAGAATTAGCGAATTAACAAGTCTTGTTTTAATATCACTTATCAATAAATTATTGTATCTCCAGATAGATCTAATGAAGACGGACGTCATGTGCGGACAGTCGCACGGAAAAAATGATATTGGCAATAAAGAAAAAGGAGTATACGAGGACTACACAAAAATTTATAAAGACCATCGAAATTATGATAATTTTTACAAATAAAGATACAATTTTCACTTTTTGACATTAACCCTTTTCAAAAAGACTTCTTGTCCCAAATTGTATTACCAAGTATATAAATCTCAACTTGGTTAGATGAGATCCACAACAATACAACTCCTTGCTGCTATCGCTAAGATAAACAAAAACACTCAAAAATGTAGATCTAGTCTAGAATGCTTTTCTAAGGGGAAGTTGTCTTACCTGAACGTAGTCACTCAGCCTTGCAATAACCTGTTCCAGATTATCGCACTCGTACAATTGTGGTTTCAGTGGATATCCAAAATCTCTATAATAAATCGAAGGCAGTTCGTGCAGGAACAAGACAGTCTTGAACGAATTTACGATTTGCACGACTTGAGAGCCCAAAATGGACAACGACTGCGGTAACGTCAGTCTAACTATCCGTTCACCGTGAGGTAGTTCTTCAATCTAAACAAAATAAAAATATAAACGATAATTATACTGTATATCAAATAAATAAATGTGCACTTTAATTTGTTGAATAAAACCAAATAGCTAATAGATGAACACCTCAGATGGGGGGCATTTGATAGCGCATCAATAGGTTCATTTCGTTAGGTCCACGAACCACCAGATTTAGTTGACAATTTTCAAATCTTTTTGTCCATAGTTTGATTAAATTTATACTTGTACATTGATGTATAAAGGGTGATTCACAAGTCACGACCAAGAATAAAACATACACAGGACCGCATTTGAAGTGGGGTCTTCTATATAACATTTTTTCCTAGGTAAATCCACACACCATATTTTAGTTCGTTCCAGATGACGGTTTTGAAGATATTAAAAAAAAAATGCGGTCCTGTGTATGATGTTTCAATTTTGGTCACGACTTGTATTTTGCATTTCATATTGATTCAAAATAATCATCGCAAGACGTTGATTATTCTCAAAAATGCTTGCTCGAAGAAGAAGCGGTGTCAACTACATTAAGACTGAAATAAAATCGGCCAAAGGCCTTCAAGCGGGGGCTTTTACCCACATGGTTTTGAGAAACTAAAGTGAATTTCATTATGGGCCAAAAACAGTATCGTCTCGTTGTAATATGTGAAAAATCGAATAATACCTTTACTACATCTGGAATTGCTTCGAACAGTTCAATGAGCTTATTGAATCCATAGTCCGAGACTTTGCATTGACGGCCAAAATGGAGGTGGTATGCAGGTACGAATTTGTTAAATAGCATCGTTTGGTCTGGAGACAGCTTCAGTAAATCGATCACCTACAACGAAAATTACAAAAATGTAGAATTATGCATGTGGTAGTTCAAAATAGCTTGAAAACATTTCGTTGTGTGTCACGGAAAAACAATTTTTGGAGATATTTAATTGCTAAGTATCACAGCTTTTGGTTGGGGAAGTACTGTGCTCACGAAAAATTTAAAAACCACGGAGTTGTTTTTTTTTCACGTTGCTCATGTTTGTCCGCTAATACTTGCTAGCATTATAAGGCGAAAAGTACCTCTCTGACTTTAAAGTTCTGATATAAAGTTACTACTAGCGCAAGGACAAAAAAGCTCCAGTGGTCCAGTGACAATAGAATTATAGACAAAAAGCGGTAAAAATCCTTTAACTATCGTACTTTTGGAATTTGATAAGCTCTTTATACATTTTTGGAGGCGTTAGAAATAAAAGGATCAGGCTTGTAAAAGCAAGACGTTCGGAATTTATACAGGGTGACCCAAAATGAATGTTATGATTTAAATTTATAACTTTAAAATAAAACAATTTTTCAAATATGCTATACTAATGGGGAATCAGGTATGAAAGTTGCGCGATTTCGTTACGAATATTGTTCCTCAACTGCGTTACGGTTCTGGGTTTATTCACATAGACACAGTCTTTCTTACATTCCCAAAGGAAGCAATCAGGAGCGGTTAAGTCCGGTAAACGTGGAGGCCAACTGAAATCGGATCTGCGCGAAATAATGTTATCCTCAAAAATGTTCCTTAACACCGCCATTGACTCTCTTGAGGTATATGCTGTAGCTCCAGCTTGTTCAAGTCAAAGATTTGGATTGCCTCGCAGTCTTCACTTTCAAAAAAATATGGGCCAACGATCCTTTCGGACGATACACCGCACCAAACGGTACACTTAAGAGGATGTAATGGTAGCTGATGAACTGCTCTGAGCTTCATCGCTCATTATTAAGTTATGAATAAAATTAGGATTTTCTTCTGCTTTTTGCTGAAAAACAATGGCATATTCAAGTAGCTGTTGGTAGTCTATCGGCTTTAATGCTTGCACAAGCTGAATTTTGTATGGAAACATGTGAAATGTATGCAAAATTCTCTTCAGTGAGCGTCGTGATAACCCAAGTTCTGTCGAACGTCTCCTTGTTGAGGTTTCTGGACTGTCCTGTGAACTCTCACGTAGACGTTCAATATCTCACCAGTTTGCACCGTGCGTCGTCTTCCAGCACCACGACGGTTTAGTAAGGTCCCATGTTGTCGAAAATTTGTAACAAGACGATTTATTGTTGGCACCTAGGGTCCATCCCGCACATCAAAGTAACGACGAAATGCACGCTGAGTTAGCAAAATAAAATTCGATGATCTTGATTCGTTGTTCTGTTGCATACGATGGATGTATTTAAAACAACACGGTAGGTTGTTTTAAATGACTTTATTGCTTTTCGAAGATTAATACACATCTTCTGTATACAAATGACCTGCCCGCATTGATTTCCTCCACATGTTCAGCTTATGCCGACGACACCAAGATTTACAATACTGTCGTAAATTCTGCTATGCTTCAACGAGATCTTGATATTGTTTGTCAATGGTCAGTCAGTTGGCTTTTACCCTTAAATCTAACTAAGTGTTGTGTCCTTCACCTCGGGTAGACAAATCCGCGATTTACATACAAGATCTCTGACCACAACATCGAAGCAGTTTCGAGCCACACTGATCTGGGCGTTGTAGTCAACGATCGTCTTTCCTGGTCAGAGCATATTCACCACATTACATCAAAAGCCAAGAAACTTCTACGTATATATATGCTGGAGAGGTCTTTCAAAGGATCCGATGTCAACACTTGCGCCTACATTTACAAGGCATTCGTGAGGACAATTCTTGAATTCGCTGGCCCGGTATGGGACACTGTGCTTCTGCGCGATAGAAATCTCGTCGAATCAGTACAGCGTCGGGCTACTCGTATCCCTTTTGGAGCACGAAGACCAAGCTATGAAGATCGCCTTGAATTATTCAACCTGACCTCATTCTCTGAGCGAAGACTTCGTGGCGATCTTATAGTTACGTTCAGGATACTTCATGGTTTGATGGGCACCAACCTCATGCATCTATACCATCTGTCGCGCAGCAATCTACGCGGACACAGCTTCAAACTGCATAAGGAGCCATTTAAAACAACAGTCCGACAGTGGTTTCTTCCCAACCGCATACTCAACACCTGGAATAGTTTACCTGAAAGTGTGGTTGGTGCTACTTCAGTTAATAGCTTCAAAGTGCAGTATGATAGCTGGAGGAGTGTACAAACTTTATAGCTATGAACTGTATTTTTTTATTTTTTTTCTATTTGATGTATTTGTGTTACGTGTCCCTACACTAAATTTACTGCATGAGCTTATAGTACTGTGTACTCTGCTCATCTCAATTATCATAATAATAATAATAATAATAATCTGCATGCGCTCGAACCAATTTTCGAAGCACTTATTCCACGCGTGGAAGATCCAAAACGGCATTTTTGAATGCGTCAACTGCTTCCTCTGGTAAATGGAACCTTTGACCACGCAGTCTGTTTTTAATTTTCCGGAAAGTAAAGAAATCGTTAGGACTTAGATCGGGACTATATGGAGGATGGTCCAATAATTCCACGTTTTCTTCCGTTAAATACTGCCTTGTTTCTTGGGCTGAGTGCGAGCTTGCATTATCTTGGTGGAGGATGATTCTTCTTTCGGGGTTGATTTTTCGAAGCTCGGTGATGACTTTTGGCAAACAAATGGTGGTATACCAATCCGCAGTAACAGTTATTTGCTCATTAAGCGGCATTGTCGCATTTTTTTTTTGGCATTAGAAGTAGGTGTTCATGCAGCCAGTCACTAAGCATTATATGAATGATGGATCATCGGTTTGATTTTGGATTCATGTTTTTCCAAACTGGAAGTCTACTGTTATAGTGGGATGATGCTAGGGATCTTCACAGAGGACACTTCTTCACGCCTCAGGGGTCGGTCAGGGCGACTTCTTACACGTGCACAGGTAGACCACGGTAAGAGGAGGGATATAACAAATAGGGAGGCAACAAGGGTATGTGAGGTGATTATAGGTTTACATTCATTGAATGGATAAATTCAGCCAGGCTGTCGTAGATCTCCTTTCTATTTAAGCATAATGAATGTATGAGGTTAAAAGGAGTCAGTACATTTAAGTCTATTACTCTGTTTATTAGTCGCAGAGATTGATTCCTATTGTTCTGACAACCGAAGAATAGGTGGTCGAGATTTCCAATTTTATTACATCTTGTGCATAGGTCAGTGTCCAGTACGCCAATCCGATTTAGATGCTCTGGGTAACATACGTGTCCAAATCTGATCCTTATCAGTGTCGTTAAGGTTTTTCTGTTGTATTTGTATTTACTAAACCAGGTGTATCTAGGGATTTCGGGTTGTATTAATACATATCTATTTATTCTTGAGTTTTTATATTTCTCCCATATTGTTTCCCAATCAGTTCTCGTTTGTTTTTTTTGCTAATGAATATATTCATCTATGGGAAGAAGGTGGTCCAAGATTTCTCCAGAAGTAATGCTTTCCCTAGCCAATCTATCAACCCTCTCATTGAGCTTAATTCTGACATGGGGTTTTACCCACACCAACTTTATTTTGTAGTTTTTGGCATTTAGTTTATGAAGGAACTGCTTTATTTTCAAGATGTATGGGTTAATATAAGGGTTATTGATGCCGACTGGATTAGCTATACTTTTCAAGACTGACAGACTGTCAGATATTATAATCCCTTTGATAATTACCTTGGAATCTAAGTATTCCAAGGCTTTGAGAATAGCAATGGTTTCAGCTGTGAATATAGATGTCAGACTGTTCAATTTGAGTTTTGATGAATGTCCACTGGGTTGTGCAATAAAGACACAACCTGTTCCTTTGCTGTCCTTAGAAGCGTCAGTATAGATTTTAACGTATTCTGGATAAGAATTCAACAGTTCTCTAAGACAGTTTTTTTCAGTAGAGGGGATGTAGTTTGGTAAAATTAAGTTGTGTTTCTCGAGGGAAATGAAAAATTCTTGAGAATTCCGGGATGATTGGTATTTAGATAAATTATCTATCTCTATTCTGGAATTCCTAAATGCTTCACAAAGGGGGGGTGATTGTTTTTTCTTCCAATATTTATCGGTGAAGTCATGAGAGTTTAACGTGCTTATTTTTTTTATTATATGGTCTTGCTTTAGTTCTGACTTGATAAGTTGTTTTTTTGACAATAATTGTCTCCTTAGCTGAAGAGGTAGTTCAAGGCATTCTACTCTGAGGGGTTCAATTGGAGTTGACCTCATTGCGCCCAAACAAAGTCTCAATGCACTGTTTTGTAGTGTATCCAATTTTTGTAAGGCTTTATGACTAGCAGAACCATACAAAGTGCATCCATAATCGATGATCGATCTGATGTATGAGCGATAGAATGTTAACGCTGTATCAGGATCTGCTCCCCACCGCGTACGTCGAATCATCTTCAGGAAATTAATACCTTTTTGACACTTCGTAACTATTTTGTCAATGAAAGGGTACCACGTTAGTTTATGGTCAAGAACAACTCCAAGGTACTCCACTGTTTCTGTTACTGGAAATCGAGAGCCCCTGATTTCTATATCACCTGTTGGAGGAATGTTGTGCCGTGAGAAGAATACTATGGATGATTTGTGTGGTGATAGGCTGAATCCCAATGTGTTCATTTGACTTGTTATCGAAGTTATAGCGCTTAATAGAGATTCTTTGCATGATTGGAATCCTTTTTTATCTAGGTAAACGACAAAGTCATCATCATACTGTACGAGATTGTATGTTGGGTTAACTACGTGGATATCTCTAGTATACCTATATGTTAAACATGACTGGTGATAAAACTGATCCCTGAGGAAGGCCTACTGATACTTCTCTAGGGCCCAGAAGTGAGTTGGTTTTGGATCTGAGAAATATTGTTCTGTTTAGAAAGAGCTTTATGATAGTCCGACAAGTATTACTTGGAACCAGATTATCTTCTAACTTGTCTTTTAGCATGAACAGGTCGACGCAGTCATATGCTCCTTTGACGTCTAAAAATGCAGCTCCCAGGTATTCATTCCTTGAGAAGCAGTTTTGGATATCTGCATCTACATTCCCTACAGCATCTAAGGTACCATATCCTTTTTTGAAACCAAATTGTGACTTCGGGAATAAATTTCTTGCGTAGAGAAACCATTCTAGTCTGTACTTTATGATTCTTTCGAGAGTCTTAAGGATGCACGATAATAAGGATATTGGTCTGTATGATTCATATAAATTTGGATCTTTGCCCACTTTGAGCACGGCCACAACAATTATTTTTCGCCAGTTTTCAATGTCTCCGTTTTCTAACCATACCTCATTGTAAAGTTCTAGTAATAGCTGCTTTGCATTCAAAGGTAGGTGCCATAACATTGAGTATGTTATGTTGTCCCAGCCAGGGGACGAATTGTTTGAGTTCTTTAGCGCATATTCAAGTTCAGTGACAGTAATGGGATGACTGAAGATATTGTCAGTCAGGGTTTCAGGATTTTGACTACGGTGAATCTCTGGAAAGAATGATGTGGTCGAAGGAGGAGCGATTTTGTCTAGGAAATTTGTTTCCCAATCCAAGTTATTGCATTTCCTATGAGTGACTTGCATTCTCTGCATTTTCTTAGCCTGAGACCAAAGCTCGGTGCTTGGGGTGTTTTTATTTAAGTTGCAACATAATTTTTTCCAATGCGTTTTTGCTTTTTAGTAGTCTTTTTGTGTGTGCTATTGCTCTCTTACAAGCAATGAAGTTGGCTTCGCTGGATATCTGCTTGTACTGTGCAAGGGCATTTTTTCGTTTATTAATTTCTTGATCGCATTCTCGATCCCACCAAGGAGCAGGTGTCTTATTTTGTCTTGTGAAGGGTTTATATCGAGGGATTGAGCTACGGGTGGACTCATTAATGCCTTGAATAAAAAACTGATATTTGTCATTTATATCCTGGAAATTCGGATGAGAGTTTGAGAAATAATTGTCTGCAAATGAATGGAAATGATCCCAATTGGCTTTGTGTGTATTCCATGTGTATTTTGGAGTTACTTCATAAGCAGAATGTGATGTAGGGGATTTCATCTCTAGGAGGATAGGGTAATGATCTGATCCTAGGGTATCAACATGGGTTTTCCATTCAATAATGTTAGCTAGGTCCGGGGAAGAAAAAGTTAAATCTACAACCGAATTTAGACCATTGTTCTGCAATCTAGTAGATGACCCATCATTCATCAATACCAAGTCTATAGAGTTTAGTGCTTCCACAAGAGAGCACCCATTATGCTACTGCTTGTAGGAGCCCCACAAACTATGGTGGGTATTGAAATCGCCCCCTACAATTGCATCCTGACCGAAGGGAGATAGCAAATCAATCCATTCATTCGTGCGGATATGTGCACTAGGAGGGACATACATAGATAGAAGAGACAGGCGAAGCGAATCTGCAACTTGCACCTCTGCACCGCATACTTGCACGTAATTGGGGCGAGGTCTACATGTTATTTCTTTAAATTTCAAAGTGTTTCGGACAAATATCGCAACTCCGGTCTTTCCGTCATGTCTGTCACTCCTGATAATAGAGTATCCTTTGAATATCACATTAAAACCTGGTTTAAACCAGGTTTCAGAAATCAGCAATATCTATGTTGTTATTGAACAAAAATTGATCAAGGCTGTGTTTGTTTGCTACTGCAGATCTAGCATTTCACTGTATGATTTTCAATTTAGTATTCATCTTGGTCACTGGGCTCTTCATTTGGAGGATAGCTATCTTTATAGATATTCTTCACATAAGTAATATCAATATTAGCCAATTCCTCAAATGATTTTACTTTACTTAGTATAAGTTAGGGTAGGGGGTTACTGGGGCCAAATGAAAAAGGGAACATGGGCGGAATGTGGGAATCATTAATAGGGGATACAACTTTTCGTTTTTTGTTTGGCTTTTCTTGCTGAGATAGGGGTCTAGCTATTCGCTGCGTGACTGTATGAAAAGAATTTGTTGATTGCGACCGTGAGGGGTTTGCCGATCGGCTGTGTGAGGGTTCTTTTGGCGGGAGAGGAGGAAATTCTGTATTGGGCATTTGGCCTAAAACTTCAAAACGATTTTTTGAATTTAATATGGAGGAATATGTATTACCGAGTTTTTTTTTAGCCTCCAGGAACGTCAGATTTGTTCGGCCATGATTTTCTTAATTTTTTCCTGTTCTTACAATAAACACAACAGCTATCCTGGGGATCCCTGCAATTGTGCTCCGAATCCTTTATTTTGCCGCAATTAATGCATAGGACCGATGAACATTGGACCACTCTGTATATAAACGGCTCTACTTCGCAAAGGACACTGTTTAAAGAAATGTAGGAGGGTAAAATGTTGCCTTCAAAGGTCACTATAATAGATTGCTTGGGAACATAGGCGGCCTTCCCATCAATTTCTACCTTACGTTTTAATCTTTTTACCTCAATGATAGTTACAGGAGACAAAAAGTTTTCAAATAGATATTTTTCGTCAAAACTAGTATCAACATTCTTTATCACTGTTTTCCTAAGTAGTAAATTACTGGGGATAAATGCTCTTAAATTTTAATTTTTTAGTGACTGGTTAGTAACTAGACGATTCGCGTCCTTCAAACTTTTTACCTGAACCTTGATTCTATTTCTACCTACTTTTTCGATGTTGACAATGTTTGGAATGTTGAGTTTTTTAAGAAATATATGGCCTATGGCCATTGGGTGTAGCGTACCAATATTTTCAGTATTTATTTTCTCAACAAATACATAAATAGAATCTGAATATTGCTTAGGTTTTTGCAAATTAAAAACAGTGCACTTATCGGGCGTAGTGTCGGTTGCGATGCTTGTATTTAGGCTAACTCCTTGACGGCTGTCTACTCCATTGTTGCTGCCTCCTCCTATGGAGGAGATGTCCATATCAGTTGATCCCCCATCAGGGGGATCATTATCCGTGGGCATTACACACTAAACTGTATAATAGTTATTATCTTTAGTTGTACAAACGGTTGAGGAAAAAAGGAAGGAATTTTTCCTATGTATTTATATGTATAACTCCATTCTCTATTGGTAATTCGCCGTGTTGTTTTCCGCGCGCGATCGCGTTCAACGTCAGGACGATACTGGAATTGTCGCAATATGACCCGCTTTTGACACAAATGTCGCGACCATCTTTTTCGAAACACTTCGACAACGGATGACTTTTGTTGGCTTTTCTTCACCTTGGAACACCCAAACAGCCGACTGTCGTTTATTTTCTGCTTCATAACAGTAAATCCAAGATTCATCACCACTAACAATGCCGTACACATTTTTTGAGTTTCCGGAATTGAAACGGTCAAGCGTTTTTTGATACCAATTAACCCCGGCTGCTTTCTGGTCTTCAGTCAACAGGTGGGGTATCCAACGAGAAACTAATTTTCTTACTCCTATTTTTTTCATGTAAAATTTTTTTAATTGAGGTCTTTGAGATCTTCGACGTTTTCCTGGGTGACTGCCGTTTTTGGTGCACCCACCCTGGGATCGTCACCCGTCCACGTTTGAATTCGCCATACCAACGGGAAATTGTCGACTCATGTGGCGCTTCGTTGCCGAAAACAGACAGTAACTCAGCAAGGCATTCCTGTTGCGATAATTGTCTCTGAAAGTTTTAATAAATTATGGCGTGAAAATGTTCTCGGTTGAGTTCCATTTTTCCAATGACTTGGTGACACTTAAAAATTCATTGTAGTGAGTCCACTGCACGTATTGTTGTGAAATTTTGAATTTAAGTTTACTAAAGCGTGAGGTTGAGATTCAGTACCGACGTTCGATCCGCGCGGCCTACTATGTTTCTATATGCAAAACTTAAAAGACATCCCTCGTAATGCCCCATACTAAATTATCCAAGCCTCCTTTACTTACTCTTGCAATGAAAAAATATGATATTGAAGAATAAAAGAAAATATGAATAATTTAAACCATAACGTTCATTTTGCACGTATTTGTGGTATTTCAAATTTATCAAATATATCGTAGTACGCTGAACACTTGTATCTTTTAAATACTGTTGAATCGTAAAACGATCACCAATTATACAAACCTCAGCTGCAAACTGTTTTGTGAGCATCATTTCTTCAGGAGTTTGTGCTCGTTTTGGAATAGCGATCATTATGCCTTCGTTACCTCTGCTTATCAAAACTGTATTTTCAGGTACTTCCTGCATCAGATCTTCGAATGTGCACAATCCATAATCCACCACGTTGAAGGGCTTGTTCACTACCTACAAGTCAGACAGTGATCATTAAAAAAAAATCGGAAGTCGGAATCAACAATTATAGAACAGTGATGGGGGAATAAAAATAAAAGCATGTTTTATATTACGTTTTTAAAATCAACCATGGCCGACATTCATCGCTTCATTTCCATTTTTCAGGCGTTTCAGAATTATCCACGTCAGCTCCAAATGAAATGAGGTGGTCAATTTTGGACTGATCAGATATTCGTTAAATTAATCAGCATTGCATTAAATGATTTTGGTGTTTAAGATCATGACTACTTATTAGTTATAGTCGCATCAAATTCGATATGATGACGTGTACGTAAGCGGGAAGCGAGTTTCCATAATGAAGAAAAAGCTTTGTAAGCTTACGTCAGAATCATTACAATTTGATCGGTCATTTCAAAAACAACTTCGTTTACATTTGTACATTTTGGGTACTGTTTAATACCATTATTCTATTTAATAAATTCAAATACTCCATTTTGAAAAACAGATTTGCTAGTTATACTACTATTACAATTTTGCAGATAAAAATCTATACTGCCTCTACTTTCATAGTTAAGATAATGACTATTTAATTTTGTGAAGTTTTCCAAATGTGGTAGTAATAAATGATTTTTTAATTTGAATGTGAAAATGAGAACTAAAAAACACATTTTTATTTCTAACAGGCTTAATCTTACAATACTTGTTTTTATTTAGAATGATTATCATAGCTTGAGTCATATTTTTGACTAACATGTTTGCCAAAGACCGTTTTCTTAAATGTAGATGCGTTTTCTGGATATAATCAATACATCCCTTCCTCTTCAGATAATACAGCGACATAAACGTTTGTTGCACAAACAAAATAAGTCAGTGAATGTTACCCCTGTAACTGATTCTGTTATTGTCTCGTTCATAAATCTTCAAATTCTGCTGCGCTGAATGAAACCATAGACGTACAACTGAAAGTTTACTATCGTTTCCAACACCTCGGTGGCCATTTATAAAGTGCAATATATTGTCTCTGTAATTTTGGATTGAATCGGCCATTTCAAAAAATACTTACGTTATATTTTTTCCAATATGCTTTTTAATATTGAAATATGGAAAATGAAAACATGTGATATGTTAGTAAGTTAATTTTAAAGCGTTTAAGCAATATAAAAGTGGTTAATATTGTTTTATCTGAATTATATGTGTATACCACTAATTCGATTTCTTGCTAACCAACATAAGCCAAGAGCAGCTTTTAAGGTCTTTAATGTGCAGGTTACTTGACATTTCAATCATGTAAAACTCAAATACTATATTAAGCCCAAAAAACCATTTATTAGTGAATTGACCGCTGAAAAAGTACTTGTGTGATTTATGAGGTTTTTAAAATGATTGATTCATGATGATTCTGGCGCATTTCGTTGCTGCACTGAAGATAAAATATCCACAATTTGGAAACTACGAATTTGGAACATTTTGCATCAAGCAGACCATCACAAAAATCCAATCATCGACGGCAGAAAAGCAAGGAAAAAAGTGACGAATCGTCATAAACTGTTATCTTCAGTAATAATGATGAATACATACTTTTTCGTAAGCAGAGGGAAACGCCGAAACGAGGATTTCCTTGGATGGTTGTGCTTTCAAGACCCTCAGCAGATCAGAAGTGAATCGTTTCATTTGGGCGGAATGAGATAATGTTACGATACGACGAGTTCCGTCACCAATTACCTAGAATAAAAAATAAATTTTTAAATCGGAAGCTAAACCTTTATGGCAATGCCCACTACATCGTAGACATATCATGAACGTTGCTGTTTTTGCTGTGCTGGACATGCACAACGGAATCCTCGCGTATGAACGTCGGCAGGCTGTTTACAGATCATTATTCGAGATTATTATCAAGACTTTAAACAAATACAGTGGCGGAGTGTGGATTTTCGACGCCCGGGACCGACAGCAAATTTGCTCCCCTCTATAGGTTAATTATTATCAGTTTAGAAAATCAGTAAATATCAAAGGAAGCTACTTTAAATTTTTTAATTAATTAAAAAATTGAATTTTCATGTTTTTTTCCATAATAGCAAAATCTTGTATACAATTGTCAATATCAATATTTATGTATGTTGAATTTTCAAAATCGCTAAATGTGAGAGCCTCAATGTGAACATAGTCGACATGAGATTATTCTTAAGCTTAGAGAATTTTCTCTCCCAACTGGGATTACTAGTCTATTTCAAAATGAAACAGAGTAATAAATCATCAGATTAGATGAAGTGCTGCCGTAATTCATAGGCGTAGGAATTCTTGATTGTAAATATGTATTATTACTTTACATGATAATTTTTATATATCTGTGCCTACTAACTTACTACATAATATCAAAGATAAATATACCTGCTATAGTTTTTACAAAATATGTAGGTAACTTCAGAAATACCTAGGATTAGTTCAGACGTGGTTCAGACAATGAAACTGTCTCTCAATACCCTGAAAATGCTTGCCCGAAAATACCTACCTGACAATGGATTTAACAAAAAAGTGTATATCATTATTATAGGGGTCTTTATCATAGACTTATCTTAATAATTTAAGTCCGTACCTGACATTTTATTTGGATTAGGTAATGGGAACCTTATTCCTGTAACTTGGATATAAATTCATAGTTGTCTTACCAGCTTATAAATTGTGACAGTAGTGATGCGAAGACAGTGAATTTTGAAATGACAAGCACGATTTTTTTTATCCGACAATGAGAATAAGAAAACTGCGCTTTATATATACTCGTAAATAAAAATCTTTATCGTTCTCAATGCATTTGACGAACTCAGATATGGCTACCCTACTAGAAGTATTGACGACACCATGGAGAAATGCTCAAATATGACAGGGATTTGAAAACCATACATAGGCTGCTATGTGGAAGAAAATGTCAAGTTGAAGCAAGACCTCCTCAAACATCACCCAGAAGAACAGGATATACGAAACGGTCGATCAGAAGAAAAGTGCACACGTTCTATATATTTCAACAAAAATATACCCACATTAGACAAACTCATAGTGTCTCTTAAAAGTGTTCATCACATGGAGATTTACCTACAATTGTAGAAAAATGTTGTCGAAGATTCTGCTAGAAATGAATTCTTCTTGGGAGAAGCAAAATAAAAAATCCATTTTGTTTGTTGAAGGAGAAACTTTCTAACAAGCATGGATCAAAAAAAATCTACTATTTGGACGAAACGTAGCAAAATGAATGTTACACAGTAACTAAAATGTGGAAAGACAAAATTATTGAAAGTGTTGGGCAAGCTCATATAGAAGGTTTATCAACTGGAATGAAATAATCAAGTGGCAAGGGCCGAAGATTTATTATTACCTATATTGGCAACGGAGGTTTCGTAGAACAAGGCCTATCAACATTCAAATCTAATCGCACTTGTGTTATGAAGACATGGCAGCTGATATTTTTGAAGGATGGTGAAGTTCATGGACAACGCCCATTCCCACTCCAGAAGAATACAAAAAATACCTACAACATCTTGGATGAAAGATAATATTAAGAATAAACATATAGCAATTGAAAAAAGAGCTACTGACCAAAGTGAACCTCCACAAACATTTATAAAGTACGACATTGAAGATATTGGCGAAAAACCCGGCGTCGTTATTCTTCGTATACCACATTATCACTGAGAGCTCTATACCATTGAATTTGTCAAAGGTTTCGTAACTAGGAGAAACATGTGATTTGAAATGAAGGACGTAGAGGCTCTTTATGTTAAAACAGTGAATGAAGTAGCTCCAGAATAATGGTGAAAATAAGTGGAACACGTTGTGACAGAAGATCAGAAGATGTGGGAACTCGATCACATTACTGATACAGCGATACAACCTATGCTTATATCAATTAATGACGATAGTCTAACAGAGCAATCAGACTGGGAAAACTAAAAAGTAGTCACTATGAATCAATATTCCCAATTCCATGTAAATGTACAATATTATCATTGCTTTGATAATTATTATGATTTATATCAAGTAGGCATTATTACACAATATTAAAAGACATTAGTATTTTACGCATTTTAGTTTGTTTAGATAGTATTCAGTTTTATTGCGTTAGTAACTCAAAAATATTTAAATGTTATACCATTAGGTATAATGGAGGGAACTAGCCTTTATCTTGCTTACACCTTTGCATGCAGAATGAGCATTTATTGCTATCTCTCGCATTTTGAAATAGACTATAACGACAGATGTTTATTCAACCCATTCTAATATTCCACCAAGCCGTTTCCCCCAATAGGTTCCGGATCAACCCCATCCGCACTTCGAACAGACATGTGTCATTTTTAAAAAAGGTTATACGCAGAAAATCTCTTCGCGGATATCTCTCGTGTTCTAACCAGTGGCGGCTCGTGTCAAAATAAAATAGGTGTTCTGCAAATCCGAACTTACCTATTTTTTATATGTCAGTTCGATCCTGCGCTCCTTCTTGGCAGCAAATTTGTCGATAACCTTCCCGTTGAAATTTTCCATGGTCGAAATAAATTCCTTTTCAGTGGACAGCATCGACAACGCTGTAAGGCGATCCTGGGTCATAGTATTTCGAAGAAAGGTCTTGATTCTTTTCAATGTTGAGAAATTTCGCTCAGCCTCTGATGTTGACATAGGAGTTGTAACAATAATTTCTAATAGCTTTTTTGTTTCTTTTAGTGTTTCCTCCAAACTATTTTGTATTAAAAATTTCAAAAGAGACAGAGTTCCACTATATAGTCGCATACTTCTAATGCGGCAATTCGGTGATCGTGACTGCTATTATTACGTCGTATCCTTTTGTTGCCTTGGGGTTCAGTGCAAATACTTTTGGCTTCATTTATTATGTCATCAATTTTATTTCTCACATCGACAATACATTTTTGAAAATTATCGATAGCCGTTTTAACTCGCGCTGGCTCGGTTTTTCTCTTCTGCAACTGATTGAACAAGATGTCGACGAGAGGCATGACATGATGAAAAAATGTCAACCAAAACACGAAAACAGAATCGTTTCTTCTATTTCTTCCATGCATTCAATGAGTGATTCTCTGTTCTCAAACACTACATTTATTGTTCGAATATTAAAATTTCAACGAGTTGTTGCTCCTTGGGGAATTTTTTTCCCCACAATTCTGTTCAGTACCTCTACGCGTTGAGGAAAATTATTAAAAAATCCCGGAATATCTTTCAAATCTCCAAAGAACTTGAGCATTTGCGGAAGCAGCTTGGGATATAATGGTTTAACTGATGCGCATAGCAATGCACATAGTGAGCAAATGGATATCTTTGTTTAATTTTTGCCTGTACTCCAGCATTATGTCCGCTCATTACCGCGCTTTGTGAAATCAGTTTGTTAGGGAAATTTCCTATTAATGGATCTACGACACTCAAAATAGGTCTTGTGAGAGTATCACCGTCACATTTTTCGGGATTCATATAATTCCAAAAACGTTCTACTGGTTCGCCGTTAAATACCGTATCTGAAAATTGTTACCAGTTGGGTTTTCCCCGAAATGTCTCTTGTTTCATCTGCTATTATCGCCAAATACGAGGCTCTGTTAATCTGTTTCATTATTTCTTCATGACAAACTTCAAGAATACAATCCAGTAGATCGTTTTGTATTTCTTTCGAAGTTTATTTAAATATTGAAGCATTTTTTATGTGTTCGCTTAAGGTTGTATCAACCTCAGCAGAAAAATTAATCAGTCCACGAAATATTTTGGGAGCTCTCGGTTTCGTCGTGGCCCCGTAGCGCCAATTCAAATGCTCCGCAAAATTTTATACAATCGATTATTTTTGATAGAACGTACCTGTTTTTTGTAACGGTATCATTATGCTGTTGTATATTTCTCCAATATGCTGAATCTAACTGAGCTCTGATGTTAGCAGTCCCCAATAAAGCGAATTCCATCGAATTATGAAGATGTGTTTTAGAGTTTTCATGATTCTTAATTTTTTCACTCGGGTGCACTAAATCTGTAACACCTACCTCCGTCCAAGCTTTGTCACCGCCGAAAAGTATGCAAGGAAAGCAGAAAAGGGCATTCTTCCTGTTGCACCCACAAATCCAGTCATTTCTGGTGTAAATCTCCCTGCTGAAATGCCGCGTATAGCCCTTGCCCCGACTAACGCCCTGTCTTTCTATAAATATCTGCGGCAGCGGTCGACCTAAAACCTTCAGCTCAATTTATTCTTCAAATGTGTATTTCCATAATCGTTTCACGCTGATAAGTCTGTAAACCACATTAATTGTCTTGCACCACCCGTCTACACAGCCACAGTCAGTCAGTGAGTCACTAGTCACTCAACCTAAGACCCAAAATACCTAAATAAAAAAAAATTCGCATTCAAATTTTAATCCACGTCACGCGACTAGACCAATACGCCAATACCGCCGAGGACCGAGCACCGAGCACCGACCGACCAATCAGATATCGTACTTCGCATTAGATCTGTAGGGATCTGTATAAATTGCAGCACATGCTTATGCTTATGGGTGGGCTGAATGCCTTTAAATCGCGCATTTGATTTTGTAGAGAGAGACAAAAGCAAGCGCGTGCGGCTTGTGTCGAAGTAGTGCACAGACCCTTTTCAAGTGGAACATAAATAATGTTACGCTGCGGTCGCCACGAAAATGACAAGTACACAATTGGTCGATTATAATGCTTTCTCAGTATAAAACAGACTCGACGCCGTGTCTTGCGGGGGCAGGTCGGTATTGTTTCTATTTGTGTGATAACATGGAAAATAAATAGTGATCAAATTACTACTGCTTTTTTCTGTTAAGACAAAAGTTTTGGCAGTTCTGCAGCTCTGCAGAACTTAAAGGCCAGCCGCCCCTAGTTCTAACATATCATGATGGTGGTTTGCTCGGGCGGGGTACGCAACATACTTTTTTAAGCTTACCGTGGCTTTAGATGGTATTTTCACTAAAAAAAAAATAGTATTAAAAAAATGGGCTTAAGCTCAAAATATTTTTGTGCGAATGGGGTTTATTTAATACATTCTATCAGCACCGAGCGGGACCTGGAACATACCTTTTCAGGCTTAAGGTTAGTTCACATAATATCACTGCGAAAAATAAATTTTGAATCAGGTTCGCCTGGTTCAAATTGTTTTTTGCGACTCGTGATTATATCATCTAAAAATCCCACCAAGATGGTTCCTTCTGCAGATGGCTGCGCGGAATGAACTAGCGGCTACCTAGTGCACAAGTTGACATTTAACCGAATTTTTCGAAATTTTACAGGTTTTTACGTAATAATCCTACCGGTTACAGTTAGGATTTTTACACATTTCTTGTAGAAATATAAATCAGCACTCACAGCCACTGAATGAACAAGCCGCAATTTTATTAGCCTTTTGGGCACTGTGCATGGTGTATGGGTATATGTGAAACAAATATAGTTATTCAAAGTGATGTTTTTCCACCAACCCACGTCATGATTTTCTGGGAGGATCGGAAGTATATCCAAACTTCTATTAAAAATCTCAAACAAACCACTGATTCCCTTATGTCACAAGTACACTTTGTCAAGTATAAAATATTCAATACCAGTGGCCCAATGCATTGGTTCACTCAACTACACATTCGAATGTCTAAAAATAGCATGGGTGGTAGGTATTACAATTAATGTCAATGCTGCAAATGCCAAAAACTAAAGGTTAGTTAAATATGGCTGATTTTACAATGGTCAATTCCATCGATCCGAGCTGAAGCACGACACAGAACAAACTGATGCCATCAAACAATTCTTCCAATACCTTCAATGTATTATGTATGGCAACACCTGAGGGATGATAATACCCTGGATTAGAATTTAGGATTATAGTAATTTTGTGAAGGGACTATTAATTCATTCTCAGCTGCCGTGGAAGGTTTAATACCTGCCTCCATTGCCTCTTTTTGGAAGCATTTCATTGAGTTTATAAACGGTTTGCACGGATTGGCTTAAGGCTCCTCTCTAGCTGCAATTGGTCTCCGAGATGCTTACTTCCTCTTACCCCGTCTAGGCCCAGGAAGGCAGGCACTTCGCTCTACGTCACGCTGTGCACAAGGCGTTGTCGAGCGCCTACCCTTTCCTAGATGTTTATTACCAATTTTTTTTTTCGTTGCGCTTCAGTGCAGGAAGCTGGTAGCCGTTAGGCGCAGCTGTTCCGCGGGATCGTATTTCCTGATTTTCTCAGTTGTTTTTAAAGCTTCAAATTTGGAAATTGGTTATAAGAAATAGTTTTCGTTCTCTACTAAATTCGACAAAAGAGGTATTAAAAGACTAAGAACGATAGCAAAAAGGTTTCTGACAAGAGTTCCTGCGTCTGCTTACTAACGACCGCAGCCAGCATGGTGGTGACCGTATATGTCCTGCATCACTGGCGCTCTGCAGCCTGAGACCCATCCCATCATGCTTTCAGATATGCGGGAAAGGCGACGCAACGTTGGCAGATAAACGGTACTACGGTTAGGGCAGCGAAAGAATGTTATGGATTAATTGAACGGACCTGTTTGACAAACTTGATCCACTTATTTTATCTGTTATATATGTTCATAACTAACCATTTCTTGTTTTTTCGGCAACTCATTAGCATGACTAGGCTTGGTTTCTTGGACAACGAACGAAAGTATAGCAACTATTCTCTATCAAGGATATAAAGTCCACAGTTTTACTTCGATAGAGTCTAACTTGTGGTGAACATAATCTGACATAATCTTTTATGAATTCATGATGGCGTTGCGTGGGAAGTGTACACTCAACCTACCTGACGCCATTTTCATTTAAAATGTGTATTGTTCTTTGGTTCGTTCGTTACTTGACTATTGCTGCTCCTTGTATTCCCTAAGTTATAACTTACAGATAAACCAATCAGAGCGTGCGCAAAAAAAATGAGTATTACTTTTCTTGCACAAAATTATCAATGGTCACATTGACGGTCCTCAATTGTTAGAAAAAATTTCACTTCATGTGAATGATAAGACTTTCTTTGTCCTCTTTCATCAAACTAAGTATGGTTTGAATGAACCCATAACTCGTCTTTTTAGACTCGTAATAGATATAACATATCTGTCACAGAAGTATGCAGCATAAGCCTGGAATACCAAACTGTCACATCGCGCCATTAGCGGTTACCGTATGAGTTCAAGAAGTGACACTTTTCTCAAAAAAAATGTTGTGCCTAAACTAATCTTTTTGAATTATCATGTTCTTAATGAAGACACTAAATCCACCATAAGCCTCAAAAAGTATGTTCCGGATCCAGCCCGAGAAAACTGCCATAATAGGCTGTTAGAACAAGAGATATCCACAAAAAAGTGTTGGGTGTAAACCGATTTTCAACTACTATGGGTTTCCGTTCGGATTTAGAACAGTAAATTTTCATAGGGCGGGTTATTCTGGAGGGAAAACCATGACATAATGCGATATCCATTCAAAGTCATTTGAGATAAGTTTGTTTCAAGCGATTAAATCAAAAACAGGGTTGTTTCAATTTGACTATCACGAAGTATCGACTTTTTTTGCGTTACTCACAGCTTTGGGGGACAACGTAATGTCTCGTCAGGGCTGTCCATAGGACCTTCACCCTTAAATCAGTCGCTCTGTTCGTTCAATCCACGAGGCGCTGACAAAATGAGTTAATTTGGACTGGATTTGGCTAGGTATTACGATATAAGTGGTTATTTTTAATTTTGCCTGGATACTTATTCGGGTATATTTGAAAAGCGAATTTCAAAAAAGAAAACCAAAATCGTCATTTTTATGTCAAATCTTTAAAGTAGGAAACAAAAAATTATAGAAGTGATATGTATTAATTGCTATTAAAATACTCTGTGCTTTTTGAGAATTAACAATTCTGAGAGATTTTTGTGCTTCTTCTGTCCGACCCATCTAGCAACGCTGTGCTTTGACAGATCCGCCATATGACCACTTTCTTAATAGTCTAAGATCCGGCCGCTTAAATCTACAGGTATGTTTTTTTTGTAATACTTGATTTTCGTGAATGACAAATAATAGAATAGGCAACGGCAATCCTACTGTTCGACTCTTATTCATCATTCTTAAGAATCAAGTTTTATGAAAAACACATGCGTACTATAACTTCGAATAGCCCGCGCACGCGCACTAGCTGGTAGTTTTTGGTGTGAAAATAAAAATAGTCGAAGTTACCCCAATTTTCGTTAGAAATGTTAACTTCCGGTTTTGCAACTTAATTTTTTATATTCTTACCTTTACTCCTAAGTCCTGCGCACTGGTTGGACTGTTTCCGAAAACAATAGATAGAAAACAAGTTCCAATCCTCCAAAGGTAAGCTACGTCATCGAAAATGATTAGATGCGCGAGACGGGTTGCCGCAAACAGTGACAACGTATTCGAAAATTCAGAAAGTGGTATTGGTGGTGCCATCCAGCGATAAAAAGTGCAGTTCGCGTTATTAATTTCGTTTCTTAACGGGTATGAATAATTTCATTGAACTATCGGAGTGAGTGCTATTTGTGGTTACAGTTTTTTTAATTCATGTTTTAAAAAACTGTTGCACTTGCCGCACCGTTTATATCCGTCCAGAGACACGAATATTATGTGAAAGGAGCATGAAATGAACTGATGACGTCATCAGATGTATTGAAATGGAACGTTAACCATCATAGGTGACGTGCCTGATATGATCATGACAAGACAAACAGAGATGGATCAGAAAAAAAGTTGCCAAAAATAGTAAAATAGACTCACTTGAACGACATGAGGTATAGATTCGAATAAATCGAGTAGCTTTGTGTATCCGTAATCCGCAACACGACACTGCTTCCCAAAGTGGTGGTGGTATGCTGGAATGAATTTGTTCAAGAGCAACTGACATTTTTCGCATGTCTTCAACAGTTCAACTAGTTCTCGACATAACATATTCAAGTTCATTGCCAGTGGAAGAGGGACTGACCGAAACGTATCTGAAAAAAAGGATTTGTTCTATTTATTTCTGAAATAAAATGCATACAAAAGTACTTTTGTTCCAAAGAGAAAGCGTGCTGCAATTCATCCAATGTAAGATTAATATCATTTGTATGGTAGAAGAAGTCAAAGATGAAAAACAAATAAAAACTGTAAGACAAGTAATGCTTTGGTACTCCACACACAGGAACATGATTTACGCTCATGTGTAAACTCTGAGGTGTTATTAAAACTACAGCAAAATCACTGACAACCTCCAAAGCACGAACATTTCTGAACTCCAAAAAAGCTAGATGCGACTCACCATCCAAATGTTCATTACTCTTGCTTTCACAGTATTTGATGACTTTGATATTTTTGTTGGGTCCGATTACTTCGATTCCTACATTAGGAACACAAGATATCAAATGTTCTAACGGAACTCCTGAATCCGCCACTGGCAATGCTTCTTGGAATTCGGATTCATAGCAGGCTTGAAAACTGGAAAAATGAAGGATTAACATGGGAGTGACTTTGTAATCTTGCAAGTTTGTGCTTACCTCAATAGAAAAACATAATTGAGATGCACCTTCAGCAAAGCATGTAATTTGTCTGCGAACATTTGTAGTGGCATCATTATACAGGGTGATGCACCAAGTTCACACCAATCTCTAGTCTCCATTCCATCAGGGCAGTGTATAGTACAGTAAGGTAACAACATCTACAATAGAAATTAACAATTAAATCCCAAAATTAAGTTTTTGTAATTTCAAAAGAAACCAAGCAACTTGTTTTTGGTGTTTAAGTTAATGTTTGAGATCAAAAAATAAATTACGTTATAACCAGATTGATCCGGACAGAGTATGAAAATAAGAACCACTTACGCTGCTTAAAGTTGGAGGAGGTGAAGTTTTCATGTTTTGTGTTAGAGAAATGAATCTCGATCCATCTGTTACTGTGATATTGCACACACCTTTCAGTTTGTTCACTTCCGATATAGGAACTGTACAGTGGTATCGAGATTCTAGGAGATCTATAAGCCTATAGAGAGGTAGACATTTTTCTGGAGCTTCCTAAAACAGGATTTTGTAATTGTAATACAAATAATTTCAGTATGTTGATTAAACTTTATTACAAAAAGACTTGGCCAGTCTTTGAATGCCACTTGGGTGATGGCGACCGTTCAACAGAGACTGAAAAGACTTAAATGCAGGTTTATCGATATAATAGTGCATAGCTACATTTAGAAATGGTCTGATCCATTGTAAAAACAGTCGGGAGTGTCAGATAGCCCTGAGAAATTTGTGTCTCGGTATCAGCCGAATCAGCCTATATTCAAAAGACTTGCCCGCCATTCAAAAATGTATGTCAACTACTGTCAAATTTTAGTCAAGTACGTTTGCACGGATACGCAACAATTAAGTATCTCTGTCTACAAATATGAGTCTAAGAAGTGCATAGATTTTAGTGGATCGTGCAATATAGTCAACAGACCTGTAAAATGCTGACAACCATCGCTTTCAGCAGCTCTGGATCAGGCGAGTTACTCTGTACATTAGATATCACTATGCGCTTGTGTCCCATCTTCACTCTGTGCAGCTGAGATATCACATATAAAGCTTCTTGCTGACTACTTAACCTAACGTACGCTACTGGATTACCGTCAGTTTGTACTATCACGTTCATATTCAAGATCTGTAATTAAATCAAGAATGCAGCATACCGATGTAATTCTATTTAATGTTCTGGTAACTTGAACATTCTAAGCGCTAGTGACAAGTGAATTATGAAACATGAACAGACTTCTAAAATTTTGTTCCGCTTAACATGTTTGGCTACTCCCTAAAATGACCAGAAAGTTTAAGAACCTTTGAAAGGGAAGATTTTTTTGTTGCAATCCTCTAATTAATTTTTTGATAGTGCCTAAAAATTGTCGGAATCTGAGAACACGAAGTTCCAGAATTCTCTGAAATTTTGTTTTCGGTCATAACTTCGCCACTATACCTATAAAGCTTTTTCGGGCTTGGCGTGGAGGTAATCACGTTTCAAAATTTCACCAAAATCGAAAGTCACAGGAGGGCCTTGGATTTCTGAACAGGCGACAGAGGCGAAAATGAGGGAGGTTTTTTGTGTGCACGTATCAAGTAACATCCAAAACAGGTTGCGATGTTATTTTGCATATTCAAAATACTTCATCTGTAAGTGGAGTTGGAAGTGAAATCTAGGGACTCTTGGACGTTTTATGAGCTTGGTAATTCATATCACTACATATCACTACAACAGCTTTGATGGGATAGTGATACTCATAGTTTCTGATGCTGTCATAGGGAAATTTATGATAGCCTCAATTTCATATTGTCTGAAGTTGTTTTCCATCTCTATAACATGATCAACTGCAAATAACGTTGTTTCATGTTTTTACTTCACATGCCTACTGGCTGAAGTAAGTAGTTTTTGAAAATCGGTCTAGTGGCGGCGGAGGAAAACGCCAAAAACGAAAAAAAGTAAATATCGTTCAACTGCTTTTTCTTTTTCAATTTAGAGGTAAAAGAATGAGGATAAGGTATATCGCAATTATTTGGGGTCAGTATATTTATACGCTCCCAACCTTGGTAATTCTCTGCACCTATTAAAAATATTTCACACATAGATTTCCCCGCACGTTACCCCTTAAAACAAAAAAATGTTCTCACTAAACGGATCGCTTACCTAACGCCCGCGCCTGCGGCGTGCCGGTCTTGGTAAGTGTTCTGGTATTACTACCGCACCATTGCATAGTGTTTCCTATGCTGTGGCTGCGGTGCCGCGTCTGAACAGGTTGGGAATCGGGGAGAGGCGACGTTGCCAGGCGGACTACCGGTAGGGCAGGGAAAGAATCTCTATAGACTAATTGTATAACCTGGTTGACTGTATTTGAGACTCTATTATTTTCAATAAAATGCAAATTTAATTGCAGTTATATCAATCTAGACATTGAATCAGATTTATGTCCATGCTTCGAGTACGACGAAATGCTTATTTTTCACTGGTGCAATATACGATCATGGCCGGATGCATATGAAAAAATAAGTTTTTGTAGCTCAACCAAGTAATCTATGACGTATTTCTTGATTTAACACGGGAATTAGGGGTCTGTCATGATACAAAACTTTTTCATAATTTGGTACCAAATTTTGTGAGAAAATGCGTAACTGAATTTAGTTCTAAATTACAATCCGGCCTGTCAGGTAAAGACATTTTTGTAGTAAATTCCATACGAAATTATCCGCAGTCGGTAGAAAAAAACAACTTCGAATCTCCATTTATCACGTCAAATTCATACTAACCATACTTTTTGTTGCGGCTTGCTACTTTATTGCTTTAAACGTATAGATAATTGTAGAAACTGGAGCGATCCCGTAATTCGCATGTATTATATGCGACTACGGGACCAGCGATACGCGCTGTATCTGCTCACCTTATGAAAAAACGAAGTAAACGTAACCGTAAAAGAATTTGGTGTCGAAAATGGATCAGGAAGAGGGACCGGGGAATAGGTTTGCTCCAGATGCTGAATAAAGGACCTCTATTAGAGGATCCACTGACTTATACGTCTAAATGGTTCTAAAGACATGCTGATTTCATCCAATGCAGCTTACTTGGCTTTTTTCAGCATATACATAATCTTATTTCTCATACTCGAATTACACTGATTTTTGACCATAACATATTTTAAGTTTTTCAATCTACAACTAGAACAGAATACTGATGAACACAACTGATCACAACAACTGATTGAAGTGCTTGAGGTTAGGCATGTTTTTGTCTACCAATTATCATCTCACCTAATCATCACAAAACCTCAAGAGAATATCAAGAAGCTAACACAAAACTTGTTATTCCTTGTCACGTAGCGCTTCTATCAGTCATAGCGTGATATTATTTAGAACAGTCTATTTGCATCAAATTGGGTTTGCTTTTGAGTTATATCATGTTTTATCAGCCTGAAATTTGCTACAATTTAAAAAGAAAACATATCTTCACAATAAGAGAGCGCTGACGCTGACACGGGACAGGTGCAATCTAGAAATTTTTGAAGGAGAAAAGGAGTATGACAATCAAGGAGGCCATAAACGCGCCCTACAATTGTAGGAACGACTGACGATACGGGCCTAACTTTTGTGAACACAAAATTTTCAAATCTAATGTGTTTTTATCAGCTCGAAAAAATCAAAACCTCAAATATTAAGGTTTTTGCATATATTCCATATAACGGATCATTTTCGGCGACTACTTTTTGTGCTATTATAATGTTGTATCTACAAAATTAATTTGCAATGTGTCTATTATTATATATGCACGTAACACTATCAAATACTCACGTTAGCATACTGATTTATCATATCAGTGAGCATCTTTTTCAGTTCTTTGGTATCAATGTTCGAGTCCAAATTGGATATGACAAGATCAATCGGTTGACTTTGCTGCGCAGCTCTGATGTCTTCACTCAAGTTTCGCATTATCTGAAACAAAAATACGTATCAGATACAGATCTTTACTCAAATTTCATTAGTGACTTTGAGAAAGAGCTCTGACAAAACGGGTACTGTTTGATTTAGATGTATATGACAATCGCCATATGACTAGCGCTATTCTAGAAGATTAGGTCCAAAAGTCCTCGTTTAAAGTCATTGTTGGTTTTCAGATTGCCTGAAAGGACCTTCGCTTTTGTGTCGTATTAGTCTGGTCATCCAAGACCCGCGCATTCTTAATGGAAGAAAGGAAAAATAAATGAATTGATATTTGATAATAATACAAAAAAATCGGACAAAAATAAAATTTTAATAAATACCAAAATTTAATTTTTTTCGAACGGAAATATTTTTATAATCTCGTCATCTAAGTCAATAAAAATTAGCATAGTTTTGTATAAGTTTAGAAAAATAGAGAAGGAAAAAAGAAAAAATGAAGTACTATTTCGTGGTCTCGAGCTGCGTGTATGTTCAATTAAATTTCTAACACGTATAGATAAGGTTAGAATAATAGCTGCAGTGCTGCATAGGTGCATACGTTAATAATGGCTTATTGCTATTTGCTGCCTGAAAAACCTTTATAAATCATATAACAAACACGGATATTATTAATCAATTTCAAATTTATTATACGTGGGGAAAGTCTTACTAAGAACAAATATCTATATTATTTTTGAAGTGTCATACGATTTCGATTGTAAAAGAACCATATAGAGGGATAGAAACGAGTATTTGCAAATATTTCCTAAGCTACTAATTTGCGAAGTAGATAACCTGTCATTTTTATTGCTTGAGATAATGGGATTAAAGAAACTGGGGGTTTTCATTTGACTATTTCCCTCGTCTTAATTTCTACCAATCACAAATGCACAATTTTGAATTACAAATGGTTTCTAGATGGAAAATTTGTATGACAGGTGTTGTATTTTCGAGTTTACCCGCGGCAAAACTTGACAGCTGTTGTCGCCAAAAAATACCTTTCGGGCATTTAATATTTTCCTGTGAAAAAATCAAAAAACAATGCAAAGTAATATTTTTTCAACCAAAAACATTCGTGCTTCTTGTTAAAATACTGCTTAGGAGCATGTTTTTTCGGAAAAATTAGATGTCCTTATGATATTACTTATGAAAAATTGAATTTCGGCATTTTTTCAATTTCATTTTCATCATTTTTTGACCACCTTGTATTATTAGTTATAAAAATATCTGAGGAAGTCTACTAAAGTAGACCCCCTTCTATAAGGAACCAGTTACAAATGGTTCGACAAGGACAAAAATATACAAAAGATTAATAGGCATTTATGGATTTATTTTTTACACAAAATTTTAAATTTCTCAAAAACGGTTACAGTCAGGTATCTGATGTTATACATAAAATGTATTTAAAATCTTGCGAAGATTTTAAATATTGAAAAATACTTAGGGTGTTCCATTCCAAATAAGCAACTACCTACTTCCGGTACAACTTGAAGTGTCCCCATTTTGAAAATATTTTAGCCGAATTCCAATATCAGTTATATCATAACAAGAACTTTTCATAATTTTCTGTTAACTTTTAGAGGAATCGATCGTTGCAGTTCTACTTGAACACCCTGTATAAATCAATTGCGAGTAGAGAAACGCAACAGAGACTCACCATCGCCGTTTTCCCATCTTCGCTATAATCCGAGCTGCCACTGGTCTTGTGGAGCCTGTGTTTGGCACCAAGTGCTGCTGATAGTTGCTCCTGGGGCGTCAGGGACTCTCTAGAATCGTATGACGAGTTCATCACCCCAGTGCCCATTATGGGACGGAAGGTGCAACTATCCATTTGATGTTGTTGCTAAAAAATGGAAAATAGTTTTAACATATGTGCAATGTTAGTCATACTAGGCTTGTATCAAAGATCAGTCAGAAAGATCGCTTGCAGGGTAGTATTATCATTGGAAAGGAGCTATTACTCGACTTTGCCAAATCAGACTCGGCCTTTGTTGTCATCATATGAATTACCGATAGTACCGCTTCGTGACATTCATTCAGCAGAACTCAATGATAACAATTATGAGGGAAACTGAGAGATATAATATTTTAGCTTTAGATGAAAAATACTTATAATGTGTACAAAAGATGCTATAGAAGTAATAAATAACTATAAGGCAATATATAGTATATGAATATTTTCCCAATCCTGAGGATATATTTCCTATTTAAAATATTTTTACCTGCATTTGCCTTCGTTGCTGATTGTAAGCCATAAAACCTTGATTTGTAGGGGCTGACATGGCCAGATTTTCAGCTTGATCCATTCTCATCACTGCTAAAATGAAAAAAAATGGAATAAAAAACATTGTTGTATTTTTTCGATGCATGGCGTTGCAAACAACGAGATGAAAGTATGAACCCCTGCATTAAAGTATCATTAAAAATTCACAAATCTGTCTCCAACAGGTAAAATTTACTACGACAGGGTCACTCTACAAAGTTCGAAAATAGAGTCAGATAGAGACACCCATTGGTCGAGCATAATTGAGTGATATCGTCGCGCGACTAAAACAGCCCTATTAAAACCATTTCGACATACATTTTTCACATAAGCCTTCAATAGTTTTAAAAGTGGGTTAGTTTCTGTTGAAGTATTATGAATTTGGTTAATTTGAAACTCAAAGCCAATTCACACAAATCAAGTCGGTGGCTAATAATTTTTTAAAGTCGTCTATCAGGTTTTAGAAAACCCACTATTCTGTTGTTGAGTCCGATTTTCGAGATGATATGTAGTGATATCTGCTGAGATGATGCGATTATTGCTTTTAAAAACTGAGAATTGTCAAGTTTTTGTTTTCTTTCATACTCGAAAAAATACCAGTACTACAGGTTCCAAAATTTACATCTACGTTTATTATTTCTAATGCTCATTAACTTTTTAGCCACAGTAGATCGTCGTACCGACATTTTTCAAATACGGGAATGATTTCAAGGAACTGATCAACAAAAACCTGAACGAGATCTAAAGAAAACTTCATACAGATCATAACAGGAAGCTGAACAATCACTAAGATTCCAAAAAAATGAAGGTAAAAATTGTGAAATGTGATGTTGACTCACCAGAATTGTAGTTAGCTTGAGAAAAATTCATTGCAGTATTTTGCAAAATATCTCGGTAAGTGAAACCGGGAGGAGGCATAGGAATCTCTTGGCATGTTGAATCCAATGATTTCAATTTGTTTCCTTTAAAAATCAGAACTTATACTATCAAGTGAATTAATGCAATAAATGTCGTTTCGCGAAAGTTTGTTACGTAATTCAACTCTTAAACAAAACAAATATTGACGAAATTAACAAGATTATTTCAAACATGAATAAATATGGGCTCCAAATGGAAATGATACGAGACTCAAACTCATATACTCTGTACGTCATCAAATGCTTTTATTGAAAGTATTATGATTTTTATATTAATAATATTGTTTTGGAAGCGATCAACTTACCAGAGTAATTCCGCATAGACGGGGATATGACTTTAATTTTGTTACCATAAACATCTTCGCCTTGAATTCTTCTTTGTGCCCTAAAAAAGAACCACCACATGTACACAAGAATAACAACTAACGTATCAGAAATCAATACCACATTGAAGCATTTAGTTGAAAACTAGAACTAATCAGCACACAGCACAAACTATGAATAAAAAAATGAATTATTACAAAATTCAATTTAGGGCCAAAAACAAACCCATCAATGGTGACGCGGTGTAATGCCAATTTAAACGACAAAACTAATGGAACAATAATTAATAATACAAACCAAATATTTGTACAAATCTGATGTATAATCAGATTAGCCATGGGGTACAATATAAGATTAGGACTAATGGTTAAGATATAATAATTTGAGATAAATATTTGTAGAAATTAACAAGAAGGTTATTTACAGGTGAGCCAGGGGTTTATATTTATATAAAATATTTGGCATCTTATGGCACTTCCACCATTCCGATAATGCACAGGGTTCAAATCCGTTTTACCTTAAATTTCCTTCACAGGGAAACATGTTAAACTAGAATTGCTTACCCTAATTTTATTATTCACATATTTGACTCGCTGGTTAACATGTTAATAATTGCATAGTGTATTGTTACCAGCATGCTATCACGGAAACAACTTGGGGTCTAGCGAACTGTAAATACTTGAAGAAATATCTTGTGTTTAAGCACAATCACCAGCTAGACGTCTTCTTAATAACGTAACTATCTCAACGCTGACAAAATGGCTGACAACAATGCACTCCATCAATGTCAAAAGAGGTAGTTAGTCGATATGTCGGAAAAAATAATGCTTTTGAATTGGGATAAAGAGCAATTAGCGCGAGAGAATTCTCTGATATTGAACTTTGACTTAAATTGCATTTAAACTATAGTTTTATTAGTGTATTAAAAGTATTATGAGAGTTCAGACCAATTTTTTAAAACCATGACGACAGAAGTTATATGACTATAACTAAATTCACGCACCTGTAATCTTTTATATATGGCCTGAAATGAGCCATAACTTGCGGGGTAACTGCAGAATACACTTCAATTCAAAATTAGCAGTTGTTACTTGTACAAAACCTTACACAGCACTAGAAGGTTCATTGGTAAGAATTTATTTTTTGCTAGTGTTTTTATGATTGTAAGAAAGCAAATAAAGAAACGTGATGTATGAATGGACATATAACTTATCTAGTATTAACACACGTATATAACTATAAGTGTACCTATATACTATCTTTTTTAATTCAGTGTATAGTATCAAACTAAATTACGTAAAAATGCCTGGTAGGCGGATTCCTCCCTAATTCTTTTGGACTACTCCAATTATGAATTAACAAAGAATCAATCAAGATGCAACATGGGTTCGGGGCCTAACCATAACTGATATAAACCAGTGGAATTTTAACAAAAAAATAGTGAGAATTGAAAAATCAAAATTTCATAAAGGAATAACATATTTGTATTTGCATATGGTGATGGACAGGTAGCCATCAACCACACCCACACGCAGCAGGGTACCAAGGATTATCTTTAAAATCTACATAACTAGCATAAACTGGCTTCTCATGCCCCAAGTGTTAGACCCTAACATTCTACACCTCATTGACATCCCTCGCTTACTCGTTATAAGGACCGCATCATGGCAATAATTGCTGCATTTCGTCATGACAAACGTCAGAAATGTCAAAATGCTAACCTAAGAGCTTCGTCATAGTTTCCAAATCTGATAGATGCCCTTCCTTCGTTGGTGAAAATATCGACCACTTTTCCGCCGCAGTTTTCGATTAGCATGCCCAACCGACTGCGCAATCTTTTTGGATCGAAGTTCAGCGGTAAATTCGATACTTCTAAAGTTGATGGTCCATGTCCATTTGCAATAGTCTGAAAATGTAATGTATTGCGAACAATGGCTGATTGATAAAAATTTATTCCAGCCCACCTGACATCTGTAACGCGGCAAGTCTTTCAAAAGTTCTTCAAAGGAATGATGTTCATTGACACAGATCAGCAGCGCATGAGAAACATTGACGTTATGTACCAAAATCACCCTCATCTTGTTTCTGTATCTGAGATCGCATAAGTCAGCAGTAAAATTTATATCACCAGATATCAAGAGTACCCCTGCAGGCGCAAAATGCAGCTCGCCAAACCTCCTCAACGATTGGCGAAGTTTTTCGTCGGCCGCGTTTTTTGACATTCGCCCCACATGGATCAGATTCACCTGGAACATTTAGGAAAAATGTTTACAATTCACCAAGGATGTACCCAGCTCAAAACGGAAGGGGAGGGGCACCTTCTAATTTTTGGTGGAAGCTCCACAATCATATCCACTTACTTAACTATGCTTGATATTTTTCTTTCTATTTGCATTTTATTATATTATCCACTTCTTCCACGACGATTTGGCAATTTATATGCACATGGAAAACTACTAGGATTACTTTTTTAAAACATTCATTTATTGCGAGAGATGCTTTTTTAAGTTTTAATTTTGTTGTTTCCAATACTTGAAAGGAACATTTGAGATAATATATGACAAATGTTTGCTATACTGCAAATTTTATTAACCTTTTTTTGAGCGTACATATCCCTAAAAATTCAAACAGGATGCTCGTTTGTTTCAGTCAAGTCAATAGGCCAGGGAAGTACTCTACATAATTGCGAAAAACGTCATATGGAAGAATAATTTTCAGATATAACATAGTAGATACATTTTTGTGGCGTTCGTCAGGTCTTCATCGGCCCTCTATTACAGACCGAAAAATATTTGAATAAATGAAAATAGTTTTTGTTAATCGGTCCTGTTGCTATAGAGTAACCGTCAAAAAAACTAATATACACATATATAGTCTAATCATATTAGCAAATTTCCCCAAAACAATTGTAAAGAATGGTTTTATTGATAAAAGTTGTTCAAGGGGATATTTAAAACATGGACGCATAAAATGGGTATACGAATTTTTGTGGGAAAACTTCCGATTCTACAAAAAAGAGAATGGGAAAACGTGTTTTTTGGGATTCAATTGAAAGTGTTGGCAGGAACGAAAAAACTCTTCAAATAAGATTTTTAGGTATTTATGACCCTTGCCGAATGAGAAAACACACAAAAAGATCCAACTAAAAGAAAAAAGTTATGGCCGAAAACGGCCTCAAAATGCAGGTTTTGGCACTTGTTGCTAATGCGACGAAAATTTCACGCAGCTACTTGAAACTCTTCAAATCCGTAAGCGTCCTACTTCTAAGTAGTCACAACAAAATTAGAGTCGATTTATTAAGTAGTTTTTGAGACTTTCTAATTGTTTATCCCAAAACACCTGTCTTCCGACCATCACTAGATACTAGTTCCCTAAGCAATATACAGGGTTCATTCAAACGGCATTTTATAGCAAAATACACGAGTTTACTTTGCCGACCTAAATCACAAACCATTCCAAAAGATAAATGTCATTTTTATGGGAAAAACGAAGTGTTACGTTTTTTTTTCTTGTAAGCAAATTCAAACATTTCGTATTTGTGGGTAATTGAACAGATTCGTTACTTTATTAGAAAAACACACGTTATCATACATATTTTAAAACAAAGCGGATGATCACCTTTTGTTGCGGAGAAAAAAAATTGTTTCAAGATTTCTTCATAAAATATGTTCTAAAAGTATTGGCACAAAATTCAAGGGCTTTAATTACAACAAACATAAAATAATATCAAACTGCCTTTGGAAACAGAAGTTTGTTTACTGACTTTACTGTCAGTTGAAATTTAGTTATTTTGAAGTTAAGTGTACAAATTATAAATAAGAAAAAGTATCTACAAATTGGTTGGAATGCCCTGACAATGTCAGATACCAGCATAAAGCGAAATTTGCAGATAAAATCCTTGTCTGATGAGCAATTTCTAACAGGGGTGTATCCCAACGTTTTGTGGGAAGAGTGAGGGGTGAAGCTTTAAATAGTCAGAGCTATATTGATAACTGTCTTTCCAAATTGCTTCAGTTTGTCCTGTAACATCATGCTAACGACCATATGTTTTGGCCAGACCTAGTATCATGCCATTACTCACACAACCTACCTTTTGTTCCCAAAAACGACAATCCTCCAAACCTGCCGCAGGCTCGACCAATAGAGGATGTTTGGGCTTTACTGTCTACGAAGGTTTATCATGGAGGCTGGGAAGCTCAAGATGAACAATTAATAATTTACGAAAAACTGACAGAAATTTATCTGAATTCCGTCCAGGGACATTCGAAGATAGTTGCGTCTTGTAGAGCCGAATGGGCCACTCTACATAATTCTTAGTATAGTTTAGTTAAGTATTGAGCTGTAGTTTATGATAATTAGTTGATCTTTAAATAAATTTCTTCATTAAAAAAAATCCGATAAATATTTTGTGCCGAAATTTTCAGGACATACATTACTCTTGTGTATACATATTTAGAGCTGACATTATTACATGGTCACAGATCAGCCTTAAAGTTTATACTGGGTGTTTCAGTTTATTGTTGCATAACTTTAAGATTCGATAGGACTTTTAAAATTAATGCATAAAGTCTATATAAACATGTGTCGAAAAATGCGTGGCTTCCGAAATACAGGGTGTTTAAATTTACTTTCTAAAATAGTTTTTTTAAATATTTCGAACAATATTTGATGTATAACAGTGACATTTGGTATACAAGGGTTTTTTGGTACGACAAAACGAACCATGGGCATAGTTTTACTGTAGCCGCTAGAGGGCGCTCTCTACTGTACCTGTAGTGTATTAAAATGACCGAAACAATTTTCTTAGTGCAATTTTTTGCTTTTTGAATAAAAAAACTGATTCTTCGCACTTTTCAACATAAAAAAGCTCTCCTGTGAGTTTTCGTTATAGTTATCCGTTTTTGAGATATTTCGATTTTTAAGTTTCGATGCATTTTTAATTATTTATGGGAAAATAATATTTTTTTTACATTTTCGATTTGGGCACTACAAGTAATTAAGATGATCGTTTAGATTGTGTTTTTAAACACAGCAATAATTCCTAACTCCAAATAAACACAAAAAAACAGAATATTAATTTGTTTAATTTTCCAATATTATTTTTAACAAATTAAATTAATTATTTACAACTAAAATGCTATTGGATAGTTAGGAGAAACATACAAAATCTAAAGCAGTTGCTCGAAATGTAAACCCAATTGTTCAATACACAATTCACATCTACGAATGATCGAACGTGGTATAGCATTATTCAAATAAGGCCTTATTTCAACACATGCATTCCTGATTCTGTCTATTAGCATATCTCTTGTGGTTACGGGAGTCTGGTACACTTTTTCTTTTAGAAATCCCCACACAAAGAAATCTAATGGATTTAGGTCAGGGGATCGTGGAGGCCAGGCGACTGGTCCTCCACGGCCGATCCATCTTTCTGGATAATTTTCGTCCAGCCAGTTTCTAACTATTCTCGAATAATGAGTTGTCCACATCAAGCTGGAACCAGGCCAATCTTCTTAAATCTAACATCATCATCCCACATATTTGCATGTTCAGCCTTTAAAAATTCCAAGAAGGTCGCAGCATTTAACCTTGCAGGCAAAAGGTAGGGTCCAAATAGTCGATTACAGTCGATACCAATCCACACGTTCACACTAAATTCATGCTGAAAATTTCTTTCCCGAACTGCATGCGGATTTTCATGCGACCAAATATGTTGATTATGAAAATTTACCACTCCACATCTAGTGAAGCATGACTCATCGGTCCATAAAACGTTACTTAAAAACTACCTATTATTATCAGTTCTATCAAGAATCCACTGACAAAATGTGATTCTTCGTTCTCCGTCCCCTGGCTGTAGTCCTTGCACAGGTTTCAAATGGTAAGGACGTCTATGGTCATTTCTAAGAACACGGTGAACATGACTTGCTGAAATTCCCAAGGCACCAGAAACTCTCCTAACACTTGTGGTCGGATCTCTATCAAACTCACGCAGAATCATACAGGTAAATCTGCGCTGACGAACCTTTATGTTTTGATCCCTTTGGAGATTTCCAAAACCATTTTCAATTATTTGGCGATGCACTCTTACAAATACTGAGCGAGTTGGATGTCGTCTGTTTGGAAATCTCCGTGCGTATTCTCTGGCTGCTTTTGCTGCGTTTCCATTTACAAAGCCATACACAAAATGAACATCCGCTAACTCTTGATTGGAGAATAAAAATGGCATTTTTATAAAACTTACAAAAAAAAAACAGGTAAAAGAAACTAAATTTCGTGCATTCACAATTGCAAAAAAACGTTTCAGGTTTCAACAGATAACAAAACTAACTGTCAACTAATTGACGTTTAACCATATTCTGCTTTCAATTTCAAAAATATTTGCAGGCACAGCCTACTTCTAAAAATTATCGAGATACTGACATTTTAACGTTATTTTATCATAAGTAATTAAAAATGCATCGAACCTTAAAAATCGAAATATCTCAAAAACGGCTAACTATAACGAAAATTCACAAGAGAGCATTTTTATGTTGAAAAGTGCGAAGAATCATTTTTTTATTCAAAAAGCAAAAAATTGCACTAAGAAAATTTTTTCGGTCATTTTAATACACTACTGGTACAGTAGAGAGCGCCCTCTAGCGGCTACAGTATAAAAAAAATTTCATACTCAAATGCGCTTGACTTCACCGTTTTTTAAAGCTAGCACGCAAACTGAACACACAAGTATGTTTCAAACTGTCTTAGACTAGTTAGTATATAGCATGTGCTAGATGGATGCATGACTTTGCCAAATAAGTACCTATGTCACGTAATCCAGTTTCTTTACGAAGAAAAGTAATTCCCTGGACCTTGTTCCTAAAAGTATTAATATAGTATACGTCTGTTTTCGAAATCTCGTACGACTAAAGCGAATGCGAGGTGAAAATGTTTTAAAATAAACTCGAGAAAACGAAAAAACTACACATATATCAACTAATTGTTGCGAACTCGGTATTAGTCTCTAATACATTATTTAAAGATTAAGCATTGTATCTTGCATAGTTTACAAGAGTATTCTAATTGTTTATAACATATTCGTTATGCCTCCAACGTTCGTTTGACATTTGTCAGTATCGAGTATAGTGGTATAATAAAGATCCAGTAAACCAAGAGGCGTCGCTGTGTAATGGGAAGGAGTAACGATTGGAGAACCGCAGGACGGGGGTTCGAATCCACAAAGCTCCATTTTTCTATTATTTTTTTTTAATTTGGAGAAATAAATGCTTTTTCATATTATCTGTACTTTTATTGCGATCAAGCAGTTTTTCGCACGCCATAGTCAATGTAAGCTTGCAAAGAGGAAACCAGCGGTGTACGTATGATTATTTATATACTTTTTTTATGTTACTTTGATAAAATTTCAGAAACACTATATCGGATCACAGCAGATCATTTTTGAAAACATATCTCAGATATGTAAATTACTAACCAGCAATAATGAAAGACATAATATTACTTTTACAAGAAGAAGGAACGTTTGGGAACTTTATTTACCCAAAACGAATAAAAAAATATGAAATTCATACCGTGTCTGGCAGATTTCACGTTTAACAGAATAGTTGGTGGACATATTCATCACTTTCTATTGCTCACAAATTAAACAATATAAAAGAAGTTGAAATCACGCTATACTTTTCCAAATCAAAATCGTTAAATAATTAAAAACATGGAATATGATGTTACCCATTCACGCAACACAGCTTAAGTGTACCTTAATTTAGGCAGGCTTTATTATTTTTTCAATAATGCCCAAATTGTTAATGGTTCTGAGAGAAAGACTTATCGGTAAAATGTCTCTATTCACCTTTTGCTATTGAAAGGTTGTTTACTGCACTACAAGTTACAATACGAAAAAAAAGCAGCATTATAGTTGCTATGGTCAAGAAATACAAAATGTCAAAGAATATTTCATAAAGTATCAATCTATGTACAACAATACAAACTATCTTCCTACTTTATTTTGAAATTAATTGTATCTCGGCTCTTCATGAATGATCTAATTTGTGTTTTTTTATTTTTACGAAAACAATGCACTCTAGGAAAAAATACAATAGTAATTATTTGTAGCAAACTCAAGGTAAAGTTCGAAAAATTTAGAGTTTCGAAAAAAAACAGTGATGTACTATCTTTATTTGGGAAAATAATGCCACAATCCCTTGTATCTCCGCCACTGGTGCACGTTAATTTTAAGTAAAGACTTTTGAATGTGGACAATACTTAGGTTAATCCACATACCAAATTTTAGTTCAGTTTGATGACAATATTGAAGATACTAAAAAAATTGTTTTTTATTTTTAAACTTCAACACCCCGTATATTTTTAATGATACCCTCGAGGAAAAAATGTTACATTGAAGACCCCGGTCTGCGGTCCTGTGTATGATGTTTCATTTAAAACGACTTGTGAATCACCCTGTATAAGTTACATACGAGGGATGTCTTTTAAGTTTTGCATATATAGAAACATAGTAGGCCGCGCGGATCGAACGTCAGTACTGAATCTCAACCTCACGCTTTAGTAAACTTATATTCAAAATTTCACAACAATACGTGCAGTGTTCTCACTACAATGAATTTTTAAGTGTCACCAAGTCATTAGAAAAATGGAACTCAACCGAAAACAGTTTCGCGCCATAATTTATTACAACTTTCAGAGACAATTATCGCAGTTACTGTCTATTTTCGGCAACGAAGCGCCACATTAGTCGACAATTTCCCGTTGGTATGGAGAATTCAAACGTGGACGGGTGAGTCTTAGCGACGATCCCAGGGTGGGTGCACCAAAAACGGCAGTCATCCAGGAAAACGTCGATGCTGTGCGCAAACTCATCATTGAAGATAGACAAGTGACATATCGCGAGATTGAGGCGTCCTTGAAGATCTCAAAGACCTCAATTCAAAAAAATTTACATGAAGAATTAGGAGTAAGAAAATTAGTTTCTAGTTGGATACCCCACCTGTTGACTGAAGAGCAGAAAGCAGCCAGGGTTAATTGGTGTCAAAAAACGCTTGATCGTTTCAATTCCGGAAACTCAAAAAATGTGTACAGTATTGTTAGTGGTGATGAATCGTGGATTTACTGTTATTAACCAGGTCATATTGTAACAATTCCTCTTAATGAGCAAAGAACTGTTACTGCGGATTGGAATACCACCATTTGTTTGCCAAAAATCATCACCGAGCTTCGAAAGATCAACCCCGAAAGAGGAATCATCCTCCACCAAGACAATGCAAGCCCGCACACAGCTCAAAAAACAAGGCAGTATTTAACGGAAGAAAACGCGGAATTATTGGACCATCCTCCATATAGTCCCGATCTAAGTCCTAACGATTTCTTTACTTTCCTAAAAACAGACTGCGTGGTCAAAGGTTCCAGTGACCTGAAGAAGCAGTTGACGCATTCAAAAATGCCGTTTTGAATCTGCCAGCAAACGAGTGGAATAAGTGCTTCGAAAATTGGTTCGAGCGCATGCAGATGTGTATTAATCTTCGTGGAGAATACTTCGAAAAACAGTAAAGTCATTTAAAATTACCTACCGTGTTGTTTTATTTCCATATGCAAAACTTAAAAGACATCCCTCGTACCAGTCTACAAGAAGAGTTTGAGTAGTATATTTCATTTTGCATTGTTTAACATACTTTTCATTTAGACTCGATTGATACAAGTCAATTCATGAACATCTATCTGTAATCCGTTTTCTATCAGATACATTTTTATTTAAAAGAAACGTTACTAGTAGTGCAGTCGGAGATATGATAAGCCTGTATGAACGATTAACTGGCTAACGAAACTGACAGCGATTGGTCGCGCGTGTATCCATGGAATATTGTTTTCGCATCGTGACAATGGGGTAATTCCCGATCGAGAAACCAGGAATAAAAGAAACATCTGATCAAGGATAGAATTCTCATCGATGGCTGAGACATACAGACACATTGGACGGATTGGATTACTACTGTAAGTACGAATGTCATACAGGGGTCAAAACAATCAAGAGCTGTTTAGAGATTCAGGGAGCAAATCTGATTCGGACTCACAGACGGATACGGAACATATCAGTCATAGTTTAAGGAACTTACAACTAAGACCTATAATAAGGCTGTTTCGATATAAAAAAAAAAAAAAAAAAAAAAAAAAAAAAAAGGAATCTATGGTACTCCGTCAGATCTTTGACCCACCCTGTACAGCGAGTCTAGGAGTCTTCATACTTTTAAATTCACTTTTCTCAAAACTTGACATTCATCTTTTATCTCTCCTTCAAAAAGGCTAGGCTGTTTCTAGATTTCCGTGAAAGCGTCAGCGGTCTTCTACTGTGAGACTATATTTTATTTTTGAGTCTAGGAAATTTCAGGCTGATATAACAGATGACGTAAGTCAAAAGCATGAACAATTTGATGCAATATGTAACATAAATTCAAAATAGAGCGCCGACTCAGTAGAAAACTATGAAAATCAAGGAGGCCATGAGGGAGTCACATAATTATTGAACGGTACAGGGGAAAAAATATGAATGTCACAAATTTTATGTTTTGTCGTTAGAACCGGCAACATGCTTTTGATTTATATCATCTGTTATATAGCCTAAAATTCACTACAATTCAAGAAGACAACATAGCCTGACAAAATAGACAAAAAATATCCCGGCCTTTCTGAAGGAGAGAAAATACTATGCAAATCAAGAAGGCATCCTACATCTGTAGGAACGACTGACGATACGGTCCTAAATAACCAAACCAATATGAACACTAGCCAATCCAACCAGTCAAACATGACACTATGCCCTGAGTATCTTAACATGATCCCTGAATTTCACACGGACAGCAAGAATTATTACCTAGATTCATGGATATTGGCAAAAAGTTAGTGAACAAACTTTATAGGTACTACGATTTTCGGAAGATGGCGGAAAGTGAGAAGTCGTCTGAAAATTCGTCTCTTAAAAAGAATGAAAAAAAGAATATCATACTGTGCCTACACTGTAAAAAAAAAGTTGTGAACGTAGTGAAGTGCAAAAAGTGTAATAACTCGTTTCATCCTGCTTGTCTGGAGCAGGCAGGCGAGTTGAAAAATACCAATTGTATGCACGAATCAAGCAAGGTTAGAAGAGAGAGTGTAAACATGCTGCTCTGTGAAGATTCAACGGAGTTGGATCTTCTAAGAACGCTGGTGAAAGAACTGCAAAGCAAAAATCGAATCGCGGAAGAAAACAGTCAACTTTTGAGAGAAAAGGTGCATTTCCTTGAAGATAGAGTTGATTACCTAAACAAAAAGGTCCAACAATACGAAAATATCAAACATCCATCGGATTCAGTGACATCTAACGAGGAACCTCGCAAAATCCATAATGCGGTTGCAAACAACGAAATCGTAATTCTGGAAAATCTTAGTGCTGAACCAGTTGACGACAGTGGCGCACTGCCTGCGGCCAACTCCCCTGTCATCGTGAATTCAGAAGAAGACAAATGGGTAGAGGTTAGAAACCGAAATAAAAATAAAATCTCGGTCAGAAACAGACCTGTTGATAAATCCAGTCGACCTGAACCTTTGAGAGGCTCCAATGTAAATATATGCAGCCTTAGACCAGCATCCAGAGTATCATCTTTGTTTTTATCTGGCCTGGCACCAGAAGTTACCAGCGAAAGCGTGAAAAATTTTCTGAAAGAAAACAACTTTAATGAATACACCTGCGAAAAAATGAAAACCAAGAAAGAAAAGTACTGCAGCTCATTTCGACTTACTGTTCCTCATGATGACATTGATAAATATTTATGTCCGGATCTGTGGCCAAGGGGCATCCTAATAAACCATTTTCGGAACCTGCAGCGCCAAAATATGGTAAAGGAAAACCTAAACAGCAGGAAGTAAAGATTCTGCATATAAATGTGAGATCCCTAAGAAGAAAAATAGATGAGTTGGAAGCCTTTCTTGTTGATGAGGACATTGATGTACTGTGCCTGACAGAACATTGGTTGACCAAAGAAGAAATGGAAGTTGTCCATTTGCAGGGATACATGATGAGAGGGTCTTCTGAACGGAAGGACTTCCAGGTGGAGGAACTGCAATTTTTACCAAAAATAAATTTAATTCATGTGTTATAAGTATTAATCCTGCCTTTTATATTGAGAAATGTATTGAGTACTGTGTGGTTTATTGTCAGAGTCTGAATGTTTATGTTTTAACTATTTACAGATCTCCTTCAGGGAATTTTGATACCTTCTTGGAATCAATGGAGGAAATATTAACACAATTGAGTACGAATAGGCAAATTATTCTTGCTGGGGATTTCAATGTAAGTTTCAACACATTAGATGTTAATACAAGTAAATTGTGTGACCTTCTCGCTAGCTTTGGCTTAGAAAGAACAATCTTTGAACCAACTCGTGGGGACTCCTGTCTTGACAATGTTTTCCTTAGTAGTGCGATGGAGCTGTGTGGCTCTCAGGTATGTGATATTGGAATATCAGATCATAAAGGTCAGCTGGTTAAATTTCTTGGTTGTGAAACCACAGGTTTTACTCAAAATAAAAAAATGTATAGACCAGTAACACAAAGAGGTTTGTTTATGTTACACAGTAGGTTGTCGGAGATATCTTGGGATTTCATTACTGTTGATAGTACCAGCGGTGAACAAAAGTTTAGCCACTTCATGGATATTCTTCAAGAAGCCTATACATACTCTTTTCCAAAGAAAACTTATGTGGTAAGATCCGACCAGGGCAATAATATTTCCTGGTTTAATACCGAACTAAGGGCAATGAGGGAACATTTGAGGTTTTTGAGAGAGCTGAAAGGGCAGTATGGTTTTGTGAGTGACCAGTATTATAAAAACTACAAAAATCTATATAGAAATAAAATAAGAAAAGCTAAGATAAATGCTAATGACAACCTTGTAAAGAGCTCAAGTAATCCTGCTAAAACCATCTGGGATATCATTAACAAAAAAAGAGGTAAGAGTAATAAGTGCCCTGGGAGCAGTGACCTGTCACCTGATGACTTTAATAATTTTTTTTGTAACATAGCAGGTAATATAGTAAATCACATCCCTGATGTACATTTAGATCCTGTTAATAATATTGATTTCCTGGTACCGCCACCTCTGTTTTCTTTTTCTGAAGTCACATTTAACGAGGTTCGCGATGTAATAGATAATCTCAAAAATAAAAACAGTAAAGATATTTTTGGTTTCAATTTAAAAATTGTAAAATGTATAAAGAATATAATTTTGATCCCTCTAACACGACTGATTAATATTTGTCTTAGAGAAAATATTTTTCCAACTGTTCTAAAGAGAGCTAGTGTCACACCTATTTTTAAGAACGGTAATGTTGATTCACCAGAGAACTACAGACCTATATCCCTTCTTCCAGTTATCTCTAAGATCTTTGAAAAATGTATGGCTTTGAGACTGGTAACCTTTTTTGAGGCAAATGAATTGTTTTCACAATATCAGTTTGGTTTTCGCCAGGGTAAGAGCACTGTTATGGGTGTACTTAACCTGATTTCTTCTATAATTGATGCTTTCCATGGAGGAGGGTATAACACGGTTCTTTTCTGCGATCTTAGGCATTTGATTGTGTGAGCCATGACATCCTTTTAAAAAAGCTCCTTGCTTACAACTTTAGTTATGATTCCATTAAACTAATTGAGTCTTACCTTAGTAATAGAACTCAGGTGGTGAGATGTGATGGAGTGACATCAGCGGAGCGAAGTGTTAATATTGGCGTCCCACAGGGCTCCATCTTGGGCCCAATTCTTTTTTTAATTTACATAAATGATTTACCTCTCAATAACAATATTGCAAACTTTACTCTGTTCGCGGATGATACGACCGTCTCTCACACCGCTAACAGTTTTGAGCGCTCAATGGCACAGTCTCTGGCTGCGCAGGATGAGGCTGAGCTGTGGTTTTGCTCCAATAAGCTGTTGCTAAATAAAGATAAGACAAAGAGAATGGTGTTCTCCATGCGAAGCCTGCCTGGAGACAGTGATTTGGTTGGTGAAGCCAAGTTTCTGGGGGTTACTTTGGATCCAAGATTGCAATGGGGCCTTCACATTGACAGTGTTGCTGGAAAGGCCACCAAAGGTATATATGTGCTACGGAGTTTGTCTTCTTGTGTTTCTGTAGAAATATTGAGAATGGCTTACTTTGCCATTTGCCATTCACATATATCCTACGCCATTCTGGCTTGGGGGCATTCTTCAGGGATCCATAGACTGTTCGCCTTGCAAAGAAGAGCAGTTAGGGTTGTGAGCCGTCTGGGCTACAGGGACGATTGCAGAGATACCTTTGTCAAGTTGGGAATCCTTACTGTGCCTTGTTTATATATTTTTGAAAATCTACTATTCGTTAAAAGAAACTCTAACTATGTAACTCATGGGGACGTCCATGAGCACAATACTAGGCATAAGAACAATCTCGTACCTCCTTATTGGCGACTGAGAAGGTGTCAAGATGGACCTGGTTATTGGGCGGTCAAATTTTTTAATGTACTTCCAGATGGCTTAAAATCGCTTCCGTTTAAAGATTTCAAAGGTCAAATCAAGAAAATTCTTATTAATAACTCATTTTACACGTTTGAAGAGTTTTTAAGACATAAATTTTAACTATAAATCTTAATATGTTATGTTAGCGTTATATCTTTATGAGTGCTGGTGTACTTGTTTGTAATTTTTTATGATCATTAGCACTTGCTTTGTTTTAATTCTAATGCAATTCTCATTTGATCTACTGACTTATGTAAACATATTTTATGTATTGTGACATGAATAAAGAATTGATTGATTGATTGATTGATTTATATACTAGAGGATGTAAATGGCTTCCAGAACGAATATCACATGAATAGCACTTTAGCAAACATCGAAGATTATGCAGCTTTAAAGACACTAACAAGAATTATAGGCATCAATACCAAAGCATTCCACAACGACCACTTTTACAAAGACAATTTGGTCAGATCAGTCAAGTTCGACCAAATAATTTTAACCAGAATAAGGTAGTTCACCATTTTAACAATGTCTTCAGGCCAAATCAGGTCAACTACCAAAATTTACCTAGATCGACTATGATGAATATATCGACGCGTCAAACGTATCAGTAGAACGTAAATCATTCAATATGTACGACCAATCTGTAGTAGAATTTTCAAGCAATGAAAATGATCAATATACTCAAGAGTCTTATTCCGATTATTTTTTAGGAGAAGATGCCTCAGAACAGCAAAATTCAACACAAAACCAGCTTCAGTGAAAATAATTAGTGAGCCATACATTACGCTTCCAGAATATAATATTAAAGATCTTATTGATATGGGTAGCACTAAATCTTTTATACATCCTGAAATTGCCAAAAAATTATTCCCAAGACATTTTAAGAAAGATCCATTTTGAATCACCTCAGCACATGTTCCATCTATTGAACAATGAGAATACCGACAAAACAGATGATATTCAACAATGGCACTGAATTTAAAAATTCAGTAGTCACGGAACTTGTAGGAATGCATCAAATCAAAATATAATAATAATATTTCATTAGTTCACAACAGCTATAATCAAATGGAACCCTTCAAAGTTTCTACTTGAGGTTAAAAGAAGATTTAAGACATTTAAATAATCAAGTAGAATATAAGAATGAGCAATACAAATGAAAGTGAATTATGCTTTATAAATAAGCTTATAATAATTATAACACTAATAGATTCAGTAACGAATCTTAAGCCTTATGAAGTGATAACAGGTCATTTCAATACTGAATCACCCTTTAATATGAACATAGATGAGCAATTAATGAATAATAATTTACAGAATCATAGGGGAAAAATGAAATTCGTATATAGGAAAATTTAATGAAAAACAAATAAAAGCTTATAAGTAAAGCAAATGACCCAAAGAACAAGCAAAAGCAATAGCAAGCTGAAAATAAGTATAAGCAAGAAAAAATGGTATAGATAAGAATGTAAAAAGAGCAGAGATAGATTCCACTCATCCTTTATCTAATATTAAATGGCCCCGGAAGAAAACATATCAATTCAAATTTACTACTTAATATTCCAGATTCTTCATCCATTTTGGAAATGGAGCAGTAATGAGAAATATAATGAAAAATCCAGGAATTTTGCCAATAACAATAAACTTAGGCACAGTTAGACCACATAGACAAAACATACTTTTGTGCATTGCCTAAGTATTATGATTTATCCCCTTTATATAAGGAATATGAAGACATGAATCTTTGAAATAGTAATCTTAGAGAAAGCTTCACAAATTATTCTACAATTTATAATGAGCTTGATAATTACAATGAGATAGTACCTATATAAGGAACTTGTTTTAAGAGAAAATCAAATACATTATATTTCATTCATGGAAAACTTGGACTAAAAGAGGACTTTTTAATGGCACATAGTAAAAGCCATAACAGGAAATTTTAACTCTGAAGATAGAGAAGGTACTAATAAAATTTTGAATCATATACAGAAAATCAGGTGAGAATCCAATATTTAGTCAATAATGAACTTGTCGCAAAATTCAATGGGACTATTCATGATATAGAGCACAATAAGATGGTATTAGGAAATAATATTTTACAATTAAAGAAAATTTTATTGAACACAGGATATTATGATGATGCATAAATCAGAATTTGTTGCTCTAATCCCAAATTATAAGTATTTGTTAAGATCTGATCATAATGAGATCAAAACCCTGCATGAGATTTGTACCCAAGGTAGAATCTACCAATGTCCTAATGGTATATTAGCTAATTACAAAGCCTAATGTGAGAAGTCAATAATTATAGAAAATAGTAGTGCCATATGTCATTACACTAAGCTTCAAATTGAAGGAAATCATATAGAATTGATTTGAGAAATTAATCAATATCCAGCAGTATTTCTCACTGAAGAAAAATTGAAGCAAGCTGAAACAAAGTCATTACATACTTGGCATTTTCTTAGTCAAAGCCAGTGAATGTCAATTATTATTCCAAGACAATGAAATTAATTTTCGAGATAAAACTTATGGCAAGCCTCTCATATGTGACAAAATGGATTTCTAATTTATGAAACTAAATATCCCAGAAACGTAAATTAGTTTGAAAATATTGCATCTACAAGAACTCAAAGTTAATAGAATGCTACCAACTCTAGAAGAAAATTTCACGTAAAAGCATCCATCATTGAATTAGCCAAGATGAACTTCCACAAATTGCTCTAGAAGAGAAAAATCTGCCACTAAGATATTCACCTTCCAGAGGAAGCTTCATTCTAGGGATCTGGACTTTTCTTAGCATTGTATAACATACCTTTGATGTTGATTCAGAACTCGGTTCATGAACATCTCTCTATAAGTACTCAGTTTTCTCTCAAAGAAAAGAAAAGCTACTGAAGTTATCTAAATGGGTTATGGTAAACTATAGATGAATGTTTTATACAGGAATAGAATGAATTACTGGTCGAGACTGTTAATTGGCTGAAAAGTATTTATATGGGGTATACGTGTTTACCTGTGCATCATGCAATTCCTGTATCATCTGAGGATGTTCCTTCTTCACATCACATACAACTACGAACTCTGATTCTCTATAATTCACTAAAAAGGTTTCTCTGATCCTTTGCACCACAGCTGCAGCACTCTTATATTTAGGTACACGGCAGTTTTCAATATCCCAATAAATACCTAAAGGAGGCAGCCTCTTAACTGATTTATGTTTCTTTTTTCTCACAAAATTATAGCTCCTGTTTGCTTGGACACTAGTATTGGAGCTATCAGAAGCTGTGGAGCAATACGAGTTGTTGGCGCTTTTTATGAGCCTTGGTGGCGGAGGAAATCTGAATTTTGGCTTTGTACCTGTACAATCTGAATGGTTTGATTCTCTACCTCCAGTTAGAGGCGCATCACTGGAGTCCGGAGTGTTATCTGTGCGACATGAACGCAAATGCATGTTGGTTACGTGAATGATATGTCTGGAAATATTCGCAAGCAATTATTAGAGATTCATTCCTTTTTGTTATTGTATATTTTTTAATTACCGCGATTTAAAAAGTACAAACACAATACGAGCACCAACAAACTGGCATAGGCGCGTAGGTCCAGATTAACCACAACAAATAATAAAGGTGTAGTGATGTGAGACTGTCTAACAGTTATGGATCCAGTTCGATCATTCGATACACGAACACGTCATGCTACTTCTTATCTACAAATGTCTACATAATCTACACGGTGTTGCATAATGTTGTGAGGATAATTGAACGGCAGATTATGTACAGTCTGCGAAAACCAAAAGTTGACAAATTATAGCCTGAAAACAAGGTTGAAGCTGTTGAATGGAGTAATCTCAAAATACTCTTCGTGATCTTAAAAAACATGATGATTGTCCGAGGTTTTAAGCATTGAACACTTACTGAGACCCCTCTGTAAATGCCGCCAATAGGCGTGGGAAGTTTGTAATCACGAAAATTTTCGACATTAAGACATTATGTTTTTTGGATGTTAAACTACATGTGCATCACGAAAAACTTGGTTAGGTTCCTCGAGAGTGCATGAATAACGATTCTCTGAGACTCTTTGGTCGATTGTGGCTCACACCTATTTATATTTCCCCCAGTAGCTCCGACCTCCTGAGGAAGTCGATTAACTTGTTTGGAGAAATATCCTTCAGGTCTTCAAGTATGTTGTACCTGCTTGTGGCAATTGCAGAGCATCTGCACAATACAGTCCTAACCGTTTCATCTCCATCCATGCACAGTCTGCACTCAGCGTCTTCCGCCATGCCCAGCCTGCTCATGTGGTAACGGAATTTGCAATGACCAGCGTACTCGGTACTCGTACAGTCCTACTAGAGATGTGAGGGTATTCCTGTTCAGCCTAAGCAAATAGTCTCTTACCTTCTTTGTCAAGAATGGTATAGTTGCCTTAGCATGGGTTCACCCTGCTAATCCCCCTAAGTATTGATAGATCTTTCTGACCATCTCTGGAGGTTCTTTGTTTAGCCGTATTGCATGCGGCCCTATGAAGGGTGTGCTAGCCCCACTCGTTGCCAGAGTGTCAGCAGTCTCGTTTCCCTCTAGACCTGTGTGTCCTGGTATCCATATAAGACGGACTTCATTTCCCTCCCCTAGCCACCGAGAGCTTCTTTGCAATTCCACACCAATTTCGATGTCAAGTACGTGGCGTCAAGTGCTTGACTATATGAAAAAATAATTATAGTTCTGTGCCTCAGCATATAGCTCTGCCTGGACGATCGATGCCCAGGTTTCTAGGCTAACAGATTTTTTAATCTTTAGCTTCGGCATGAAGATACCAGCTCCAACACCTACCTCGGTCTTGGAGTCATTTGTGTAAGCACGGATATCTTTCCTTGTCAGGTTAACTTGCTGTTGCCACTCATTCCTGTGTGGAATAGTCACATATCTTCTTATCTTTGGCATTATATCAGAAGGCATTCCCAGACTGTGGTGGTTTTGTAAGTACCAGCATTTCCGTCTCCTCCATAGTGATATTATGTCCACTATACCATTTGCCACATGATGTAGTCTATAAGATGTCCTTCTTCCTCGCCTTCCAGGTAAATCTGCAAAAGGGGTAAATTAAGAAGCACCTCCATACCTACAGTTGGTGTGGTACGAAAGGTACCAGTGATCAACATACAAGCTTCTCTCTATATTGCGCTCAGTTTGGCTTGAACAGTTCTTTGTGGTACTTTGTCCCATCAAGCTACAGATCTATAGGTTATCATCGGTCTAATTACCATGGTATAAAGCCAACACATTTGCTTAGGCTTCATTCCCCAGTTCTTTCCATAGACCCGAATTCCAGTTCAGTGTTTTATTTAAGATTATTCCTAGATATTTCACCTCCTTTGCAAACGGTACATTTTCACATTGGATTTTTGGAGGTTCAATCCCATCCAGTTTTCTCTTTCTGGTAATAGACACGATGACCATTTTTTGCGGATTGATTGAGATTCCTTCGCACCAATCCGCTATTGCGGTTAACACCTCCTGGAGTGTTCCCGAGATATGTTCCCCAGATTTCCCTCTGACTAGAACGACTAAATCGTCTGAAAATGCTTGAACCTCGGCCTCCTACAGTGAAATAATGGCAATTAGATTATCTACCAGGAGCGACCGCAAAAAGGGGGATAACACCCCTCCCTGGGGACACTCCCTGGCAGCTCTAAATGTGAATGTCTGCCCCTGTAAGAATGTGGTTATAATTCTGCTTGTCAGCATACTTCTTGATTCATAGAGGGATTCTGGTAAGGCATTGTGAAATGCTCCCATGTCTAAAAAGGCCGCGATGGCAATTTCCTTGTTTCCCGAGGACGTCTTGATGTTCGAACCAAGTTGTTGAGAGCAAGCCTGAAAGGCATATTGATGGATACTTAGAGAATGTCTCTGCAGAGCCCCCTTTTATACTCGTCAATTACATTTTCAAGGCCTTTCAGCAGAAATGAGGTCAGACTAATTGGTCTGAGTGACTTCGCCACTGGATCTGTCCGTCCAGGTTTGGGTATGTAGACTAGCCTTGTCACCGTCCAGCCATGTGGTACGAGTATATGATACCACGCTAGGCTGGCTCTATAGAGTGCTATGAGGAATGGCATCAATATGTCCATTCCAACTCGTAGTAGAGCTGGATACATGCCATCCTCTCCTGGGGATTTGAAGGGCTTAAATGATTTTATCGCGCCTTTAACCGCATCAGGTGTTAATATGGTTCTGATAACCTGCCAGTCTCCCCTGTGGGGGCGTTTATCCGTCCAATTCTTGGGCAATTGGCCAGCTATGTTATCAGATGTTATACTTCCTGGAAAGTGGTTTTGCGCAAGGATCTCCAAGGTTTCCCCCGAGGACTGTGTGAACGTGCCGTCTGATCGCTGGATCGACTCCAGCTCCTGTCCACAATTATTGGAGAGGATCTTGTAGACCATAACACTGCTCGGTGCATCTGATATGCTCTCGCAGAACCTTTTCCATGACTCAGTTTTGGCTTTGCGGACTGCTTTATTATAGTTGGTTAAGGCCCTCCTATACTGGTCCCACTCATCAGATAGTTTGGCCCAGTTGAAGAGTTTCCGAACCTCTATCCTTTTCGTATTAAGACTATTATTCCACCAAGGCGTATTCCGGTTGTCTCTTTACGCCTGGAGTTGAAAGTCTTCCTTATAGGTTGAACTTATATGGCCTGCGTTACCCGATCCGCAATGGAGGCCAGTTGATCTTTATTTGTTATGGTCTTACTACAGGAATGCAGATTTTCCTTCACGGTCGTTTTACATCCATCCCAGTCCGCATTCCTCACATTCCTGTAGTATACCATGGGTCTTACACCTATTGCAATCTCAAAGCCAATATGTCGGTGATTAGAACACGAGGGTTCCGACGTAATCCGCCAATCTTTGATCTTACTGCTTAGATAATTAGTACTAATTGTCAAGTACCTCTTTCCTACTTCTCGTAATAAAGGTAGTCTCAGCACCTTTATTGTTAACCACTTAAATAGTTAAACAAAGACTCGATCACCTCGTTGGTTAACATCTGTGCTCGCCCAGGCCATGTGATGCACATTGGAGTCGCATCCTAGTACCAGGTGCACGTTCTTCCTCCTGCAATGGTCGATTAGGTTCCACACCAGTTGGGGAGGAGGTGATTCTTCGGCATCTCCAGGAAAATAGGCAGAGGAAATTACATCCTCTACTTTCCCTAGCAGGGTCAGGTGGGTAGACACCATGTCCCTATCGAAGAAATCTGTAAAAACAATGTATTATAGAGTTTTCCTCACAAGGATGCATGCTCTAGGATTGGGTACCGATGGTGATGCAATTACCTTGCCGACATTCCTCCAAGTCTGGATACTCGTCCTATGTTTGAGTTCCATGGTTCCTGGATAAGAGCGATATCAATTCCGTCTCTTTGGAATGTGGCGCCAAGGACCTTTGTGGCGGCCTTGGCATGCTGCAGATTAATCTGCAGCAAGCTCAGTGATTGAGCCATTATGCTGCAGTGCTGCAATCTCCTGGTGGATCTCTGCCTTCACCAGAACCCCGTGGCGGTTTAGGTTGGCCTTTGGAGCTTTTGTATGCCCCAGCACCTCCCTTCCCCTTCTTGGGTTTCTTTTTGCCTTTTTTTGGTATCGTCTCACCGGGAATAGTTTTCTCTTTGGTAGAGTCGCTACCAGTTGCAGCAGGAATGGTGGCTGTCCCTCCTGCTGTCACCGTCGACGCATCATCGGTGGCGGGGGATATTGAGGATTAGTCCCCCGTGTCCCGGATTCTGTTCCCTGAGCCCTGGGCCTCAGACGAAGTCGTACCTGGCCGAAGCCAAAGTACGGTCTGACGTCCAGACGCCTCAGCGCCTCCAGCGACGCATCACCTATACCGAAGGTCCAAGTTAGTCCCTTGCCTGAATCCTCCCGATGTAGGACAACCCAATCACGAGTATCCAGGGTCCGGTTCATGTTCCCCAGTATACACATCCTCCCTGGAGTGTTACTCCCATGGAACTTCGTCCGGAAGATATGTGCTACGCATATATGGGGTTTGACAAACTTAACCTTCGCCGCACCTTCAAGCCAGTTCAGGCTTTCATTGTTCACACAGGTGATTTGTAGCCATCCAGGTCTGTGGGTGTAGTCCTTGAACCTCACCTGCGTGTTCCTGTCTCTAATGCGAGACACAGCTACCAATATCGCCTTTTGAAGAGCGAACAATTTTTCCATACGTCGGAGCCTGCCCACCACTTGTTGGCTTACGAAAAACTGTGTCAACCATTTCCGTGGAACTGTCTGTGGGTGCAGTCCTTGAACCTCACCTGCGTGTTCCTGTCTCTAATGCGAGACACAGCTACCAATATCGCCTTTTGAAGAGCGAACAATTTTTCCATACGTCGGAGCCTGCCCACCACTTCTTGGCTTACGAAAAACTGTGTCAACCATTTCCGTGGAACTGTCTGTCTGCATGTTCGACCGTAAGAATTTTTCTCAGGGGAGAAATCATTGCTATGAAATATCTGCTTGTGAAAGTGTACCTGCCCCAAAATATTTGAAGTGTGGGGTAGCAAGGTCCTAATAATTCCTACGTCTTTTGAGGCATATGGCACGAAAATTGTTCTAGAAGCTGTTTCGAAGGTGTTGGTAGTTAATATACTCAGTGACATTAGAAAAAAATAATTTCTCCAACTTGTTTTTTTGGCGACATAATGACTATATTTAAAGCATGCTGTGGCAATGATGCAGTGGTCGCCAACCTTTTCAGTGTGTTGAGCTACTTTGATAATTTTGGAATAAACGGTGAGCTACCTAGCCGTAAGCAATCTAAGCCAACTTAAATGGAATTATACACAGTTGTATGCGACATACATGTGTTTATGTTACTAATACTAATACATATTAATAAACTTAAATAAACTAATAACTAATACATAGTACATAACTACATCCATTAGTACTAATCGTAGGTGTTTGGAAAATAAACAAAATATTTCGTCAGCTACAACGGCATATCATATCCGACTTAATAAAGGTAACTGAAAATAAAAAAAGCAACGCACTATTTTAAACAAAAACATGTTCATATAGGAAATACGTGTTCAATGAGAAGCCTGGCACTCAGACTTACTGACAATTTGTTTTTTAGGTCCGGAATCGGTTCCTCACGTTGTTTGAAAAATTGAGCTATGGCAGATATGATATCATTAAAACGTTTCAGCACTCGTCCCCTACTTAACTATCGGACTTCAGAGTGAAGAAGTAGTTCTCCGTATTGACATTCAATTTCATCGGCCAAGGTTTTGAATAATCTTCTTTGTAACACTTGAGCTCTAATCTTGTTCACAATTCTTACTACCAATTTCATAGCCTTGTTTACATTGTTACCTCGATATTGTAATTTTTTCAGAAGAAATAATATTTTAAAAGAAGAAAACAAGTCCTGCCCAGTAGTCTGTCCTTTCAGTGGAATAAACTTCAAAAGATCTTCTTTAATCGTAAAATAACTGAAAACCATCCTGACGAACACGGTCATCTGAGAGGTGTCAACGAATCTGTGGATTCATTCAGCTGCAGTGAAAAATTAGCACATTTATCGAAGTCATTTCTTAACCGTAAAATTATATCATTGCTCATTACTTTTACTCGTCTCATCACTGTATTAGCAGAAAGTTACATAGATTGTATAGCAGGCACTATCTCGTCTTTATTTCTTAAGTTGGCAAATAATGAATCTACAGCTTCTAAAAACGCCTGTTTTATCATTTCCTCGTCTTCATAAGGTTTTTTCTTTTGTGTAATTATCTGGGACACCCGGTATGATGCTTCAGTTGCAGCCTTACTTTCGTCGATTGTTTTTGAAAACACTGTATGTTGTCGAATTAACTGATTTTTTAATTGTTTCAGTTTTTCCATTCTGTTTGCAGAGCGTAATGGGAATGATTTTTAAAAATTCGAATGTACAGTTTTATAGTGCCATCTGCGGGCATTCATGTGTCCGATAGTTTCGTTTATGGTTATGGAGCTTCATAACATCCTAAATCTCAACCTATCAAACGAAGCATCTTCGGACTCATCTTCATATGATTCGTTTTCCTTCTTGAACATGTTGAATCTGCTCTTTACTTTTCCGAAGACATTCTGAAACACCCTTTAGAATGTGTATCAGGTGGTGGCTGGTAGTCCTTAACTAGTTTTCCATTCGATTGAGTGCTCGCATCTGGTATACCGCTGATAACAATTCCAACTTGGAAACCCCTTCCGGAAAGGTTCTCCGCACATTTTACGTATCGAAGTGAACTCGGTCCTTTGGACGGTTTTTTAATTCAGTCTGTATTATAAAATCGACGAAAGTACACACCTAAGGGCTGAAATGAAGAAGGAATACCCTCTAGTTGTGGAAGGAGATTGGAAGAAGATCGAAGCTGAGCTTATGAAGTCTCGAGTAGGACCGAAGATCATTGATCATTACTTTCTCTACGCTCACAAAGGGAAAATTAAGATTTTCATATATCTGGTGTTCCTTGGATTCATTTTGAACAAAAGTTCGTTGATACAGTCTAGTCGACAGGTACGGATATTAACTTTTTGCCTAGTATAGTGTTTCGTGGTGAATATTGATATTTGTTGTGACGATATGTACCTGCATGTTGTCATTTTTCTGGAATCTCAAATTTAGGGATTTCCCTGAAGTACCATGGTAGAGATAATTTTCAAATACAAGAGTAGGTATACGTAAATGTTCCTTTGATTCCTTGGAGATAACTGCAATATAGATATCAGTATGTAGCCATCGTGTTTTGTCATTGAGATTATATCATGTTCCTATATTTTTGGTCAATCAGTGAAGTGGCCATGGAGCCAGGAGCGAAAATTAAAAAGATTAAGCATAATTTTTCTATATTATTTGAGTTGGGATCCGGTAGTTTCTGATTGAGGCCAAAATATTTTGTTGATTGCTCATAATAGTTGAAACAATGACCCATATGAATAAAAGTGAGCATATGCTTATACTTGCGAAATTAAAAGTAAATGCTTCAAGGGATATGAATAAAATTATAAGTAAATGCTTTTGCTTATAAGTAAGAAGCAAGTGCTCATGATATTGAAGGATTTGCTTCAAACGTATGAATAAAGCCAACCTTTTGCTCAAAAGTGCGAGTATTTACTTATGGAAAACTGATGCTGCTATTCAGTAGCATCAGAGCTGCTAGTGGTTCCGTACGTTTTTTGCACGGTTGTTTGGTTAAAAGTAAAAATGGCTGAAATGATGAATCTTCGAAATATGAAATACTACAAACACCGCGAACTAGTGATTTTAAAAGTATGTTCCGGTTTGAAGAGGAAAATGTGAAGTGGTTAGCCCAGAACTTTCTAGGCGAGAGTGTAGAAAGGCGTGGTGGTGCATTATCAGCTTTACACAGAATGAAAGTATGTTTAAGGTATTTGGCAAATCCAGGTTTCCAAAGCGGAATTGGCGAAGAGCTAGGCATTGAGCAATCCACTGTTTCTCGCACTGTGAGAGATGAAAATAACTCTACAGGCTAATCGTTGGATTCAGTTTCCTAGAAGTCACCATCATATAATGAAAGCCAAAGAACTCTGGGCAAGCCGGTTTAGACTTCCGACTGCTATTGGAGCACTAGACTGCTCACATGTGAAAACAGAGAAACCCAACTTACATGGGGAAGAATACATAATATTATATTTTTCTTACCGCATCCTCTTTCTTTTTCTTAGATGCAGGCGTCTGTGATTTACTAAGGATCTCTGGATATTTGCTGACCTGATTTGCTACAAAGTCCAGCGCCTGCACCTTACTATCATTTTCACATGCAGCTTCATCTTCAGATGACGACATTTTTTACACTGGATAACCGTATGTGTCCAGCACGTCGCTACAACTGCGTAAACTGCAGGTCTAAACACGCAAAATTTCTAGCCCCCAATATTTTAGACATGAGCATTTACTCGTTTTCATGAAGCATTTGCTTGCAAGTATAAGGTAATCATTATTCATATTAAATGAAGCAAATGCTTTTACTTCTACCTTTTGCTCTGAGCATTTGCTTTTCCTTCTACCTTATGCTTATGAGCATTTACTTAATTTTTATTCATATGGCCCAGTATGTTTCTGCTTTTCATATTCATCGACGCTGAAAGCGCAGTGAAAACAATAGATATGTTTATTGATTTCCAATTTATCCAGCCATATTGACGATGTGCTGATCCAAGCAATAGCTTTTTGCTGGTATTACGGTGTGTCATCTCAAAATTGTGACGATAGCTTCAAAAAATACATTTGTCGTTGTCATTTGCGCTTTGAAAAAGGCCAACGTGGTGCTGAAACGTCAGTAGTTAAACGTATTTCAAATATATGTGATTTCGTTTAGCGGCCAGGCAATCATGAATTCCTATCAGTATGAAAACCTCAGGCTACTACTAATATTTCTAGTACTACTGTTGTTCACATTGGGGACGTTTCTGACGAGTCTGTCGGATGACACACCGGCGTCATCCAATACGACGCCCTGCAAGATGCGCGTCGGATGTCAGACAGAAATATTTTTGGTTGACTCGTGCAATATCAAAATAAAAGGATATAGTTGTAGTCACCACTCTTGGCTGTTACGTCATCAACGCCATATGAAATAAGTAAACATATCGAGTCTCCGTACCATGGGCGGAACACTGCGCAGACTAATCTTCAGAGCATCTGCTACTCTCTCCAGTACGCATGAAGTGGGTAAAAGGGGACCTCTGTTTCCATTCTCTTCCTGGAAATACTCTAATAAATTTAGCAAATTTATCAATAAAACGAATATACACAGAATTCGTTAGAGGTTATGAACAATTTGAGTTTCAAACGGATGCTTTCGATCTGACAAATGATGACAGCAAAATATTTGCAACATTGCCAGGCACCACAGTCGATGCCACATGACACAAATGTTACCACAGAGACCTTGCCTGAATTCCACTATCAGGCCGGAAATATTGGCCTTTTTGTCAATCACTATATATGCGCTTCGCTCCTGGAAAATAGCATAATCCAGTAAAATGAGATCCACATTTTCAACCTTCTCCAAATCTTTCCAGGCAACCCCATTTCAGAGCATCAAATGATTAAACTATTTCAGGAAGTTCAGAATTTGTATGTTATCTAACTTTTGATTCTAGTGCATTTTGGATATGCCTTCGGTGGCTTCCAAAGCATTCAGAGAGCCCGAAAGCTGCGAGTTTTGTGAACACACCAAAGAAGTTGACAAGGTGACAAACATCTCACCGAATGAATTCTTAGAATTCTATTCCAAGCCTTTTAGACCAGTTGTAGTGGCAGATGGAGCTACCAACTGGTCTGCACTGCAGACCTTCAGTTTCAATTTCTTCAAGGAACTACACCAAAAGGTAAGGTGTTTTTGAAAGGTTGACAAAAAAAACGCAAAATGGCAGACCACTATTCAGCGAATACTTTCAGTGACTCTGATATAAATTAGTGTACTACACGTCAGTGATATGATATACCTCCACAGAAAATCATACCTTACATGCCTAAAAATTTCTTAAAATGCCGAGCGGTTAAAGAGGCGACAACCATATGCAGACAGACCGACGAGTGACATGGTTTTGAAGATGTCGTATAATATCCAAATAGCACAAAAAAACATATTTTATTTTAGGAATTTTTCGCGATTACAATACTTTCTCACCAGTTGGCCTGGGTATACTCCGGGAATACACTTGAGCCCAGGCAAGCCGCGCACCGAACGAGGCAGCCTCGGCCGGTGCTCACTTTGATGGACCGACAGCCGATGGCTCATGTCGCGCACCCCATGAGGCAAACCGAGCCTGTTCGCAGCTCTGTTGGTGCGCCGTACACTTGCGCATCGCGGCTCGCCGAGGCTGCCTCGTTCGGTCAGCGGCTTGAATCGGCTCAAGTGTATTCCCGGCGCAATAGTCAAAACTATCTAACCGACTAAAGAAGGTGATATTATATTCTTAAACGTTTGGAAATTTTGTTTATTCCTCTTGCTAAGCGAAAATCGTGGTCACTGGATTCTTCTTAAATGTGTCCTTAGTACAAAAACTGTGTAGTGGGGTTCCAGAATGGAAGCAAGTAGCATAATGCATCATATGCCAATAACAACGCCGTGTGTCATTGTTTACGGTGAGACTCGCGCTCAGGTATACTCGTATAAATACTCACCGCCATAGCAGTGGCGAACCATGTGATATTTACTACTCTACCATTTTGGCAGCCAAGTATAGAAAAAAATTCTGCCAAGTTGTATTGCAGAATGGTGCTATATCGGTTAATAGTTCTCATTAGCACCATTCCCTCGATAGAATGCTTCTATATGATTAATTGTTTGCTTGAACATGTGCTTACTCATTTCCAATACAGAAGCACTACTACCATAGATCTTTCGACTCACATTTCCCTCGCATAGTAGTAACCTTGTGCAGATTTCATCAAAATCTGAGCTATAGCCAGGCCGAATATTAGCAGTTAGACAGACTGACAGAGCTATGCAAATGAGTCACATGGTTTTTCGTGGTATACATGCCATACAACATCCAAAAAAGATAAGATCTCATTTTCGAATGTTTTCATGACTACAATTCTTTCTCGCCACTGGCGTGGGAAGTAAAGTACATTGGGCTATCGTTTTGCCACAGCTTATATGACAATCACCTGTGAAATTCTCCTGTCAGTGTCAAAAACGGCCGCTATTTCGACGGAGAAAATTGTATGTGACTTCCCCTAGTACCACTATGAAAGAGGCTTAATGTTCAGCAGCAGCCGGAGTTGCCGCGTATCATGCCAGCGGCCGCAGATATTCTTTGCCATCGTAAAATGATAATATTTCGATATGATCTAGTGTAGTTTGTGTGAATCAGTAATAAAAAGGAGTATATTTGGCAAACAGAAGCAACGGAAGACTTATTTATGAAAAAGCTTCAAAATAAGTTTGTAATGGTAGAAGTATTTACAATAAAGCAATTTCATTTAAAAAATGTATGTGTTGTTATGTAATTATGAATAATTATGAATCACCTTGTGCAGAGCGGCATATTTTCCAAGTAAGGAGCGTATAGTTGCCATAATTTGTATAACTAACTTTTCTAGGTATTTCAAGTATCGGAGCTACCGACCGCTTACATATTAATAACTCGCCGTGTATGTAGAAGCATCCTAGCTGAGGGGTCGTCAGAGGTATCTGGTTTGATTGCGATGTTCTAACAGTGTTTACATTGAAAATGGAATGGATTGAGAATATCGCAGCAGCAAAGAATCGATGGCAAAAGTAAATACTTTTCTGTTTATTGTAAACATTTCCACCAATACGAATTTATTTTAAGCCTTTTTCATAAATAAATATCATCAATACTTCGTCGCTCCTTTATAGACAAAAATATTTCTTTTCTCTTTTTATTATTGGTTCATACACAAACTACATCATATCGGAATAGTATAATTTTTACGTTCGCAAATAGTATATGTGGCCGCTGGCAGGGTGGCAACACCGACTGCTGCTGAGCACTAAAGTCTTTTTCATGCGTTGTACTGGGGGAATTTACATTCGACTTTCTTCGCCGAAATGGCGGCCGTTTTTGACAGTGATAGGAGAGCTTCGTAGATGATTGTTATCTAAGTTGTGGCATTAAAGTCACTATATGCGCATGAGGTCATACGATCTGGGGTATCAATTTACTGTACTCAGTTGGATATGCTTAAACGGACTGACCAGAACGATAGTTCTACACTGCATGGCTGCCTCGTTTCCAGCAGTTTCCAGCATGGTATCATGCACAAAACCTATAAAACGTCAAAAAAACCTATAAGATGTCATCTTGCAAACTAGGTAGTTCTTAGGGCGCAAACAGGCATTCCACGTTTGCTCACTACGATCGTTGTGAACGTCCATCTAAGGAGGAATAACTCAACTAAACTACACGCATTATTGGTTGCATATGTTTTGTGAGGCCAAATGGTCCTTGTCTGTAGTTTTTATCTCTGAGAAGAAAGTTGGTTGAATAGCATCTAGATGATTATGTGTATTGGTCTGCACGTGTATAAAATCAGTGATATTTGTTATGTGAGAAAATCATTAGTGAATATGCTGCTAATGAAGTATATCTGTTGGCTAGGCCTGACGGGTTATTTTTATGTTGTGCCTTCTAAAGGGAGGGCATGTTCAAAGTTATCAATTACAAAAACTGAGGAGAATTACGAGAAATCATCACCGCGCACGCGTTGTGTGTAATTACTGTTAGCATGTATATGGCTTGTAATTCGACAGTGTACAGTGAATATAATGATTTCTTATCTCTCTCATTTTGAAATTCAGCAAATTTGCATATGTAATTTCCAGAATGGATAAGAAAAAGTGGACGCGCAATTAATTTCTAGCTTTGAATCTCAAGTAAGTGTATTTGAGACAAGAATCCAATGGAATTAGCATCAACACATACAACTTACAGCTTAGACCTCCAGTAATGCCATCTCAGAAGCACAAAGTTTGATAACAAGCCTCATGACGCTTAGGCAACATGTACAACTAAGTGCTAAGTTAATATCTTGTAGAAAAACCTACATAATGTCAAAAAAACGGCATAATGCCAAAAAAATCGGCATAATGTCACTTTCAAGATACGTGATACCCGTGCCGCAATATATCACAACCCAGTGAACTTGATGATGCCAAAATGACGTCATTATTCGGTCACTTACGGTCGGAAATGTCAGTGACTAAAAAATGGCACGTCTTATTTAGAACAATCAATACTAAAAAATCAACACTTACCTATAAAGAAAATATAGACTTTTAATGAACTAGATAACTAAACTAGATATCCAAATACTAATAACTGATTTTTTGTTGTTTATAAAAAAGTATCGGGAATTCTTCGACCAAAAATATCTTGTTAATATGACTTTTCCAATAATAATAATACTCCATGCTCAGATATTTCAAATTCTTCGATACACTTTGTGCAAATGCTCCTGAAAAATTGCGGAGGTGATAACGACCCTTCGGAACGAGAGGGTCCAAGAGTGGTAAGTAGAATTCGAGATACGGTGCCTTTCTATCACCTCTAAAACTCACTGCTTTTGGGGCGTCGTTGCCATACCCTCAATTTTCCAGGAGTAGGTATTTGGATACACCGCGCGATTATTTTTGCGAGCGACAGTAGCTGCCTAAAAGTGCCGATATTATGACGTCACTATCTTTACTGGGAAGGATCCTGCGATCTGAAACTTTAATCAAATAAAAGCGAATAACCAAAATTTCTGTGTTATGTGTCGCGGTTATAATATGGTTCAAGATGACACACGGGTTGATGACGTCAGTTACACGAATCGCTTGAACGCGTTGGTTTTAACCGCGGTTTTGTTGCAAGTTGTTTATTTTAGAAAAGCGCATATGTAATCTCTGATTATTTTTATTATCACTTAATAATCGGTGCTTTTTCGTCTACAACTGTATATGGAAAGTTTAAATAAGAAACCTTTCATAATATCCATTCGAGAAATGTTTTTTCAGATTTTTTTTTTTAATGATGGAACCATGGCTTTGTGGCTATGATAACTTTCAATTCTCTAAATTTTTCCGCATGTCAAAGAAAACATTTATTGATTCAGCAGAAATGATGAAAAAAGAAATTAGCAAAACCGTATACAGGTGGATATCATCTAGTGAGTTTATATGGCCATATTTTAATATTCTTGTGGTATATGGCTACACAGGATACTTTGTTAAGCATAGGAACTACATTTAATGTGCCCCCAACAACCGTAATGAGTATAACTAATAAGGTGCTCCACTTTATGGTAAAACTGAAGTCAGCCTGTATCATTTTTCTCAAAAATTAAGCTGAAGTACAATAACAATATCCAATACCCGGCAAAATTCTAACTTGTCACATTTCAAATAATAACCAGAAATATAAAACTACTCTTGAGTTGGGTAAATACCACAATTTTTCGGTGATAACTATGACATATAACAGCTGATTTGTGACGTCACGGATCTTATAACCAAACTGATAACTACACTCGCTTGAACGGATTGGTAAATACCAACCCAAAATGGTAAATACCATTTCCATTTGGTTATCCGCTTGAATTTGATTCTTATGATTTATTTTCTGTGGGGATATCAAATCACAACGTCGATAAGATATAGAGAGCGAAATCTCTAGATTGGAACTGGAGCCAGCATTCGTCATGTTATTGCAAATACGAGTATATATGCTCCTAAATTGGTCTTTCAACTTGAGCCTTTTTCGAAACAACCGCTAGCTTCAAAATCACATGTTTTATCTCAGGTGCAACTTGACAAAAGCGAAGTGAAGAACTGCCAATTTTTCCCCTATAAGACCGATTTCAAGTACCTAAGCGAAGTGTTCAACATGAGCGAGTCGCGAGCGAACCTGGAGCCAGGAGAAAAACCGTGGTACGTAGGATGGAGCAACTGTAACGAAAATTCTGGAAAAGTATTGCAACAGTATTACTCTAAGCCGTACTTCCTTGGGAACAACTCCGAAGACATTGCGTTGAGTTGGATATTCATGGGTGGACCTGGATTTGGGGCACAGATGCACGTTAGTAGACTTTTGATGAAACTTTAAATAACTTTACGACTGTAACTTAGTAGTTTTTGTTTCATTGGTTATCTAGATTGTGAGCAAGTTATGAGTAGGGTCCCACCGAATGCCAATGTTTTGGCTGAAGCCGAAGCCGATGTTTGGCCTTTAAAACAAGGTTTGCCCGGAGAAGTATTGCGACCTTAGCTCTGATGCTTCGAAAGTTGTTCAAATCGAAACGTGATTATATTTGGATGATTATGAACAGATACCATCAATAAAGTTTTTGCTTTAAAATAATGTAAAAAGAGTTACGAAAGTTAGTCTTATTGAAACGTTTTATTTAGCATTATACGAATATACCAGAAAGCGGCATCCTCAAAATTTTATAACTAAAAGTATGTTCCGGGGGTAAAAATATATTGTAATGCCTTCGTAACTAGAACTTAGAGTACCAATGAGACACGTTTATCAATCGATGCTTAGGCAACCAGAATTACGCACATAAAGAACATTCGCCACGCATCGAGATAAATCGATCGGCATCTAGCAGCTTCGATGGAGACTCGATGTCTGTCTGAGTCAACCGACCGCGGAGCAAAATAGTCCAGCCCACATAGTCACGATTTGTAACAAATTAATTGCAATTGTTGTAATAAATTAGTGTTTTCATTACAATATTCATAATAAAAAGACTTCATTTGGAATGGGGACTTAAAATGACCTTCATATTCACAGAGTTACTTATAAAACGCCCGATTCCATGAAAGATATTTTCAAAATTATATTTTGTATTTTACTTTTGGACATGCAAACTACAATTATGAATTTTGACAAAAGCTAATAAATATACGTTAAGTTGAAACGTAACAGTACAACACCGCATAGTAAACCTGCTCATCTATCATCGAATGCGTGTGCACCATTAGGGGTCCGATGCTAGGTGCTGGCTATAATCAGTTACAACAGAAAAGAAAGAGCTAAGAGCCCAGATTAGCATATGCTAATGTTCCTTAACATATTTTGATGTGTTTCAAATATGCCTAAATTTTCGCATTTTTATGTTCTTGCTAGGTGATATTTTTACAACACTTCTCGAGTATAGAGATCTTCCAACATTAGACCTACGGCTAAAACATTGGCATTTTTTGACGAAAAACCGAATGTGTGGCTAAGGTGTATTTTTGATGCTACGGTTGGGCTCTAGCTATGAGAAATGTGATGAACGTACAGTCTAGACAATTTTTCAATTTAGCATTATCTACATGTGGCATCGTCTGCATGCAACATGTTTGTTTCAGCGTTTGCTTAGATTGGTTATCGTATTCAACCTGTTTAGACTTAACAATAAGAAAGTGCAACTTTGATTTCAGGTAGACAATGTTCATTACCCATCTTGGCAAGCACAGCTCAAGGGCAAGAAGTTATGGAGACTGGCACCTCCACCAGAATGCTATCTGTCCTGTCATAAAATGGAAGTAATTGTAGAGCCTGGGGAAATTAGTAAGTCTCACTCTATGGTATAGATGAGTCACCATCCAATCTCCAATACCTTGTATCGATCATTGTCTTGAATAATTTATTTTTATTTTAGTTGCTGTGGACACAAATAAATGGTACCACCAAACTATTGTGCTGCCTGGTGAAATAAGTATCACCATTGGCGCAGAATTTGATTAAAGAATATATATATATATATATATACATACAGGGTGAGTCATTAATTTTCAGATAATGACTGTAGAAGGAAGATAAACCAAAATATGTGTGTAAAAATAAAAAAAAATGAAAAAAAAAATGTTACCTTGTTTTATAAAGTATCCTCCCGACAAGTATTTCAGTGCGGACCTGTATTTGACCGTGCGGTCTTGGAGCACCGGCATATTCCCTCCCCTGTGAGGTCTTAAGTCACGAGCCCTTTGTACTACATTAACAAAGGCACGAGGGGTTGATTGCACTCGATTGGGAAACCGATCCGCATAAATTCGTGATGCCGCGGCAGCATTTTGTAAAGACTCCCCCCCCGTAAATAAGAATCATGTCCACAAGTTCAGCATTTTCGTAAACATGTGCCATTTTTTATTTCGTTTGAGCCACGCAACAAACACCACTATTCACTCACGCGTTACCGACTGACACATTGACTGAATACAACTGAATAAAATTGTAACCGATAAGGCGGATTATATCCGTTGTCGCCAAACAGGAGCACATAAATTATTATTGAGACAGGGCGGTACTCAAACTTCTAAAGGGCTATAACTTTGTTACTTTAATTTTACCAGAAACATCTTAAAGGAAAAAAACATTTCTTTTGATCAGATCTACACACTGTTAAAATAAATGACTCAACTTCGAAGTCACCCTGTATATACTCGTATATATATATACAAGTATTTCAGTGCGGACCTGTATTTGATCGTGAGGTCCCCTGTGAGGTCTTAAGTCACCTGATTCACGAGCCCGTTGTACTACATTAACAAAGGCACGAGGGGTTGGTTGCACTCGATTGGGAAACCGATCCGCATAAACATGTGCCATTTTTTATTTCGTTTGAGCCACGCAACAGACACCACTATTCACAAGCGTTACCGACTGACACTGACTGTATGTATACAACTGAATAAAATAATTGTAAAAATATCGTTCCAAATTCTTTCGCTTTTTTGTTTCCGATGCGATGAACCGATAAGGCGGATTATATCCGTTGTTGCCAAACACGAGCACATGATATTATTATTGAGACAGGGCAGTACTCAAACTTCCAAAGGGCTATAACTTTGTTACTTTAATTTTACCAGAAAAATGGTAAAGGAAAAAACATTTCTTTTGATCAGATCTACTCACTGTTAAAATAAATGACTCAACTTCGAAGTCACCGAAGTATATATATATATCTTACTTCAGAAATAGATTCCGAGTAACGGTTTTATTCATACGAATTAATGTTAATGTAATATGTGAATTGAATAAAATTATTTGATGTTGAGTTGTGCATTTGTTGGTCATCTGACGGGCTGAGACCTGAGAGATATCGAATCTAGCGCCTGGTCGAACTTTCAGTTTTGGTTTCGGCCAGTTTTGGTTCAAAATCAGAGCTTTGGCTTAGTTTCGGTTTCGGCAGAAACTGCAACCGAAACTACGTACGTATGTTTTCGGACGTCTTCTGACAAATTTATTCAGACCAAAGATCAAATTTACTAGGGGAAATGTTGAATGATCGTTATTCATGTCATATAATACCAAATTGTTCAATTATGATTATTACATTACTCTCTATAATAGGCTGTTGTACCAACATTGACTTTGCTTTTTGTAAGACTACAGAAACCTATGGACTATATTATGTAATTTAAGGTGGTAGACAACTCACAAATTATTGGGGAATTCCAGTTCAGGCTCAATTTCAGACAGAATATTCATAACTGCTTGTACAAACTAATTTCCTAACATATGCCATAGTTACTAATTTCTTGGAAATATTTTTTGGTTTTGGTATTTGGGTAATTCTTCTAGAACGCCGCTATTTATTAGTTCAAGGATACCCAAATCATCGTTTTAAATATCACCGTGGCCAATAAAATCCAATTTTGAAGATTAAAAATGAACTAGACGATCTTTTAATCCCAAAAATTGATCGTTGACGTTAAACACAGTTTACAAAATTTTAAACGCGGTTCTCGACTATAACCAATGTTAAATAGTATTACTGCAACAGACCATAAATTTTATATTTGTTTTTTGTCTGTTTTTATAAAATGTTGAAGACAACATTATTCATTTTGTGTTGTAAGAAATGCATGTCACAGTGGATATAGTGACGTCATAATGACATCCTCCTTACGTCACTACTGATGTACGCCGACCAACAAAAATGACGTCATAATGATGGTCTAATGCCACACGCTGTTGTTGTCACTATATGACGTCATAGTATGACGTATAAAAGACCAAATACAAAGTCAATATGACGTCTGTATGATGTGGATATGACGTATATCTCAGGTCGATATGACGTCGATATGGCACAGTCGCTCACAAAAATAATCTGATGGTGTATCCAAATGCTCCTGAAAAATTGAGGATGATACAACGACGCCCCACAAGGGGTGGTAGAAAGACGCCGAAACTCATATTCTGCTTCTCTGCCACTCTTGAACCCTCTCGTTCCGAGTCGTCGTTATCTCCTCCTCAATTTTTAGGAGCATTTGTACACAGTGTATCGAAGTGGTTAATAAAGAACCCACAAACACCGATTGATCTCAAACACGTTCCAGTTCCCCGATGGTTCAGAATTTGTAGCAATTTATCTACATCGCTTTGCTTTTAAACAGAAGGCCAAAACGCTTCTTGTTTCCTGGGTGTAACCCAGGCCTTATTGACTACGTGGCAATACTATCGTCCCTACTAAATTGTCACCACAAATGCCTGAACCTTTGCCAAATGGCGAACACCCGTGGAGCTTGGACATCGGTCGAGCTCACCGTCAAGCACAATCGTGCTTCTTCACTGATAATCGACTGAGTGATATACCGATCCAAAATGTGAATTTTTACTGCGCTTGATTACAAATACTCTAGTAAAACTGGTTTATTGTTATATAGAGCAGTTTCTAATAAATTTGTTTTTTGCGGGAGTAAAACATGATGGAAGATGACATTAGTATTTGGATATCTAGCTTAACTTGTTCATTAAAAGCCTATATTTTTGTAGGTAAGTGTTGTAAGTACTGACTGTTCTATTAAAAACCTCAAAATGACAGCCTTTAAAGGATGTTTTGTTGTCGTCATAAAGATGGTGTTAATAAAGACGTCATTTTTTAGTCAATGACGTTTCCGACCAAAAGTGACCGAATCATGACGTCATTTGGTCTCATCATGTTCAGTGTATATGTTTTCTGATGTTCACTATGGTAGTACAGTTTTAGTTTTATTTCCCTAAATCTTATTAATATTTGATGAAAACTGATTATTACATATTATAAACAGTTTGCTTTTACTTGGAGATACACTAGTATATCTTACCTCCCAACATCCCATATCATACTCCTAAGTTTTAAGTTTCGATCTCGGTTTCGGCCGAAAGTAAAATTGGGTTTCTGCTGAAATTCTAGTTTCGATCGGACACAGAATTTTTACCAATAGCTTCTACAATCTACACTTTTTACTTTTTGCTTATCCCATCACAAATCTTCCCTTCAAAATATCGAAGGTCGAATTAAACGTCATTCCTTCTTGTGTGACTGCTACTGTCACAGAAAAACGCCAGAAAAAGAATCTAACCTCAATTGTTTATGTCAAAATGTGAATTTCAAAACAAGAATTCAAAATCCAAGAAATCAGAATAGAATATAGGTCTTAAATATTAGAGAGTCTCTATTGAGGTGTTATTTAATGATATTTACAGTGATACATTTGTAAGAATGAATTTGGTAGAGGAAAAGAAAGTAGAGATATCAACTAAATTGGAGAAGGTATTACAGACTGACAGATCTTAAAACAGTGTAATAAAAATTCTTACCAATTTTACAGGAGCAGGCTAATTTAAAATTGCTACAAGAAAGACTAGCTAAAAGTGCTCAAATTACTAAAGGCATAGGACATATACTGAATACATTTGAACAACGGCTATCCAGGCTTGAAGATACAATTTTGCCTGTATATAATGATACTGAAAATCTTGAAAAAGCGCGCAGCAGTATCCTTTCATAGAAAAGAGGCGTCTTATTTAGAAATTGTTGAGCTGAAAATATTACAAGTTTACCCAGTGTTATAGCTTAAATGGGCCCAAGTATGGGTCCCTATTTTGCAATTGGCAGCTGCTCCAGTAGCTCCTGAATAGCTCATGTTGTAATTTTTTTGTTTATCCAAAATTAAGCACTAAAGCCAAAGATATGAATTTTGTAAGCATTTATATTCCTTAACAGACTTTTAGATATTGATCATACATTGCAGCTGCTAGATAATGTAATAAACTATTATGATGTTTCTAGTGATGTGGAAAACATAATAGAAAAGGGCCCAGGTGAAGGTGGCATAGATTTGGATACATATTTGAATGCCCTTAACCGATTGGCTAGTGCAAAAAAGTATTTTGAGAAAAATATTCCACAGAGTGTGGAACTGATCAATGTTGTAAGTACTTAAAGAGCATATCTATATATAAAGGACAGTGACTAACTCACTGACAGACATATCAATGCAGATCTGAAACTACTAAATGTAGATATTTTGCTGAGAGGTTCTTTACAAAACATTAGTTAACACTAGAGAGAATTTTTGGATGTTAATACCCTATGGGACTGAAATAGGCGGCTGGTAGTTAGTATGAAACTAATTATCTCATTAGATTTACTTGAAACTTTGTATACTTTAAAATAAGCATGAAAAATATGTTGTTCAAATCTTTTGGAAATGATGACATTCCTTGGTTGATCAATATTGGCATGGCATCCTTTATGTGGGAGACTGTCCTGAACTTGGATGGCTTTTATTATTTATTCTTATGAATCATTAAAAACCATTTTTTTAATGACAATCAACAAATCTGAATAGGTTAGGCGCCAAGCATATATGATTACATTGCATTGCTTGATGCTGAATTTGCACAGTTTTAATGTGCACTTTTGACTCATTTGTCTTCCACTGCCTACTAAAGTGACAGCAGTTTATCAAAATAATAATAATACTTGCAGGTGGAAACATCAGTCTTTGTTTGACTTATGCTGCTCTTTGCAAATTATGTAAGAAGTACCATGTCTTGAATTCATCTACACTACAATTATCTTCAAACCTTAGTATTTTTCAAAAACCACACTAAAAATAAAAATTCAGTGCAGTATTCAAAAATAACTTATTTCATGTGCACAAGACTATGATAATTGGGAGATAAACATATCCTTGCGTGGCACTTTATATCTAGTCTGCATTTGTTGATGACAATATGTGAAAACTATTATTGTAACTATTGACATGAATGTGACTTTTTCCACAGTGGGATACTTGAGTACTTGGAAAGTGACATAAGCTACTTACACCTTAGAAAAATATATCTTTTTTGCAACAAAACTGAAATCTACTGTGACTGTGACAGTTTCTAAATTATCATTTTGGATTTCTGTTTTGACTTAGGTCTTTGTTGTTAGAATAATCTAACAGTTTTGCAGCATTGATGGAGCTTTGCATTGTGCACAATACATACTAAAATATTAGTTATTTCTCAGATTAATCATCATGTAGAATGACCAAATATACCCCTTTTTTTTCTTGTTCTAAGATTATTTTTTATAATTGCAGTCATCATTCTTCCACAAAGGCAGTGATAAATTGAATGCAGAGTTCAAGACAATTTTAGACAAGTATAATACACCTATTTTGCCTGTGGTACTTTTGGACGTTATAAGTTTTGATGGTGAGTAGAGCTTCTGAAGCATGTACTCAGTATTTAATAAAGAATCAGCCAATTTTGAAATAGAATAAAACAAGATGTGTGTGAGATATTAGCAATACATACTTTCTTAGTTGAAAGGCCTATGTATGCCATTATGTATGAAATGTGACCTCATTGACAAACTCGTTTTATTCCATTTCAGTATAGATCTGCTTTTATTGGATTACCCTTTGAAATAAGACTCCAGTTTATCTCTTTTTATTTTTTATACTCATTGAATCAATCACTATATTTCAGACCTTGGCCCAAAAGACTTGAAAGTAAGCCCCAAGCAAATTCCAGAAGAAGCAAAGATACAGCTGATTCGTATTGCATCCTGGCTTCTGGACCATGGTAGAGATGAGTACTTGACTGTATATGGAAAAGTTAGAGGTGGTGTCCTGCAGAGGTCTCTCACCTTGCTTAGGAATCATCAAAAGTCCATCAGTGGGGGCAGCGTCCATGGTACTACTAGCTCTCCAATGCTGGTGAGATATTGGTTTTTTACTCAATTTTCGATAGATACCTAGAGAAAATAAAATTTACACTCGCTACTTATTAAGTTCATTAAGTCAACGCGAGAATTGCAACAATGGTCAACATTGTAGGCAACAGAAAATCGGTTCAGCTCTACCCTCTATCAAACTAATGTCAGTATTCAGATGCACTGGTAAACATCATATTATTTTTTGCTTAGAGACAGTCTCCATCTTGATTTTTCTAGAAGCCTAAGTTTGGAGCTCGGCATGAAGCGACGAGAAAACCGTCCACGCGCCGACTGCATCAGGTGTTTGAGAGAAAAGCTAACAGAATGTTGCTGAGAGCATCACAAACATTTGAACACTCAACTGGTCTCACTTTAGGAGGTAGAAGGGCTTCTCATTTAGGTGAGCATTGTTAAAATGATTCCTAAAATCATTAAAGTCAATTGGTTACGGTTTATTCTCAATACCCTTTTTCGCCTTATTGGCGAGCAGTTACTCCAGACAGTTGCAGTCATATTGTCATATATATTTTATACATTATAGCTTTATCGTGGATTTTGACTTTGAACTTATAGCTTATATGTAATATGTAATATGTCTTGAATGCATCATTAACCATTGGCCAATCTACTCAACCAATATTTTAAAATATAAGAAAGTCTAATTTAAGTTTATATACTACCATAAACTATTGAGGTGCCTATTACTGTATGAGTATGTGTGATATAATAAATAATGTATTAAATGTTTCTAATTTTTCAATGTTACTGTGTACATAAAATACACTGAACAAAGATTAAACACTACCAAAATTTCTGAGTTACTATGTATTGAAAATCTATTAGATAAATAGTGACTTAAATTGATGATGATTTGCTATATGTATTCCTAGTATTGATGTCTAACGCATTATAATATTTAGCCACGTTATATAAGTAAGAGCGGATGTGCGATGTTTTTGTATACCTTAAATTTAAATCATGAATGCTTGTTCTAAATGTTAGCTTGTTCTATAATATAAACCAAATGGTCGATGAGTAGTTATAATGAAATTTACAAATGACGAAGATAAATATTTGAACAGGTTATTAATTTTGAGCCATCCTAAATCTTAGATTGGGCCAGTTACATGATCATATTATATAGGGTGGGCCAAGAATTCGTTAACATTTAAATCTAATACACCACGCAAACAGATGCCGCGCGAAGCGCGTGGAGGGGGCTAGTCACTCCTTTCTCGGATATTCAGTCGCAATGGATCGCTTCACGGGGCTGCAACCCGCTTACTGTGTGAAACAATTTTATTTAAACAACAGTTCGCTCATTACTGTGAGGCGCTGATTTCGCGTTGAATACCATTTACACGACTTAAGTAAGTGTCCTAGTGCTCCTTTGATAAAGAAATGGATGAAGAAGTTCGAAGTGACGAGATCTACACTGAATGTGAAGCAAACCTCAAGCCTACGGACTGCTCGGAGCGAAGAGAACGTGCAGCAAGTTTCCGCTTCTGATCCAGATTTATCGACGCGCAAACGTAAGGCTGAATTAGGATTATCCCGCAAATCATTACGCCGTATTTTGAGATTAGATTTGAAATTACATCCATATAAGATCCAGATAGTGCAAGAACTAAAACCTAATGATTTAAATTTGCGCAAGTCGTATGCCGAAACGATGTCAGCTCGATTCAGTAATTTTGATAATCTCTTATTTTCTGACGTAGCCCATTTCCACCTCAACGGACATGCGAATAAACAGAATTGCAGGTACTGGAGCAGCGAAAATCCCAAAGCTAAACACGAGAAGCCACTTTACTCTCCTAAAGTAACTGTATGGGCTGCAATTTCAGCAAAAGGAATCATTGGCCCCTACTTCTTTGAAGATTCTCGCGGCCATTCAGTTACTGTTAATTCTGCTGAGTATCTGAAAATGCTACTGGAGTTCTTGGCACCGATGCTACTGGAATTTGCTGGCTATAATCGTAACACATGGTTTCAACAAGATGGAGCCACGTGACACACATCCAACGAGTCCCTGCGGGTGGTCAAAGAAATGTTTCCGGAAAATCTCATTTCCAGACGAGGCGACATCCCATGGCCACCCAGAAGTCCAGGTCTATCCCCACCAGACTTTTTTTATGGGGTTATTTAAAGAGTCGTGTCTACATCAATAAACCAAGTACACTGCGTCAACTAAAAGAAAACATCAACAAAGAGATGTCGGCGATCTCGCAGTCTTTATGCCGACGAGTATTCGAAAACTTCGGTACACGTTTGCAAGAGTGAAAAAATCGTAACAGTGGTCATTTAGATGATATAATTTTCAAAGAAATGAATTCCAACTAATTAGCTTTCTTGTGAATACACAATTTTTAAAATATGTCAAATGTTTTTGTTCAGAGGATTTTTTCAAATGTTAACTATAATTCATGGCCCACCTTGTATTAAGAATATTTGTTAACTGGCAACAAGGATTTTGAAATTTTTGTGGTCTGTAGGCGAACATTTGATCTGAGCAAGGATAATATGCTATGATTCCATATGAAATTTTGGAAATAATTAATGATTCACATAATCGCTTTTTTGTCTTAAAACTGGGGAAGTGTCGGTAGGTTTATAAGAGTTTCAGCCTAAAATAGCATGTTTCGATGACGCCGTTAACTTGCGTGCAAAAACGTAGGTCTTCGTCTATGAGTAGGCTCAAAATTTTGCATACATCATAAACCCGTGCCGCCTATTTTCAGGTCCTGGCTTGCTTTTAGATGTTTGCGCTTTTCTTGCTTGCAAAAAAGTACTTTTGATTTTTGAGGATTGAGTTTCATGTTACTAATAGCAGAATACTCATTTATACTTTCGGGATCAATATTGATTATGGCCTTAGCCATTTTAAAATCATCAGCGGGATAGCTTAACAACAACTGAGTATCATCGGCATAACTAGTTACACTCGAGTTTTTATTTTTTTCTCCCAGCGTCGGAAAGTACTCACTTTCAACACGCATCTGCGTGCGGAAAGTACTCACTCTCAACACGCATCTGCGTGCGGAAAGTACTCACTTTCAACATGCATCTGCGTGCAGAAAGGAGCACGCTGGTAGAAAAAATCTTTTACCTAACACTTGCGGAAAGTGTATTTCCCGCCTTTGACGGCTTACCCCGAAGTGTTCACTTTCCGCACTTGTTAGGTAAATAACTATTGACCAAATCGCAGTTATATAAGGGATACTCTTATGTGATTACAAACAACTTCCCATTGCTTTTCCTAGATGTCCCTTTTTGTGAGTTTTTCTTGATCAGCTGGTATAATTTTATGACGTTGTTTTGTGATAAAAACCCTTCTTTAAGATACCTCTTACACTGGAGAAGAGATTGATAATGAACAAGAAATGGAGAACTATCTCGTTTGTGTCATCGCGTTACACAAATTGATGCAAATTGAACAACAATTGATGAAAGACATCATCACCCCAGCTCATCAACCGCGGGTGTTTGAACTGATTGTCAGAGAAGCGATGGATACCATCGTACAGGAAGGAGAGAATATCGTGGCGAGGTAATGCTTGACACATTTCTGCATTTAAAAAAATCAACTTTTTTCATGCATCCAACCTACTGTATTCGGTACTGTTTCATCTTTGTTAGGGATCATCAGTACAATGGAACAATGAATGAAGATTAAACGGCGCCATATAGGTTGGTTGAATAGATTTGACTTTTCAAGTTTTGGGCAGAGTACATTTTTTAATTGTTTATTTTCACTTGTGTATGTCACCTAATATCAAAATGTATTATTTCTTCTTTTCGTTTCGGTTTTGTATTTACCGCACTCGGTCTTGCTTGCAAAATTGTAGGTTAATTATTGCTTTTATTTCTAGGGCGAAAAAGTGTATAGCTAGACACGATTTTGCCACAGTTCTCGTCGTATTTCCGATATTGAAGCAACTAAGGTCTCTAAAACCGGACTTTGAAAGAACTGTAGAACAATATGATTTGAATGTCAAGTTGAAGTTTGACCAGATTCTTCAAATGCTGCATTCAACAGTAAGTATTGGTTGTATAAAAAGATCAGTAGATATCGAAAATTGATTAGACTATTTTAAACTTTTTCTTATCGAGTGTAATATTGAAATAATTTCAATTTTTAGGGTTCAAAGGCACTGGAAGACTTTATAGAAAGCATTCGTTCAGATTCTGTTACTCAGTTGCCAAGTGACGGCACCGTTCATGAGACGACTAGCAATGTCATAATGTTCTTGGAGCAGTTGCTAGACTATATGGATACTATAGGAATAGTTCTAGAGCTGGATCCTAATTATGCTAAAAAATTTAAACCTGGAGATTGCAAGGCTTTGCTGGGGCTATACGTTAGTAAGTGTTTTAAATACGTATGATTATAAATATAAATACACCTTGCAATAATGCCATGTCTAATCATCATTATTCTGTTCCAGAAAAAGTGTTAGTTCAGCTAAATCTTACTTTGATCAGTAAAAGCGAACAGTATAGTGATTCTGCCCTTAAAGCACTGTTTCGTTTAAACAACAATAATTACATTTTGAAGTCATTGCAAAGAAGCAATTTGATGGAGCTTTATCTTTTATCTGAACCCAATTGTGAAGAGTACTACTATAATTCTATCCAGGAGAATAAGAAGGCATACTCCCAAAGGTAAACTCTTGAGTTTATTGCAAATTAATACAACTACAAAGTGTCATGCTATCCGGTGTCATCTTTTAACCTGGTTTCTGTTATACGACATTTGATCTTGTTTTCAGTTGGAATAAATTGCTAAATTACATAAGCAGTGATGATCCAGCATTGCATTTTCACAGTGATCGATTGAAAGACAAAGAAAGGGCTGTTCTAAAAGAAAAATTTGCTGTAAGTTATTGTACCTACCTGTCTTATTAGAATTGCACTACTCAGTTGTTCTCTATTCCAGGGTTTTAATAAGGAAATAGAAGAAATTTCGAAAGTGCAGAGAGGGTATTCTATCCCAGATATAGAGTTGAGAGAGAGCATCAAGAGGGATAACAAGGAGCTTATAATACCAAAGTATAATGCGTTTTACAACAGGTAAATTGTCTTTTTGTCCAAAAAAATAAAGATACTAAAACATCAAATACACAAGTCGTGACCATCATACACAGGACCGCATTTTAAAGGGAGTCTTCTTCGTAACATTTTTTCCTCGAGGGCTTCATTAAAAAGATACGGGGTGATGAAGTTTAAAAATAAAAAATATTTTTTTTGAATATCTTCAAAACCGTCAACTGGAATGAACTAAAATTTGGTATGTGATTTACCTAAGTATTGTCCACATTCAGAGGTCTTTACTTACAATTAACGTGCACCAGTGGCGAAGATACAGAGGATTAGTGGCATTATTTTTCCAAATAAAAATAGTACGCTACTGTTTTTTTTTTCGAAACGCGCGATTTTTCGAATTTTTCCTTCATTTTGCTACAAATAATTACTCTTGTGTTTTTTCCTAAGTACATTGTTTTCGTAAAAATAAAAAAACAACTAATTAGATAATCAAACATTTATTTCAATAAATGTTCAAGAAGACCACCATTCTGACGGATACCAAACATATTTTCGCAAAATTTGTTGTGGCTTGAATTTGATAAAATGCATTATCTATTCTTTCTTGTAACTGATCAACAGTATTAATTTGTTAAGCATACACTAGTTGTTTAAAAGCGCCCCACAAAAAGAAATCCAGGGGGTTAAAAAAAATGGTAGTAGTAACGGTAACAACCGTATAACGCATAACTTTGACATACTATCTCCCAAGAAACTTCAAGTCGGTATCAACGCCTCCCATTTTATTTTGAAACTAATTGTGTCTCGGCTCTTCATGAATGATCTAATTTGTTTTATTTTTATTTTTACGAAAACAGTGCACTCTAGGAAAAAACACAAGAGTAATTATGTGTACAATTTCGAGGTAAAATTCGAAAAATTGCGTGTTTAAAAAAAAAGGCAATAATGCCACTAATCCCCTGTATCTCCGACACTGGTGCAGGTTAATTTTGGGTAAACGCTTTTGAATGTGGACAAAATACTTAGGTAAATCCACATACCAAATTTTAGTTCTTTCTAGGTGACGGTTTTGAAGGTATCAAAAAATGTTTGTTATTTTTAAACTTCAACACCATGTATCCTTTTAATGAATCCCTCGTGGGAAAATGTTACATAGAAGACTTCTTTTAAAATGAGGTCCTGTATACGTTGTTCTATTTTGGTCATGATTTGTGAATCACCCTGTATACTGACTGACGAAATGAAAATAAGTTGTCTGTTTGTCAAACCCATATAAGACGAGGGGATTTCGATACTTAATGAGCTTACTATAAAAAGAGTAAGAAGCGTATATTAAGCTGCATATATTGATTTAAAGATCCATTCGTTTGGGATAATTTAGTTTCATTTTTGCAGGTACGCGTCGATGCAGTTCACGAAAAATCCAGAGAAGTACATAAAGCACAAACCAGACGAAGTGTCGGCGGTCATTGATCGATTTTTCGATGTTGCTGCTTAAATATTATTATAGTGGTGGTCTTGTAAGATGTTATAATTTATTATCAAATGATAAACATAAGTACTAAAAAGCTTTATTGTATGGTATTACCAAAATACAATCGCATAATATATATTGCCTGAAAGTGTTTTCATCTCAAGTGGACACCAAAAGTATGGAAACACCCCAATATCTCGGAAGCTAAGGGAGCTAGGGGTGTAATTTTACCTTCTTTAAATAAACCATTGAACATGCGATAATATATATTGCCTGAAAGTCTTTTCATCTCAATTGGACACCAAAAGTATGGAAACACCCCAATATCTCGGAAGCTAAGGGAGCTAGGGGTGTAATTTTACCTTCTTTAAATAAACCATGGGACATGCGATTTTTCTCCATTTTCAGTGCTGGAATCACAATCAGATGTGTTATTGGGTGTCCTGCATTTTCGCATTAAAAGTTCTTTAATATTCTTATTTTTCCAGTCAATTGACCTTGAAATAACTTCTAGATGTAATTTTTAGCCTCTATGATATTTATACAGCTGAAGAAAAATACTTTTTGGCTTCCTGTTTCTGCAATAAAAAATGACGGTTCCTATTTGAACAAATCAACTTGCCTTGAAATGACTTCCAAGGTAAATGTCAACGTCGAATCCAAGGTCACTACTAGATGCGCCATTTGATTTCCCAAAACATTTGTATTTGTAAGTTTTTTAAGTGTCCATACTTTTGGGTTACCCTGTATAATGTCTACATGTCAGGATCCGTGTAGTTATTGGTTATGTGACATCGTTTTGGTTACTTTTTCAATGGAGTTAAACAATTGCATATCCTCTTCATCATGTAGGCGGGAGAATGGTGCAATGGCAAGAGAATTTTTTTCAAGTGGGCTAAAGTTGCCTAGCAGCCTCACAGAACGTTTTGTAGAGCAAAAAAATCCACTCAAAAAGTAGTATTACACTATGGGCCCTATTGGGGGCAAGAGGGAGGCATATGTGTGTCAAGTTGTAAAGATCCTTTTTCCCTCTGATGATCGTACTGACTATACCCTATTCGTAGTCCATTTACGCACCGGCACAACAAAGATGCAGCGCGGGAAAGCGGCAGCCGCCTAAGGGTTGCAATAGCTATTGGTTATTCGGCCATAAAACTACGAATAAGTGGAGGATTCGACAGGATAGAACTCATGTCGCCTACGGATAGAGCAGATGAAACTGAGAATATCTCTCCCAGTGCTTCCTGCAGCCATGCTTCCTCTTCAGTGATGTCTCCTCCCTGAAAACGTGACAAGAAGGGACATTTGAATATTCAGGCAAAAGAAATTGTCCTTAACGTTTATCAGAGCGTAATTTTAGAGCATCCTGAAATGAAAATTCATGATTTTGGAATACGGGTTCGGACAAAACAGGCTTATGTCCTAAGACAATTTTCAACATTGTTGAAGAATATAAAAAACAAAAAATTACCTCCACCACAGAAGAGGCTGCATGGGCATTTGAGTCACAGAAAACGACCGAATACCATGAAGAAATGTACGGGAGTTCATTTGAACGATGGTTTGAAGAAACATTCCCAAAGCTTGACGAAAATGCCGTCATTGAACTTGATAATGCTGCTGCTGCTGCTAATACCACACTAGAAAACTAGAAAAAATTGTCACAACGTCCACAAGAAAGGCGGAAATTCAACAATGGCTCCTATCAAATGAAAATATGGTCGAAGCAGAACTTATCCATCTAGTCAGGCAGCACAAATATGAATATAATCTTAATGTTATCGACGAAATGACTGAAAAACAGAATCAGACCGTTTTTCGGCTACCCCCTTATCACTGCAAATTGAATCCCATTGAAATGATTTGGACAAATATAAAAAACTATGCGGCTAATTTTCTGACGTGTAATATGTATGAAGCTGTCATTAGAGTGACAGCAAACCGTTGGAAAGATTGCATGCGTTGTTCAAGAGACAATCGAAACAAAGATGTGGGATCTGGACAATATGATCGATATTCAAATTGAACCTGTAGTAATTAAAATTAACCATTCGGACGATGATTCAAGTACTTCCAGCGATTACAGAATCGTGAAAAGTATGTACACTTCTTCCTTTAAAAATAATCATTTATTTTGTTAGGTTATTCCAAGACCATTGAGGAAAATACGGAACTGTACAACCTCGCTTTTGGGCATGTTGTGTTTTGCCTGGGTTAAATGGACTAAGAATGGGGTATAATCGCAGTTGTAGGTCACACTTTTCCAGGATCGAATCATTCCGACGGTACCAGTACCCAGCGGCACCTCTGGCCATGGATCTACAGCAATACGTCTTCGGATACACTGATACCTTTTCCCGTGTACCGATCAGCTCTTAGCTTATGAGAATAGTCACATCCCATTTTCTGCTGGTCTGACCGCCTCGAGATAGCAAGATACCAATACCAGCATTGCCACTGATCGTCGACACACGGCAAGTGTCAGAGTATAAGGATTATTTGGTATTACTGATCGGCGCTCTAACGTAACAAGTCTCAGGATATAAAGCCCCCTCCACACTCACGCGCGGATCGCGAGCGAAGCCGCGAACTACCCGCGACCCATGAGGATGGATCACATTCGCGTATTCTTCGCGGCTTCACGTCACATTCGCGCGTTGTTCCCGTTTGTTGTCGGTTTTTGTCCCGCGACAAAGGGTTCGCAAGGCGCGAACATATCTCCTCATTCGCTGGTGGCTCAGTTGCCTCATAGCGAGTGCCGGGAGTGGTTGAGTTTTTTCCACTTCTTTTCAATTGTCTTAGTTTTACTTATATATGCGTAATTCTGAATTGCCAAAGCGCAAAGTAGCCCTGCAGCAGCAGTAGTAGTTTCACTGTCCATACTCGTCAGAGCGCGAACTATACTTTGAAGTAGGCGCGAACATCTGCGACTGTGGAACTGTAGGAAAAGTTTTCGGGATTCGCATCGAGATCCGCGCCACGATTGCACGCCATGATCCGCGCTTGAGTGTGGAGAGGGTATAAATGCTCATTTTCCCTCTGATGGTAGTGCCGATCGATCGCAAGCTGCAAGTCAGTCGCCGTCGTGCTTTGTTAGTTGCAGAATACCGAGATAGTCTGTAGAGTACGAGCCCCTCCCCACTTCAGTTGGCCCACTTCAAGATTTGTACCAAAATATGCCTTTATTAAATAAACATGACGAATCTATTTACTTCTAAAACAATTTATTTTCTCAAAAACATTTTAGATACACTCTAGTCCTAAAAAATACATATTTGAAATCACTTAGACCTATAACTAATAGAACATCTGAACAAATAAACAATGAGCGAATAAATGCGCCAAGTTAACAAAGCAACAATTAAAAGATTACCATTGGGTAACATTACCTATATTTTTTATTACGGCTGAAATTCTTTGGGCCATAGTGTTAACCAAGTTTTGGCAAAAATTTGGTGCAAAACAATCCCTTATTTCTTGAAGCTTTTGTATCAGTTCGGTGATTGTACGAGCAGGATGTTGTCGTAGAACCTTTTTCATCTCGTGCCACAAAGTTTCAATACGTGACAGATCTGGACTGCTAGAAACCCATTTCAAAGGTGGTACATTATTTTCTTCCATCCATTTTATAGCCTTTTTTGAGGTATGGCAGGCTGCACCATCTTGCTGAAACCCAAAATCTTGAGTTGTGGACCTCGAAATTCTCCTTCCAACAGCGTCACTCCACAAAGCACGTAATTGTCAATAATTGGCACGCCTGTTTTTCACGATTATTCTTCTTAATGCTCTTCGGTCGGCATTTGTGATATTACTTTTGTTCACATATCGTGGCTTAATATTAACTGAACCAGTTACGTTATATCTTCTAACAATATTTCTCACACTGTACCGCGATAAGTCTATCAAAGTTGCAATTTCTGTGTTTGATTTCCCAGAATTAAAAAATGTAATTATCAGTAACCGATTTTTCCCACTAATAATCTTTCCTCTACCCATTTTGAAAACCTTAACTACCCAAAACTATTTTAAACGTATTCTGACAGCTGTGATTAATAAAAACAATTATCATGGCTTTCATTTTTCACAGTCATCTATGCGTTATAGACTTATTTTGCATTGAAATGAAAATAGGTTGATATGCTGTAATTGCAACATGTGTTATTTTTATGCTGCAAATTTGATTAGGGAGTGATAAAGTTGGTGTTTTCTACTATATATTATCAACATATTCATTGTTAATATTTTAAACCTATAACACCCTGCTACATTTTTATTATTTGTGTTTGATAAGAAAAAAACTAAGATTTCAATAGTAGAGTACAGAGTATAGCACATCACGATGATTGTGTGTATTGGTCTGCATGTTTATAAAATCAGTGATATTTGCAATGCGAATGAAATACATACAGGGTGGCGCATCGAAAACGAAACAGACGCATTTACTGGCAGCTCAGTTTCTTTTTGGAAAAACGCTCAGACCCGTCGATTTTGTTTTCGAGGGGGACACAAGTTTGGCAAAAAATCACGTTAACACGTGCAGCCCCCTGGGCCGGGGTGACACCAACCCTAAAATCTTAAGTGGAAAGGGTGATACCTTATTTTAAAGGTCTTTCAATTCCCTTTATAATGATGTAAAATGTTCAGTAGTTTTGAAGATTTATTGATTTAAAGCTTAAAGTAGTTTTTAATAGGTACATCAGATTAGTTTATACTACTTTCAGACGAAATTTGACTAAAAGAATTTACTTAATAAGTAAATGCTCTTCTTCACTGCGCCCATGGTTTTTTTATCATTTTGTTGTTGAAAATAGCTATTGGAGCGTTTTTTGTGGCAAAAAAGCTATTTCTTGAAGAAACATAAGGAAATATCTCGTACTTATTTTAAATAGGAATTTAGTACATAGTTTGCGATTGATTTGACCAAACTTTGTTGCTAAAATAACTTGTAACGCTTTATTACATAAATTAACCATGGTATATTCCACAGCAGAAAGAGTTGAAATTATCGAAATATTTTTCGGAAATAATCAGTGAGCTAATAGAACAGCAGAAATATTTAATGAGCGACATGAGAACAGTAACGTGCATCGAAAATATGTTCTAGAACTTGTAGCTAAATTTCGGGAAACTGGGTCAGTCGC